TCAGGAGTATCGGGAACAGTAAGAGCGTGTTCCAGAGATTGTACAAGTTCCTTCCGTGACTTGTCATCCAGCTCCGTCCAACATGACATGAATGCTGCGTTGAAAAGCTCACTGGCTAACTGAGGGTAGTTCTGAGCTAAAGACGAACACGCCCTACAAAAACGAATCATTTAATTAAATTTATATCTGTGTCTTAAACAGACCAAAAAAGGCTGTAATTATTTTACAGGAACTAGTTACCCTTACCTTATCGCCGGGCTATTTGATTCGGTCAAGAAGGCGACACTCAGTTGTCTCAGCCATTCCATCCAATCTTCTTTAGACACTATGTTTTTTATAGACCAACATTTCCGTAAATTAGACACGTTTAATGTCAATTTCTGTATGGTCTGTGTGTCACCAGGACCTACCACCTGAAAATTAAAAAACATGTCACAATTTTCTTTAAAAGTAAATCGTTATTTCATATATTTGGTAGATATTATATTAATACTTGCTTCGGTCTTTTGATTCCGCAGTCTAAGTCGAGTCTCATCTAAATAATCATCATCAGAAGCCAGAGTGGATATAGCTTGCAACCTCGTCACTAGCACGATGTAGTTGGGGCATTGTATTTTATGCTTCATCAGTATTCTGTCCACAGACGGTATGTAGTCAATGTATTCACGCCCAAGCTGAACAATCAGTGCGCAAAGTGTATTCATGGCAGTTTGTCGTAAAGATGGATTGTTGTCTAAAACTTTGGCAAGTGCTTGTATAATAACCGCCGAGTAAGGCCTGAAGTACAAATACATCGATAAGTGTTCAATAGTCTCCATAGCAAGCTTTGATATTGACAAAGGAATATTTCTGCCATCGAAAAGCGCTGTTACAGCAGGTACTATCGACAACAGCACATCGTCCAAATTATTTTCAAACTTTTGTATAGTCAGTAATAGCTTCTCAGTCAGAACTTTATCCTTGCTGTTATCGTACTTCAAAACGCGTAGAATATTAGGAAGTATTTTCCGCAGATACACCTTAAACTCCGGTCCAATAGCGACAGTTATGTGTTCCACTAACATTATCAGAGTTGGCTGCAGTTGACTATTTGGTGTCCAGTACTCCTTGATTATATCAAATATATCTTCCAAATAATTCCGAATTTGGATTTTAACTACAGATATAAGCTGTGCCAATTGCGTCAAGAGAAACTCTCTAAAGGTGCTGTTGTCAGTTGTTCGTATCACGTTGAGAAGACATGGCGTCACTCGCGATATGTAGGGCACGCATTTGATGCCTAGAGACTGAAAAATAAATGTGACCGAATGCACAACACTCGTGTGGTGCTGCGTCAACATCGGGTCGCGGAGCATTCTCATCAGCGACGTGAGAACAATAGCCGGGTAGAACTCATCAAGAATTAGCGGTGACATGTTCACAACCATTTCACTGACATTTGCGTCAATATTTTCGGAAGTAGAGTCAGAAACGGGAATTAAAGTAGATACAGTTTGGAAGTCTATTAAACCCTGATTTACTTTGTGTTTGTAGGGATCAAGCGCTCCTAGCAAGCCTAAAACGCGTATTGTTTCCCGCCTCTCCCGTGGTTGTTGTTCTGTCTTTAAAAAAGTCAGCAACATGTCCATTAGGTGCGGATATTCCATATAAGGAGAAACAACATGTCCTGTTGCACCAACGACTTGGCCGAAAGACCACAGTGCTACACTTCTCTTTTCAAGTTGGTTAGGATCCGAAAGGATATCAATCTGAATCGACATGAGTTCTGGCAACCATCGGTTAAGAGCGTTGCCCCCGCCATTTACTTCTGCTAAATCGCCTATAGCCTTCAATATCGTTGAAACCATGGTAGGATTATCTGATTCTGCCTTTAACTTTGGCACTAAAACATCGAGTATGGTGTCTACAAACTGGCGTGTAATTCTCGGTGCATGTGAGATGATATTGTTGACCATCCGAAGAGCCTGCTCTTTATTACGTGTCGATTCTGAGTGTTGCAGTTCCATGAGTACTTGTACAAACAGCTGACGTAGTGTCGGTATAGTGTAACTTGGGTTTATGTTACTCAGTCTACCAACCAAGCACAAGGCTAATTCACTGACATCGTTGTTTGAATCGTTAATTGCAACAAAAAGGCAGTTCAAATGTTCTTCGACAGCTAAATATCTATCAAATATAGGATTGGTAAATATTTCAAGTACTCTGTAGCGAACTTCGTGATCAAAGTCGGAGCGACCTACTGATAATAATTTACCGAGCGATTCATCAACTAGAACGGTCAAAGTCCGCGAATTAGTCTGCGCACATCTCTCGACTGCTTTTATTAACAACTTTGATGCAGTTTTTACAGCTTCAATTCGAATATCATGTTGTTCACTCAAGAGGTAATGGTCTGTACACCTTCTTATAAACGACATCAGTGTATTGTTCCATTCGAAGTCAAACGAGCCCAAAGTGCGTAATGCTAAAACTAATTTGGAAGCGTCATGCGGCTCCACCAACATGGCTGTCGTGAACATTTGAACGATCTGATTTTCTCCATTACTTGGAGCATACGGTTTCTTACGTAAAATCAACGATAACATGTTAAGAAGTCTGTCCGTGATTTCTTTTTTCAAAGATGGTAGATTTTGGCTGAGTTCTTTGAAGCATGTAGTCAGTTGTGGACTTAAACCTGTTGCGCACATTGGGTCCAACAGCTCTTTAACTTCATTAGCAACATCTTCTTTCATAGCGAAACCTAGCAATGTAACACAATTAAATAAAGGCGTGTCCGACCCATTACGCTTTTTTGGAGTTTCTTTAAGTGGTAATGTCAATTTTATAATCTCTATTATTCTTCCCAAATACTGTTGGACATCGGACTCTACAGCTACACAAATAAGGCCTAATGTGGTGAATGCCATGGCTTTTTCTTTCTCTCGCCCACGTAAGAAAGTTATCAAATGGTTTATGGTGGACTTAAGATGCCTCTTAGCAAATGCTTCTCTGTTAAATGCAGCTAGCCTTGGTATCATTAAGAGAAGCATTTGGTGTACATTATGTGCTCTTGATATTTGTTGGGCCATCACATCTGTAAATAAAAATATGTTTTACTTGGACACAATAACATAGAAGTACACAATTATTTATATAGTTGGGTATGTATAAAAAAAGTAATTGTAAACATTTATTTGATTTGCACATAAGCAAGGCACTAACCTAAGCAGATCTTCTCATAATGCTCTGCAATCAACTTTTTACAAATACTTGATTCATAAACAAGAGTATTTTGACTTTTCTCATCGGGAAAATTTTGGGCAGTCCAGGAATTTTGTACTTTTGATCCCAAAGAAGTCATATCATCAGATGGATCTTGTTCTGAATCAAGTTTCTGCATTAATGTTGTGTATTTCTTTTCCCATGTGGCATTGGAACATCTCAGTAGTTCATTTAATATTAGTAGTGCTCCATGAACATGGTCATCTCTACTTAATCCCCTTTCTCTTCCTGGTTGCTCAGCAAATGACAACATAGACTGTTCATAGCACTGTATGTACCAGTGAGCTTTGTTGCTCTGCTCGGGCATCTCTCTCTGAGATGTCACTACTAAAGCTGCTCTCAGTGCCTTTGATGCAGCATCCCTGATCTGCTCCTTGGGATCCCGTAAAGGTATCATGATGTAGTTAAAGAAGCCATTGACATGTTGAAAGAAGTAAGACGGCATAGAGATTGCCAACTCTCTTAGTATCATAACAGCTGAAAGTCTTTTCCCTTCATTTCTTTCTTCAGCCAGCCACTCATAGGCCCTCTTCAGTTCAGACTCCACATACTCCCCTCTCTTAATACCAAGAGTGATTGCAAGCCTACCCATTGTCTTAGCTCCCAGTTCCAATACATTTAGATCAGTTGTTGGGAATACATTTCTGAGGTAGTAAGCATAGCGAATATTTCTGGATTTTGTTGTTTCAGTGTCTCCACCAATTAAGCAGACTGCAATAAAGTTTTAGTGTTAATAACACAATTTTACACGCTTTTGCTGTAGAAGTCAAACTTTTTCTCATATAAATAACACAAGGATAACGTTCTATCCCCATAACAAGGAAGATTGATTACTGTGAATCATAATAATATAACCTATAAAGTACATACCTATGGTTAGGATTCCTGCTTTTTTCTCGTTGTTGTCGTAGCTAGAGGTAAGCGCATGTATTTGTTGGTTAAAGTCATCGAGTACTTGGGTCAAAGCCTCTTGGGACATCTCACGTAGGTCTGTTTTAGTAAAGTGTAACAATTCTCGAATAGCCTTATGTCTTGTTTCGGCATGACGCGACTTCAGTCCCGCCACCAAATCCGACACTTGAAAACTCGTCATTTTGTTAAATATGCAGTAGTCACAAATTTAATCACCGTCTAATTTCCCGATAATACGATCTTAAAACAAATTACATTATTGACAAACAAATGCACTTCACATTGTCGAATTTTTATACAGCTCCGTACACCTTAAGCATTAAACTTAAAGATAAGAATAAATTTAACTTTATTTAGGAATTTCATTTAAACATGAAAATAGTATTTCAGCAAATTTATAACAATCTAAACGTAAACAAATTAGCAATACATTACATGCGGCCATTGACCACAAATCTTTCGTCCGAAAATATAAAAAAATGGAGACTGCAATTTTGTTAGAAACACATTACATTTTTTTATTTCAGTGAAAATATTGATTGTTCTGAGATACAAAAATGTCTGTTTTACTTTATTTGGAATCAATAAAACTTAAAGTTTCGAAAACGATTTTAAGGATACTACTTAAAATACCAATGATTGTTGAACGAAGCTATCTCTGATGCGTAACATTTGTTTTTTTATTTTAAAGGTGTACTAAAATGCCACTTAAAATACCATTTATTTCTTCTGAAAACATTCTGTTACATAAATTCATAAATAAAAAATAATGTACCTAAAACCGTAAATGTACTAAAATATCAAACAATACTCTAGTTGGTTTACATAACATTTTACATATAATTATTTTGTATCTATATTAAATGCCATCTCTTTCACTCAAGCTTTATTTCCTTAAGAGTGAAAGAGACCAATAACATTAAGCTTTTGTTGGGACTGAGTTCGGGCTAGGATGACGCGTGTATTTTCAATACTTTCTCGTCATTGTACCAACTACAAACGTCAAACAGCTGAGCGAGGTGACTGACTCGTCGTTGTGTGGCTTGCTCTTCTATTATCCAAATTTTTGAAACTAAATTCACAGGAATAGTGGTTTCATTAGTTATTACTCAACCTGCAGAATAGTAATTTTCAATCATGAGTGAGCTGAGTCAGGAGGAGGTAAGTAGAAAATTTGTTTTGTAAACGAACCTTGGCGTAATGCGTATGGCCAATCTAATTTCGTAACAAAACAAAGCGTTGGTGTTTGACGTTGGCGCGAGCAGAAGGTTGTAACATGTGCTGCAGGACCTCATGTCGTTTGCTTGCAGATAAGGAGACGGCGCCTGGCGCGTCTCGCTGCCCTTGGAGGCGCAGGCTCAGCGCCATCGCCCGCCAGCCCTCCAGTCACACCAGGCGCATCGATGCCCTCGCCAGACCTACAAACTTCCTCACAAGTACGCTTCTCGCCAGCGCCAGCTCCGCGAGGATCAACAGAACCCTCCACCCCAGAAGTGGCCAACACAAACAAAGAACCAAACTATTCAGAAGGAGTTAAAAGTGAAGTGGATGACCAAAGCAAAATACCTGCTGATGGGTTAATTGTAACGGAAAAGACAGACAATAATCTTTTGGATGAAATGCCTGATACCAAAATGACAGATCTCTCACAAACAAGACAGTACAATAGTTTTGACTCCATGGGTGATGACACTTTGTTGAGTTGTGGATCAGTGCGAGTGGCTAGTTTACCACAGTCTGCAGTGGGTGGATCTGAAGGAGCTTCAACTAGAGAAGACAGCACATCGCGGTCAATATCTCCAGCACAGTTTGTGGAGCCATCGCCTGTAAGGCCTCGGCCCAGTAATGCATCCCCCAGTTGCTCCCGACGGTCTCTCTCAATGGAAGTGGATGATGTATCAGAACGGAATTCACAATCAGAGAAACAAGAGGAACCTATGGAGGTTAGTGGCTTACATAATACTGCAATCTGCAATTAATTTTAACTGGCAATTACAGGCTTAATTTAATGTAAGTAATAGTCACATTTTTTCCAACTACCTTACTTACCAATTTGTTCAATTCAAATATTTTTATTGCTTTTGTGTCACTATATGTTCTTTTGTCTCTATAAATGAAAAATGAATCAAATTTTTACATTTTTTGTCTGACTTTTGAAAATTTCCATACCTAATATATCTATTTATTTAAGTTAGTAACATAAATTCATCATTATAAAAATACCATATACATTTATGGAGGAATATATACAAATTTATTTAATTGCTTATGAAATTATATTTACATAATATAATTTTAATAACTAATTACTGGTTACACAAGACCATTAGGTTTGCAGCTTTGCAGATACAATAATTACTTATTATGTTGATTTCAATTAACAAGAACTATAATATCAATACTATGTCTACAATCTACTAAAATTATTAGACTCTAGTAATCATAGTAAATAAAGTAGATCACTAATATTCAGTGTTGGACTTCTCTTTGCTTTAGCAATTTTCAACCAACTCCTCTACCTTGCAGAGGCTTTGCTAGAGAAAAGTGCTTGCTTTAAAAATTGAGTATTTGATATAACTTTATGATCTCAAGCCTTTTTGATGCGAATTGTAGTTTTTTGAGTAGATTCTCATAATAGCCATGAGACAACAATGCAGGAAACAGCAGCAAGTCTCGATAAGTTGTCTCGCACTCTCATACTAAAATGTATGTAAGGATTGCTATGTATTTGATGGCAAATTTAGCTCATGACTTGTAAAATATGTTTGTTCAGAATACACAATATTTACATACATTTGTATATTATAATGAAATCACGATATTGGAATCAAGACAGCAGTCCTTCCCATTTCAGATTTATCGCAAGTCATGGTGTGAAGTATATTTAAAGAAATATTTGTTACTTTGTACTAGGTGGATGACAATGACACCCAGACAGCTTCCCCAGCCCGTAAGATACACCGGTCGCGTACAGTAAGCTGTACCGAACTGACAGATGAGCAACTTCGAAATATTGTTGCCAAGATCCTGCAGGTGTCGTGGTCTGAAGATAGTGCAGGTTTGTTGCATATTTACATCTATCATCTTCTGGTAATATATAGCCATTATGTATATACATCCATAGATACTAAGAACACATAGAATAAAACAAATAGACCTACTTGACTGACTTTATCAGTTCTTTACGAGCGAAGGCAATCGCGGTTTTGTGGCAGTATATATAAATTCTCCTAATACATGTTCTAAAAGAGAGAACTACTTTTAAACTTTTAATACTTTAATGGTCTACCGTTACCCTAGAAACCTTATTAAAACAATGTTTTTTTTTTAATATATTTCCTTATAACAGATAACACTTTTTACCAAAGATCACTATCAAATGGTTTTGTCATAAACCCATTTGTTGCAGGAGGAATATTTGTCCCATCTGTAGCAGCGTCTCTTCTCGACAACCCAAAACTAAGTTTAGAAGAACTGGCTTCGGAGGCTCTGATTGATGTTATTACGCAAATAGCGGACGGCTCAGACCCTCTCAACCAGAAACTCATCGCGATCACTGAAACGACTAAAAGGCCTAGTGACGAATGCGGAGACGATATGTTGACTTGTGGACCAATCGGTTCAGAGACAGAAGCTGACAAAGCGGACTGCCCTGCGCCGTCGCTACCCCTACCCAAGACAATACCCACCCAAGGCCTCGCCGTCAGTTACATTATACGATTCTACTCGAATATTAATTCGTATGAACGTGAATATTCCAAGAAGAGTTCAGAGCCGCCATTGAGCGACTTGCTTCAAAGTTTAAGAACATTGCTAGTGAACCACTTAGTGTTAGTGCTGCAGGGTAACTTCGAGTTGGAAAAATGCAGGAAGTCTCCTCTTCTGCCCTACATGCTAGTGGTATCGCCGCCGACTGGCCTCATACCAGAGCTATTGCTTGCTACTTACACAAATAAGGAAGTTTTCGAAGAGGTGGGTGCATTCACTTTCCGATTATTGTCTCTTTCGATTTTATTTAAGTATTATAAATTATTATTCCTGAAACAAAATGTTACTAAATATATAGTAATGTAATATGGTGTTCTAATAAAATAAATTGAGATCGAGTAATGTGTGTTGGTGCAGGTGTTCGTGCCGTTAGTGATGGGTATCCGCGAGGAGATGCGTCGCGCGGTGTCCCCGCTGGGCGGGCGCGGCGCCTGCGGCGGCGGCAGCGCCCTGCGCGCGCTGCGGGCGCTGTGCGAGCTGCGCGCCGGCCCCAGGCACTCCCGCCGACCCCTCGCCGAGCTCATAGCACGCCTGCCTTCACTCTGCCCAGACGCCGTCACTACTGCAGCAGGGCGAGAGATCGCACGCGTCAGCTTCCTCGGACCATTCTTTGCGGTAAATATAACTACTGTAAAGTCACTGGAATTACAATATAATCGACAAGCATATTAATGTAAAAAATGTTTGCAGATATCGCTGTTCGCGGAGGAGAACCCGCGCCTGGCGGAGCGGCTGTTCGCGACGGGGTCGGGCGACCGCAGCCTGGCGTTCGCGTTGCAGCGCGAGGTGGAGGCGAGCCGCAACACGCTGCACAACATCTGCCACAACATCCTGCTGTGCCCCGACGCGCGCGAGCCCCTGCTCAACTACTTCGCCGCGCTGCTGCAGAGGAACGACCGCAGGGCGCAGCTGCAGACTGACGAGAGATCGCTGGCCGGTCAGTTACCTCTACTTTATTATCCTATTTCGTACTCATACCTAATTTTAAACACTAATCTTTCATGTTTGAAACCAAATTAAACTTTATATATGTAAAGTCACCATTGTTATAGTAGAAATCCTGCGACATTATTTCCACGGATGTTTTATGAAGCGCTTACACTTGTCTTGTATAAACAAAATTTTCATCTCGTAAGAAAGGTGACGAGGACAACACAACACTCGTCGGAACAATGAACGAGTTTACAAATTGATTAGTTCAAATTATTAAGATGCAAACAGTAAATATGTTTCTCAAATCGTTTGACTGCCACAATAAATAAGACGAAGACGACGTGCCAAACAAATTGCAGCTTGTCGTGCAGATTTTCCTTTATGGCTGCGCAGAATCGTGTATATACTTCAATATATAAACACGTTTCACGTTTAAAATTGCTTTTGTTCTTTTGTTTATAAATATCTGGCAAGATCGCGTTGATACGATGTGCCCGGCTCGGTCTCCGTATAGCTTATTGATAAAGACATTACTGCGAGTTTATCAGAACAGCTATATATATTGAATCGCGACTAGTAGCTCCCTTCGAGTAATGACTTGCGAAAATAGACTAGCTAGGTACATATTTCGTTCAAATGTCGCTCATTTGGCTTGTCTATTAGACGAATTTGTATTGGCAGTCGTCCAAGTAATTTACTTTCCAAGATTTGGATCAAAACGTTAATCGCTACTTGTTGACGGTTTACTGTAAATATTTATGTTTGTAACGTTGCGCGTCGTCGGGTGGTCGTCGTGAACACTACGACGCAGATACGAGTCGTTTACCTACTATTTGTATCGGTGATTTGCGAGATTTTGTTGGCTCGACACACTTCATACACTTCGCATCGCAATCAACGATACAGTTCCAGTAAACATTTAAATAAATAGCTTCCTTGTTTTCCACGAATACTTCTGAAATGCATGTAGGTAAATAAAATACAAGGAAAAAGAAGAAAACAGCAAAATCATTGCTATTTTTGCTGCACTTTTTATAATTCTGTAAACATAAATTCGATAATGAATTCAGTTTGTCAATACATCTAATTAAATAACGGCCTCAATACTATAATATAATACTGCATACTGCGTTATAATAATAATTGTTTAGTTACGACAAACATTACCTTCCCAACCTGAATTAAAAAAGTATAGAAAAATAAATTATTCCTTTACATTATTAAACATGACTATATTCCTTAAATTACTATAAATATAGTTATTTGAATGAACACATAAAATCGATTTGAATTAACACATAAAATCGAATTAGGATTTACTTGTCGTGGTAACCCACGCTGCTTTTAGTATGGGAGGGATTTTGGCCAACCATCTCATGTAAAGGACATGAGATGGTTGGCCACAATCTCTCCATGCTTGGTAAGCGTTTAATTAAAATACAAAGCACCTGCCTGTCTCCCATCACAAAACCTTACTGTCACAACACAGGACAGGACACTGGGGTGTAAAGGTGGTGCGTCTGAGTGATTGTAGAAAGTACTTTATTGTTTGAAGTTACATTTAATACTCTCTTAAATCTTTAAAACATTACATACAATCGGATATATGTTGATTACAGACTTAGATCTAGCAGTGGACATGTATACACACATACACAATACAGGATAGGTTTATAATATTAACGATATAAAACTCTTACAGGAGATGGGTTCATGCTGAACGTATGTTCAGTACTGCAACTACTGTCCGTTCGCATCAAACTGGAGCGCGTGTACCCGTTGTACACGTTCCAGCCAGACTCCTGGGTCAATATTCGGGACGAGACCAGACTGTACTTCACTACTCAGGAATCCCAGGAATGGTTGGACACACTCAGTAAGTTATTTATTTAATAACTTCACATTAACCTTTCAATCGTGGTTATTCGACACACAATAAAATATCAATAGTTGCGCGAACGCCAGCGTTCGCTTGGGGTATAATGAATTCATTGTGTACTTTCATATGTCACAACACTAATAAAATATACAGGTACTGAAATAGGTTTATTTGGAATTTAAATAATCCTTACTTAATTCACTATGAGGTATGTATATACAAACCGACAATGACACTAGTACCAGTTCATTAAATAGGATTATAGTTTTAGTAGTTTAAGTAAGTAAAATTAGTTATGAGACTTCCTATTAGAATTTTTTTTTTTACTTCAAATAAGCACATTATGAATGAACATCATCAAGAGGGCTACTATGTTGAACATCCTTGTTGGCTGAATAAATGACTGAATTTAGGAAGAGTCTTAACACCGATTCAGTGATTGGATCCTGTGACCTTATTACCTCATCTCGATTGAACGAATATTAATAATATTAACTAACTGTCTTTGGGATTCAAGATATAATTTACCATACATATATTATATGTATGGTAAATTATATTTACCGCGTAGTGTACACGAAACATAATGACCTATGAATAAGCTCATTGACCTTTAATTTTACGGCAAAATCACGTCATCAAGTCAATTTAGTTTTAATGAACAGTTATATATCTAGAACTAAGTTCATGGCAACAATTAAATGCCTTTACTATTGTCTATCGTGTGATTTTCTATTTTTAAATTTTAATACCCCAGCAATTGCATCGTTCACAGTGGCTGGGCAAATGACTTATGTAAAGCTTTCCAAGGGTTCAATTCTTGCATCGAACTTGTGTAAAAGTATAGTATTTTTATAATTGAATTTATCTTTACATGACCTAGAGTTTTTTATTTTTTGGAATTAAACAACCTTCAGTTGATGAATCGGGAATTCAGTTAATAGTTATCACAATTACAATTATGTATATTAATAGGAATATAATCCTACTAAGCGAGGGCGGGCAACACTAGTCCTACACCATTTTTAACGCGCGCATCCTCTCTCTAGGTCTGAGCTATATATTGTAAAGCCGATTTCTTACATTATATGTTACTTTCTCATTACAGACAAGGACCCTAACCACAAATGGCCTGAAGCGAAGTTCCAGACAGTATGCTGGTTCTTAACGCTTCATATGCACCACGTGGCTTTGATCCCGGCTTTACACACGCACCAGAGGCGAATTCGGTGAGTGAACTTCTACATAGTTAAGATTACAGATCTGTAAAGAAACTAGCTTAGCTTCAATCTCATCATTTTGCTTTTAGGTTGAAAATCGATTAATTTGACATTTTAGTAGATCGATGTAATAATGTGTGTGAACTTTTTTATGTGATAGGATTATAAACGATCAGGCGAGTATACGCATCACCTAGTGTAATAAGCAATCAGCGTCGCCCGTGGTCATCAGAGGCATTTCCGGATTTAGGGATATAAGGATTGGGGATAGGAGAAGGGTTGGGTTTCCGGTAACCTCGATCACTCGGCGAAACACCGTGTGAGGCCGTCTCAATCGGGTTTAGCCGACCCATTAATGCCGAAACATGGCACTCCCACATTAACAACTGAAACGAAATTGCATTTTTTTTAGAAAGTAAGTATTTTGTATATTCTATACACATACTTTTTTATCTGGGCGGCAACATATATATACGTAGGAACCATTTCAATATTAAATAACCATAAATTTAATAAACATACATAGTATATAAGTTGTTACATAAATGTATTTTGTTTCTCTTCAGGGCATTCCGTGATCTCCAGAAAGTGATTGAGGAGTTGATGGCAGCTGAGCCCCAATGGCGGAACAGTTTCTCAGCGCTGCGCAACCGGGAGCTCTTGCGCAGGTGGCGGCGACAGATTAAGAGACTACACAGGTAATATCCTGGATAAGAATATTGAAAATGTAGGTCTTACTTTTGCCATCAGACCATCAGCCCATAAGTGTCCAATGTTGAGTGATGACTTCTATCACACGGAAAAGGATTGAGCATAGATTACCACACTAGCTCAAGGCAGATTTATTAGAAATAATAAGCCTAGGTTTGCTCACAATCTTATCCCCCACCATTTGGAGTAGAGTTTATTTAAAAATTATGTATAACGCGCAAGTGACCGTGGTACTTCCTTGGTTCATATGCTGACCTGTGAATAAAGACGAAATAAGTATATTATTTATATCAGACACTAGCTAACCCGGCGATCTCCGTACCGACTCATCTATATGTTCTGACCTTTTAAACCTTCCCTGGACTTCAACGAATATTTTAAGACCAAAATTATCCAATACGGACCAGTCGTTCTTGAGTTTAGCTCTAGACGAAGACTAATTTCCGCCCGTGGCATCGCCCACGTGTTATGTTGATAAAAAGTAGCCTATGTCCTATTCCGGAGTGTATCCTATGCCTGTGCCAAATTATATCCAGATCCGTCCAGCCGTTTTGGCGTGATTGAGTAACAAACATTCAAACTTCATAACTTTCGCATTTATAACATTAAGGCCTGATTTTTCAATAGTCAGATAAATATTATCTGAGGAATAAAATTGCTGTCACTGTCTTATACAAACATTCAGGCGCGACAGCATCATAATAAAATTATTCCCCAGGTAACTTTTATTTAACCATTGAAAAATGTGCCTTAAGTAAGATAAGACATGACAGCCGTACGTACTTGGTTCATTCAGGTCGAAGCAGTGCGCGGAGACGGCGCTGCTGGAGACGGAGCTGATGCGTCGCAGCGTGCAGTTCTACTCGTCCGTTTGCGCGCTGCTCACGGCGCAGCTCGAGGCCGCCGCCGCCGCGCGCGGGCCCTACGCCGACGCATTCGCCGCCACGCCCGAGTGGTACGTCGAGGACATCGCTGAGTTCATGCTCTTCGCCGTGCAGTAAGTATCGATACATTATCATTTATTCGTATAATCTCCACGAGTCTGCTGGCTCAACTGAAGTGATACCACATTCACATAGAAAATCTTCGTGAAACAACACATGCGTCGTGTTTCGCTGTGCTGGTGAGGCTGCCAGAAGTTAAAATTTTTTCTCTCATGGGAGGGGCTTATTCTCAATTCCTTAATCCCCAATCTTCAATTTTCGAAGCCCCAAAAGACTACGGATATCTATAAGCGGCTCCCACTGCTTATTGTTAGATACTTATAATGATAATTCAACTCATGTTAAAAAACGATCTTTCTAATCATTAAAACCTTCTTTCAGATACGTCCCACAAGTAGTAGCGGACTACATCGAGGACCCAATTATCACTTGGCTACTGAGTGCTATCTGCCACTCGCGCCACTTCAAGAACCCTTACCTTGTTGCTAAGATCGTAGAAGTACTATTCGTAATCAATCTCTCCGTGCCACTAAAACTGAAGAATGTATACGAGAAATTCATGGACCACCCGATGTCGCAGACTGCGCTACCGAGTGCTCTCATGAAATTCTACACGGATATAGAAACTACAGGACAAAGCACCGAGTTTTACGATAAGTTTACTATTCGGTTCCATATCAGCATCATTTTGAAGGGAATGTGGGAGCGACCTATTCATAAACAGGTGCGTGTAACATACCACAGTATCTAAGTATCGTCTACTAAATGCAGATGGTTATATTGACCACATATCCGCTGAACTGTCTTCGTTACTAACTCCTCGTTTATTGTTTCAGGCTATTGTAAAGGAATCTCGATCTGGACATCAGTTTGTCAAATTCATCAACATGTTAATGAATGATACTACATTCCTCCTGGACGAGTGTCTAACGGTAAGTGTATACGATATTTTTTTTAAGTCTTTATGGGCCACCTGATAGTAAAAATCGGTCAATATGTTACTCTTATACTAACAAAAATGAATTGTATAACAGTAATTAGTTGAGTGTATGTATGTCCGTAGTACTTGAAGCGCATCCACGAGGCGCAGGAAGGCGCGGGCAGCGCGGGCGGCGCCGCGGCCGACGCGCGCGCGCGGGCTCTCGCTCAGGACGAGAGGCAGTGTCGCTCATATCTCACTCTCGCCAGGTCTGATATCCATCCCCTATTATTTAATCTATTAAATATATAATACGGTAGTTTCCAACTTGTCAAATTCAATCCTTTTATCCAAATGTCAACGACGCGACGACGAAAACGATACTTTTCTATGAAATTTGTATGAAAAACTGAGTTATGACGTCATAGTTTTTTTTTCAAACTGACGACCATTTCGAATTTTTGCCCTATTACATCATATTGGCTTTTCGCTCTCAGATCAGCATCACTTACGATAAGTACGCAATCTTTTACAGACTATAAAATTACACATGCATTTAGCCAAGATCTCTATCCACTACTGAAAACAGCATGTAAATCTGTTCTGTAGTTATGACTTTAATCAAGCACACGGCGGTAGACTTTGTTTTATATATTGACAGTAAGGTGTCAAAAAAGTTTTTTGCAAATGGTTAGAACCTTAGGTAGACCTAACGTCCTAAATTTTAATATTGTAGGAACGGTCATCATCATCGGCCTGATTCCGTACACTACTTGACTGAGCTCGCCGCTCGCTCCACCTAGCGCGGTAAAGTAAGCACAGTACAATATTATATACTTATATATGTATGTTAATGGTACAGGGAAACGGTGGACATGTTAGAGTATTTGACAGTGGAGATCAAAGAGCCATTCCTACGCGCCGAGCTAGTGGACCGACTCGCGTCGATGCTGAACTTCAACCTACAGCAACTCTGCGGACCTAAGTGCAAGAACCTCAAGGTAAATTTAACCTTCCAGTTAGTCAGATTTTTATATGATTTACTTAGCTACTATATTTATATAGCACGAGAATTTAATAAAATTGCAAACATATTGTTCTAACAAAAACTCCAGCTCTCATCCCAGCACTCCAGCAGGCCAGGTAATCATGGTAAACATTGCCCAACAATTCTACATTGACATTTTCTAACCATTTGCGCGACAAAGGATTTCTGTCTACATACTTTAGTACAAATATTTAATAGATGATCATCTTTCTTAGCCTTCTTTTATAACTTTCATTTACAGGTCCGTCGGCCAGAGAAATATGGTTGGGAACCCCGAAGACTGCTCAGTCAGCTAGTGGACATCTATCTACATCTCGACTCGCCGCAGTTCCACGCCGCACTTGCCGCCGACGAGGTAACAGAACTCCACGTTCAATATATAATATCTTCTTACTCTTACCCGTGGCTTCGTTCCCGTCATTTGATTACCTACCCTACCTGGTCCTACCTACCTACCCTACTTTACCTACTCTACTCTATGCTTTGTGCTTCCCCCAGTTATTCTTAGCAACCTCACTACCAGCCAAATCGGTTCAGCCGTTCTTGAGTTCTAAGCGTAATTAACACGACTTTTTAATACAAATATTTAATTTTATAATAATTTGTATGAGATGTTGTGTTTGCGCAGGTAACTCTTAGGGCTGATTTTTCTATAGTCGGAATAATGTTATCTGAGGAATAAAATTGTTGCTGACACTGTTTTATACAAACATTCTGACGCGACAGCATCATAATTATTTCCCCAGTTGTATCTAACCATTAGAACACAACCCTCTATCAAGTATATCTCATTATAGTTTCTTTTTACAAAAATTCAAATATTGCATCGAAACCACAAAATTGCTTTTCACTAACAAAATGTTAAAATATTAATGTTCTACTTCCAGAGGTCATTCCGCAAAGAGTTGTTCGAAGAAGCATCTTTGAGGCTAGCTAAGTCGTGCATCAAGACGCCCACGGAAATAGAGCGGTTCAAGGCGCTTGCTGATAATGCATATCAAATCGCAGGTGAGTTCCATTTGTGTTTATTGCATTTGTTGTCTGTTTATAATAGCCTTTATAAGCTCTTTAATTAATGCGTATCACCCTATAATCGTAGGAATGTACAACTTTGAAATGTTCATCATCATCATCATCAGCCTTCAAGTGCCCACTTCTGAGCAAAGGCCTCTTCTTAGATGGAGAAGTTTTGAGCATTAATCACCATGTTTGCTTAAGCGATAGCGGATGAGCGATTTCAAACTTATAATTAGAAATAATAAGTTCAGGTTTTCTCACGATGTTGACCTTCACTGTACCTGTACTGTACCTATGTCATTGGTGTCTAAAAAATCTTAGAAAGTACATATAACTCAAAAAGAAAAAGTCACTTTACTACTTGCCAGCCACGACATATCGTTGATATGTTCAGCAGTGTGAAATCTTGTCTGTCACAAAGTCACGTCATATACTCATCGTATTATTTGTTTCAGTGTCTAATCAACAGAAAAGCGATGAATATGCTGATGCTCCTGAAGAATTCAGGGACCCACTCATGGATACACTAATGACTGACCCAGTCTTACTACCTTCCGGAAAAGTTAGTGTGATACTCATTTTCTGTGTTAACTTATTGATTGGGTATTTGAATTGTTTAGCTTACTTTGCAATCATTGTCATATTTTCAGATAATGGACCGATCTGTGATTCTGCGCCATTTGCTAAATAGTGCCACTGATCCCTTTAACCGACAACCCCTTTCCGAGGATCAGTTACGTCCAGGTACGTTTTAAATTATTTTATGACATTTAATAAATATTGTAACATAGTTTTGGTCTAATCTTTATATAAACCTTACCCGCTCCAGTTAATGACCGAAGCCCAATTTCCCATTATCACCCCCTACTTTTTAACCGACTTCCAAGAAGGAGGATGGTTCTCAATTCGACCGTATATATGCTTTTTCTAAAATTGTCTTTGTTTAAAACTTAATCCTAAGAATAACGAAGACAACAAAAAAGATAAAATTCGTCAGGGCATTGTTGAGTTGCGCTTACTAACACATTTTATAATATATTTTTTACTTTCCAGCAACTGAGCTCAAAGAGAGGATCGACCAATGGCAGCGCGACAAGAAAGCGTCGACGTCATAAGCGAGGCCAACATTAAAGTCTGATGTATATAACGTAACCCATATATAAAGACTACCGGACGGATTTTTCCGCCTTTGATGGACTATTGTCCGTATGCGTGAATGTGAGATTATTCCATGTATGTTTAACTGTTCGGATGTTTCGTGAAGTTGAAACCACGTTATTGTAACGTTTACGACCTCTAACGGATCATTTTCAATTTGCATACAGGTGTTAATTTAATCATTACATTATTTTCATATTGTCACAAAATTCTTCCATTATTAGTATTACGTATTGTGGCAAGAACCAAATTTTATCCAAACTACTATTAAATTTATATTTTATAATAAGACAAGCTTCAATTCACGGAGTATTCGGTTGGCATCTATTTATAGCTTTAACACATTGCACGTGATTCTCGGTTCTTTATGTAATTTCATGAAGTTATATTAAATAAACTTAAATTAACATCTGTATTATTGGCGCGTTGAACGCTAAGAGAGAAAGTTTAACTGAAATTACCATCACACATAGTTGTATGTAAAGGCCTAAATCTAAGATACAAGTAACATGACATTTACGGAGTAAGCTAGGTGCTTTCGTCTCGACCCCAAATTTGATGACTATGTAACATGAGCACAACATACAGAGTAATACGACGTGGAACATGTTGAGCTGGATATCTTTCTGCATTTTATAGGAAATCTCGGTAACGTCGTGAGCATGTAATTTCGATTTAAATTGGTTAGTCCTACATTAGTTTAACTAATGGTTATACATTAGGATATAAATATATGAAACATATAGGAATTGTATGGAATGTTTAAGACTTCTTATTTTTGTGCAAAATGAAAATTAGAAAAATGTATTTAATTATATTTTGATTTCTACTTGATTATAGTGATATTATGTTTAGTCTTTGTTAGCAAACATGATTTTTGTATTATCGTTTAATACATTGTGATTTGTTCCTTTATAACTTTAGTTATGATGATTTGAAATGGATTTTCACTTGAGAATTAGGGAATAGTATTCGTTATGATATCAGTAGCTTAATTCAAATAATATAATTCACGGCCTGTCAAAGTTCTACGGATTGACGAACTCGCCGATGTATCCAGTATACACACAAGTTAAATATTCGTGGATGCAAAGGCAAACTTGAAACATGCATAATATGTTTCACTGAGTAAATAAGTTCAAGTAGACTACTATGAAGACACTGTATTGGAATATAGTATGTTTGTAATATGTATTTCAACTTTTAATATTTCTCCAGTCACTGCCAATATATTCAATGTAGTTTAGATCAGGCATTCCTGAATGAAATCCATTTCTTTAAATTACATGGTCTCACTTGTATGATAATTTGACTTGTAATTTATCATAATATTATGAAGATTATATATCATAGAGGTCTCCTACGTTGATTATATCAATAAAATTAAATAAATGAAAACCATTGTTTTTGTCATCACAATTTTAGTATACACTTTTACATCAATTATATTGGGACTAAATTTACTAGCTTAATTAAATAAATTATTGTCAATTTACAATCAAGAGATTTCATTGTATTCAAATTACAAAAGTACTAAACAACAGCTTTTATATAAAAATCTTGAAAATTATTCTTAAACATTATAAGAGGTAGATGATATTTTTCGAAATGTGTACCCATAACCTAAGCAATCACAAAAGCGAGATGTGTTACAAATATCTCATTGACTACACAACATTCATTGAAATTCAGACTCCATTATATTTGTTAGAGGAAGTTCAGTGTCACCAACCTAATCCTTTTACATGTTTAGACAACAATGACACTCATACAACTTAACAAAGCTATTTTACATAATTATCATGTTCCATCATAACAAAAAAAGAACTTTTAAATGCTGTTAAAAGGAAAAATGAGACTTGAATTTCATAAAATTTATGATGGATCACTGAAATGGTATTACTAATTATTCTCATTAGATATAGTATCTATTTTTTTTATAAAACTACACTTAGAAATATGTTGAATACTAAGATTCAATCCACAGTAAGAAAACTTATCAACATTATAATGACCAGAAATAAGATTGTAAGGCACTAAAATTTTTGGTAGTAGGATATATTATAGTAGATTGACATTGACATATTCCCAATTTTCATACAATCTCGTGTAGCATAATTTAATATAGTGTACAAAGAACAACCAACGTCCAAGATTTGATTTAAACCCATATAAATGGTGAGATACATTAATTAATTTAAGACCTTTGTTTGTCAATCACTGTTAGAAGAAAAATTAAAGTGTACTTAAGTCGGGTGTTAGAGCTACAGTGTTCATTTCTGACAGGAAATTATTTTCATCTCAGCATTATTTACATTACTTAACATACAAAAATATACATTTTTATAGCAACTTACAAAAATTGTCAGTCCTATGATCAAATAACAACAATTGAAAATTTACTTCATTTACTTGTTACCGAAGAAGGAATGGGAGGCGATGAGCAAACAAACATGATATCATGTAGAGCATGCCAAAATAGAAATTTAGTCTGGCTGTCTGTCTCGGTACATATCTCATTGTCTCAGGGCTTCTAAATCTTCTTTCTATTTCAAAAGCTCTTGGCAAAGTTAACAATGGGATTAAAAACCACAATGAACAGCGCACTGAAGCTACCACAAACATAATGTATGGAGTAAATAATAAAAAGGCATACAACAGATATGAAGCTGTTCTGCCAATCAATATTGCTAAAGTCACTATTTCTGCTTTACTATCTGTCTCCAGGTCTCTGGTGTTGTTGCTGTGCAGAATAGCCTCAGTATTCAGTGCAAGTGGTATTGCATAATAAATTATTGGCCAATCCACTCTACCAGTTTGCGCTAAGAAAGCAAAAACCACTGATACTGGTCCAAATATCACCAGAACTAAAATATCACCAAGAGCTATATATTTAAGTCCTATGCCGCCAGTATATAAAAATGATGAAGACAATCCTCCAAAATATACCAGAGCCAAATGCTCCATGCGGGCTGGCGATAGAATTACAAGTGGAACAAAGGAGGCACATCCAGCAAGGTACAATATAGCTCCAAGAGATACAACTTCATCTATACTCAAAATATGATCAACTAGAGTTCTATCGTCAGATTTACGGTTGTCAATCCCCTTAACAAAATCAAAGTAGGTGTTTACCACATTGCCAGCACCATGAACTGGAATAATTGTACACAATGTTAACAATAAAGTGCACCAACTAAAGCCACTATCGCCGGGAAGTCGGTAAGCAAGCGCAGCCCCCAGCAAAGTCGGTAATAAACTTGCACTCAACGACCAAGGACGTAAGGCAAGGACATATGTTCGGACTTTCATTAGCGGATTCCGAGTTGGCGTTGTTTCTTCTTTCGGTTGCTGCAGGAGGTTCCCTTCTACTGTTGGAATATCCATATCTTCACTTTTCTTATTAATATCCATGTAAAAACAGCAAGTAATTCAAACTTTATTCGAATCTAACACTTTTTATCAGACTTCATTTTAATTCAGCATTTTCTAAATGAGATATGGGATTTCTTCATCATTATAGTAGGTAAATATTAAAACCGTTTGCACACAATCCCGTTATTTTTTGTACCGGTGATGACCGATATTCAGATAGAAATCACAAAATTCAAGCCTAACTCTGTCAAGTCACAATAATAACACAATGTCATTTGTCATTGTCATGAGAACTCATATGTCATCCTAACACAAAAATGTCTATAATGCTGGCCCGCAGTCTATGGTAGTACAGTAGTGTAGCCATAAAACGGTTTTATTAAAATAAACCGGGTTTTAGGACTCAGATGTGCTATTGGTCGAAAAATTGAGCTATTTATGAATAGCAATTCTGTTTCTCACAGCATCAGAGTACCATCGCAAGATAACACTGAAAATTTTATCATTTAGACGTTTGACCTAAAAATTAGGAAAGAACACTATATTTCAAACATATTATATTGAGGATTGCAGGTACTTTAGTGTTTTTATTTATTAAACTAAATTTGTTAGCATATAAATTACTTTAAAATGAATTGAAACTTAATAACAGATTTATTTCTTTCGTTATGAACAATCTTTTTAAATCATCTGCAAATATCTAAGAAAAATGTATAATTTAATTAATTGAATGTGTCAGGGATCATCAACCGTCTTATTTACCTTAAGTAAGTGCTATAATTTCTTCAAAAATGTAATATAAACAAACATGTTATCAAACAAGGTCGTGGGGATTAATAATACGTAGTAGTATTCCAAGTCTAGGACTGCTATTAATTTATTTCTTACAGGTTTAAGTTAAAACTAACGCAAAAACTAGGTAGTGTAATAGATCGCTATGATACTAATAAATTAATGACACACTAAGTTCTATGAATAATATTGACTGTTAACTTTAGACATAGGTATGGGTAAGTACCTACGGATAGTGTGATAGCAAACAATTAAAAAAATCTAACTATACTAATATAATAAAGAGGTAAAATTTGTAAGTTTGTTAGTAGGTAATCTTTGGAACCGCTGATCGGATTGTCAAAATTCTTTCAATAATAGATGGCTACAATGTTCCTGAGTGCTATAGGCTTTATAACATCACGCTACGATCAAATGTAGCCGAGCAACGGGTGAAACCGAGAGAGAGAGTAGCTAGTTGCTTAAAATTTTTCTGTCACATTAGGTTACCCAGTTAAGACAGGTGTGTTATATAAAACAAATGAATCACAAGCGCTCAAGGTTGGCAAATTATCTAATTGCAATATTGTCACGACTAGAATCGTAAGACTTCGTAGCGAGGGGAACTTTTATAGGTCGCTTCCTAATTTTACTCGGTTTATATGAAGGTCATGGTATTGAAGGAGATCTCGAATAAAACTGATTACCGAAACTTTGTTTTTCCGAATTTGTTAAATTTATTAACATTGGAAAAATAAACGTCTGTTTGCTACAAGCCAGATGGCAACGTGACTCAAGGTTTTTTTTTTTCGCATTAAAACCAAACAATATTAAACTGCTATACTTGAAAACTTTGTAAATGCACCTTCTCTTGCAACTAATAGGATTTTAAAATAAAAAACAAAGTTTCATTTAGGTTTCTTTTTATTCGAATGAAGCTTAGCTTCTATTAATTTAACCCAACTCTCAAACTGTTCGTTATCTTCTTCATTTAACTCATCACAGAACTTGTCAATGTCTTCGTCTTTAATATCTTCTTCATTCTCTTGAGGAACAAGGTCTTTAGTTCGTTTTTGTTGATTTGTAGTAATATCAACTTCAACTGGTTCATCATCGTCTTCTGTAAATATTATCTTTTTATTTTTGTTTATCTCACTGCCTTTATTATTCTGTGTTTTATTTTTATTTTTTCGTTTAACTTGTTTTTTGTCTATGACCGCATTAGTTTCGTCAGGTTTCGGTGCATCTTCATCGCCTGATTCAATCTTAGCTCTTTTATTTTTAATATTTTTACTGCTTGCACTTACGTCCTGAGTAGCGACGTTAGATGACTTACTTCGTTTACCCATTATGCTGAGAATAAGAAAAGAGTTCGTTGAATACATATGTACTTAAGATAGATTAAATTATCAACATTTATCAAATACGCGAATGTAAATTATCTCCGATTTTACTATGTATTTAATGTTGTTAAATAGTAAACTAATGTTAAGTACCTATACAATTCAAACAATATTGTAAACAATGATTATTATCACGCAAACAACGAACGAGGAACGGAATAGAACTCCACGTTATGTTTTCATTAAATTAGTAAACTGACTTTGCGATTAGTAAAAGAATACGGAGAAGAGCATATGTTTTATACCGAGTAGAATGTGCCGATGTTTACACCGAAAAAACAATTTATGCCGTTATCGTAAAAGTAATATCAACTGAGTAATTTATTAGCCGTAAGTTAGTGAATCGCTGAAGTGTTTGATAAACACATCGAGCACTCAAAGAGATAAGCAATACAATCCTACTTTTACGTAATAACCAACGCGACTACACGAGGTCAATGCGGGCGCATTGCCACCAGACGAGACCACCCGCCACCCACTTTTCATGCGGGCTGCCGTGTTCGAGCAATAGAAACAAATTGCCGAACGAGTCGCGTCGTCTCACTGTTTATCGAGAGTGTGATTTTTAATTTCCATTTTTTTTCTTTCGTTTAAGTGCAAAATGGCTGACAAGAGTTTTATACTGGGGATGGATATTGGAACGACTTCAGTAAAAGTTTGTGTTTACGACCCGAAAACAAAAGAAATTGTTGCTAAACAAAATAAGGATACAGCGGCAAACATACCGAGCGACCAAGGTATAGAGGGTAACAAACAAGATGTGCCAAAAATAGTATCAGCTATTCACTACTGCATCTCTCGTCTTCCGAGAGATGTACTACGAAGTGTCACAAAAATTGGAGTGTGTGGCCAAATGCACGGAGTTTTGTTATGGAAGAAAGGGTATGTTTATTTATATTGAAATGTTATTTCTACCTTAAAAATACGTGATTATTTTCTTAATTAGTATGTAAATATTCAACTTAAGTATTTCAACTACAACACAAGCACAACTAATGTAAACCGAAAAATAAACACCAAGTATATGTTTATCCATAAACTTTAAACACGTTTTCTTATGGTCAGTAGAGCCATTTACAGTTATAAAACAGAATAAACTTATTTAGTATTTTATATTTTATTTACAGTGCCTGGGAAAAGGTCGAAAAAGATGGGGTTGTGATGCGGTTTGAGGCAACGAGAGAAAACATGTCAGCATTGTATACTTGGCAGGATACAAGATGTAAACCAGAATTTTTAGAATCATTGCCTAAGCCGGACTCACGTTTAAATTGCTACTCTGGGTATGGGTGTGCAACTCTTTTATGGATGCTTAAACACAAGCCTGAAAAGCTGAAAAATTTTCAATATTCTGGGACAGTTCAAGATTTTGTGGTTACTATGCTTTGCGATTTGGACATCCCAGTAATGTCTGATCAAAATGCTGCCAGTTGGGGATATTTTAATACCGAAAAAAACGAATGGAACACCGATATTCTAAAATCGGTCGACTTTCCAGTAGAGCTTTTACCTAAAATCAGTAGAAGTGGTGAATTTGCAGGGAAATTGAAGGCCGCTTGGAATGGTATTCCTGAGGGAACGCCTGTAAGTGTTGCCATGGGCGACTTACAATGTTCTATTATCGCTACTCTTGAGACCAAAGAGGATGCAGTTCTGAACATATCGACGTCTGCCCAGTTAGCATTCGTGGTGAATAATGTTACCGACTTAGGCTGTAAAACAGTCGAACACTTGCCTTATTTTAATAATACACACTTAGTAGTAGCTGCGTCTCTAAATGGAGGCAATGTTCTAGCCACCTTCGTAAAAATGCTTCAACAATGGATGCTTGAGCTCGGTTTTCCTACGCCTCAGTCCAAGGTATGGGAAAAACTAATCGCTTTGGGTTTGGAAGCTAAAACATCGAATATGCAGATAATTCCACATTTGTTAGGAGAAAGACATGCCCCGACTGCAAAAGCTTCAGTGGAAAATATTGACCTTTCTAACATCCAACTGGGTAGCGTGTTTAAATCGCTCTGTGATAGCTTGATACAAAATTTACATCACATGATGCCTAAAGAAATATTGCGAAACGCCAATGTAAAACGAATTGTTGGAAATGGGTCCGGTTTATCTAGAAATGCTGTATTGCAGAGAGCTGTTGAACACTATTACAGTTTGCCACTAGAATTTACTTCAGGGGGCGATGCAGCAAAAGGAGCTGCTATTGCAATAATATAGTCGACTAGTTTATTTATTACGTTATTCTGATCTTCTTTCGTTTTATAATCGTTATTGCTCTCTGTTCAAGAGCAAGTTAATGTAGGAATGTTATAAGTAGTTACAAGTAGCCTAAACACATAACTATTTAATGTATAAATAATGTTTTGATAAACATATTCAAATTATCCGAAATAGTTTCTGAGCTGTTCTTGATCTATATCATTCCAATTTATTGCATATTTGTGACAAACTAGTAAAATTATAAGTTTGATGTGACATTATTGCCTAATAATAAAATTAACAGGATACTAGGTATTAGCTGTAATCAACCTTCCATTGTTTATGATCGTGGTTTTTTTTAATTTTGTTATTTTATTACAATATAAATGTATTTACATTTGAATGAACAAGTTTAATTATTTAACATTCTGAGTAGCCCAAATATGTATAGGTACCCATCTATTTTTAGATCGTCGTCTATCATGCCCGCCCGGCATTCATTAGTGTCTCGACTCTCGATAGGTACATATTATAGCGCTATATTGTAATATCGAGTTTCGATTTTCAAAATGATTTCCTTCTGTATAGGTACTTGGTTTACAAATTGCAGATATTTTAATCGTGTTGTTGTAACCTTAGGACCCAATTAGGACCTCTAACAAGAGACATTTTCATTCTCAAACTATATCCTAAGCCTACAACATTAAACTCTATCCAATCAAATATTTTCAATTACCTATGCAATATTACTATATTTATACATTTGTGAAAGCACCTATAAAGTGGACGATAGGTATTTTACAATTTAAATATCCTCAGGGGCAGGAAACATTTATTGTATGCATTTTCAATTAATTTTACATTTTATATACTATTTCACCTTATTGAGTACTAAAATGTAAATTTAATAAAATAATAGAGATGCCTTGTATTTACATAAAAACATCTGAATTACCTGTTGATTTATATTCGTAGAACTAAAATTAATTAGTTACTGTTTCCATTCATCTTCTTCGATCAACACAGACTTAAATTTATTTAAATTAACAATATCTCTAAAATATCGAATCTTAAACAAATTATTGTTTACTTAATGGCTAGGCACATAACCTCAAAATTAAATCAGATTAATAGACTATGGTGTATAGATTTTTTTTTAAATTATTTGTTCCTTGGGAACAGGCTAAGGTCCGAGACCATACCGCCTAGTCATTAGTTTTGTTTTTATTAAAGTGTATTTTACTCATCCATATTTTTTTTAAGTTATTCATTTGTTTTCAATCCAAGATTAAGTCATTAGTTTTAGTTAAAATCATAAGTAGAGTTAGTAAAGTATAAATTCATTCGTATATTCAATCCTAAGAAACTCTAGCGGGCTGTCACAATAGGTAATCTCCACAGAACAAATTGTAGGTATGTTCTGTTCTGTGATAGATAATGTCACTTGTCAGTCACAATTACCTAGTCACTAAGTCATGTAAAAGGTGCAAAAAACTCAACAGTCGACGTGAGTCGACACGTGGTCAACCTCACTCAAACAAAATAAATAAATAACAAACGTGAATGAAAAACAATAAAATTTTTCCAAGCAAACAAAACCTATATACAATTTTAATTCAACAATGCTAGACAGAATACTATTTATTTACATTTAAATTTGTTCTACCGTACTAATTATAAATTTGTACAAAGCTAGATAAGTTGCATTATTTACAAGGAGATCCTGAATGGAGCGCGGGACTAGATTCGAACACTTATAAATTTTGATTAGCTCATCCATTAGCACAAGGCGCTGAATGCCAAAGGATGGGCAACTAAAGAAAATATGATCCAAGGATTGCTCTACCTCAGTATCGCAGAAATCGCAAGCCGAAGATTGTACCATTCTAAGACGATATAGATGAAAGTTTAGACGACAATGACCAAAGCGGAGCCTCAAGATGGTTGTGTAAAATTTCCTACAAAGATAACTATTATTATGACAGAACCATGGTTTGGAATTTATTGAATTGTTAAGTGTTGCATACCATGATCCTTTATTCTGTATTTGTATTGTATGATGTTTTGTCCACAAATCTAATAACCTTTTCTTTAAAAGAGAAACAATATCTGAGTATGGAGTAAAAATATTAAGTTGGCAACTTGAATCAGGGACATACTCTGCAGAATTCGTTATTGTTCGAGCTAAGAAGTCAACTTTTTCGTTTCCTGATACACCACAGTGTGAGGGGACCCACATAAAATAAACTTCAAAACCATCCCTAAACAGATCTAACCAACTTTGTTTAATAGAAAATATGAAATAATTAGTGTTAGCATTCAATTTGTTATTTTTAAGATTTTGTAAAACACTCATGCTATCACTAACTATGACCCATTTATAATGACCACCATTTTTATGTTTTATGTGTTTTAAAGCTGCAAGAATAGCCACAGCCTCAGCTGTGAATATACTTGCATTAGCGTTGATTTTGTAACCAATGCCTAAATTCGATTGCTCATCAAACATTGCAAAAGATACAGCCGACTCAGTTTTCGAACCGTCTGTGTAAATGAAATTGAAACCACTAAATTCAGTGAATCTAAAATAAACATCTTCTTTACAGTTTAGTTTGCTATCAATAATTATGTTAATTGCAGGAAATTTACTTTCAAAATCACCCTGATAACAGGGCAGCAACTCTGACTGATAAATATGCAATCCTTTAAGAAATGTATGAAATTGAAGAAAGCCCTGAAGAAAATAAGGAGATTGATGAAAAGATACAGAAGAAGATCGTGTTAAATAAGACAAAAGGTGATTATTACTTTTACTGTAAAGTTTTAAAATGAACTTTTCTTTTAGAAAAGAAAACCTGATATTCATTGGCGGCAGATGGCACTCAACTTGTAGTGAATTAATTGGTGTGCTTTTAAATGCTCCAGTAATAAGCCTCATACTTTTATTTTGAATTTTATCCAATAAATCTACCAGATTACTATTACCAGCGAAACAAAGAAACCCATATTCAAAATGACTTCTTATAAGAGATTTGTATAATAATAGTAATATTTTAGGGTCAGCACCCCAAGATGTTTTACAGAGTGTTTTTAAAATATTAAAAGCTTTGTTAGCTCGTATGGTTAATAAATCAACATATTTATTCCATTTAAAATTTTGTGTAAAAATTACACCTAAAAATTTTGCCTCATTAGAATGAGGAATTGGAATTTTGTTATAGCATACTGCAGGACCACAACTATCTGTTTTTCCGAACAATACCACTTTCGATTTTAGAGGATTAATATCAAGGTTTAAATAAGAAAAATATTTATACAACCCTTCTAGCGCCTTATTTACAACATTATTAACATCAGATATTTTTTTTCCAGATGCATAAACCACCAAATCGTCAGCAAATTGCAGATTTTTAACCTCAGGACCCAAAATTAAATTAAGCCGACGTATGTACAGTACAAAGATCAATGGAGAAAGTATACCACCCTGACAAACTCCAACAGATGCAAACCTTGGACCATATAATCTAGAGTTATATTTTACAAATACTTCTCTATTTGTTAAGAATGTATGTATCCAGGAAACTATTTTGCTTGGGATTGCAATTGACAATAACTCCGAACAAAGAACATCTATATTGACACTGTTAAAAGCACCAGCAACATCAAAAAAGACAGACATCAAAAAATTTCCATTATTTATACTATTTACAATATCAAGCTGAAGCTGACAGATACTTTCACGTGCAGATGTACCCCTTCTGAATCCAAATTGATTAGAAGGTAGGATATTATTTTTCTCAACATAGAATTCTAATCTTTGTTTTAAAAGTTGTTCAAAAACTTTACCAACACAAGAAGTTAAGGCAATAGGGCGATAGGAATCTGGATGAGAAGTAGGTTTATCTGGTTTTAATATGGGCACTAAACAATCAGATTTCCAAGAATTTGGTATTTTATTATTCAGCCATAAATAGTTCAAAACTTCTAAAAGTATTTCAAAGCTATTTGAATTAAGATTTTTAAGCATAACATAAGGAATACCGTCTAAGCCAAATGCAGTGTCTCTTCTGGAAAAAACGGCAGACTCTAATTCCTTCAACGAAAAAGGCTTAACCAAGAAGCTATCGGAAGAATCAATTAAACTGGACAGGGACGAATAACACTTGTTACTGACGTAGTCTGGGGTGTACTTTTTTAAAAATTGGGGGATCCAGCTGTCATCATTTTTACTATAAAAATATGTTTTGTTATATTTACGCATAAAATTCCAGATTCGGGATATAGGAGTACAGCGATGAAATGAGCTACACAGTTTGACCCAACTATTAGTCCTCTCAGTTTTTAAAGTAAGTTTTTTAACAGCCTGAAGTCTTTTGAATTCCATGTAAGTTTCATCTGATGGATTATTTTTAAATTTAAGGTATGCTAGTTTTGATTTATTAACTACCTCAGTACATTTTTGGTTCCACCATGGCAAAGGTACCTTTTTAAAAGACTTTCTAACAAAATTACTATCCTTGGCAAGTGAAACACTTTTTGGTATTGATTTTTGAACAGCCAAATCTAATATTTTGATGAATTCATTATACGCATCCAAAGGCGTAAAATCCTGGGCCTGAAAGTTGGTCAGTAAAAAGTCCACCTCCTGAGCATAAATTTTCCAATCAACCGATTTAAAGCTGTAAAAATTAGGCAGGTTTTTACCAGTTTGTACATTATTACTTACACTATTATTAACAAAAATGTTTATCATTATAGGTAAATGATAACTGCCGAGAGGATCATTATATACCGACCAATTAGAGCAAAGTGCCAGTGATGGAGAAACCAAAGTCAAGTCTAAAGCATTCGGACGCCACGTCAATGAACCAATCGTGGTAGCCTCACCGCTATTCAGAAGGACCAAGTCATTTTCATCAATTACTTGCAAAATATCTCTGCCTCTAGGATTAGTAGAATTACATCCCCAAGATGTATGATGAGCGTTAAAATCGCCTGCAAATATAACTGGCTTAGGTATGGACTTTATTAAATTTTCAAACTTCAATTTATCAAAGGCTGGAGAACAATTAGTTGGACAATAAAAACTTACAATACTAATTTGTTTATTTTTTACAGTAATATTTACACAAATATTTTGTAAACAATTGTCATAATAAGTATTAATTTTATTATATTTTATACTTTTATGTATTAAAATGGCTACACCATTATGTTTACTACCAATGTCATTTCTTTCAATTTTGTAATTTTTTATATTGAAAATCTTTTGGGGTTGTAACCAGGTTTCAGAAATAATACCTATGTGAATATTGTTTTCATTTAAAAATTGTGTAAGTAAAAACTTATTACTAATGATGCTTTGGGCGTTCCATTGCATTATATTTATTGTGTCCATTATTTGGAGGGAGTATGATTATTTCGGAATGTTTGATGTAATATTTCTTTTATTGATATTGAATTAATTGGTTTATCTTTTTGTTGTAAGATTATTTTAGTAATTGCTTGGGTCAGTATATTCATAAAAGTATCTGATTTGGTTAAATTTTGTATTTGCGTCTCTAAAGTTTTAGCATGTAATTGTGGAAAATTGGTTTCTTTAAATAATTCTGAATATTTAATAGACATGGATTTTATTTTATTTTGTTCTACTTTTAATTTCTTTTGTGGACACACATTGGAGATGGCAATATGATTACCTCCACAATTTGCGCACTTTGCATCATTTTTTGGGTCTTTTAAACATTTTTTATAATTGTGTCCCTCTGCACATATTGAGCAAACCTCTGTGTTTCTACAAAACTTTGCAATATGTCCAAATCGCAAGCAATGCAGACATTGTTTTACCGGAGGCACATATACGCTTACTTCATGTCTCCAATTATCAAGGTACACATACTCTGGCAACTCTGTTGAGGCAAATGTGACTGCCACCGTTTGGGTAGGTTGGAACGATGCTATACCTTGCTCAGTTCTAACACGTCGCATGAACCGACGTACCTGAATAATATTGCGGGAACTTCCTATCAGAGAAAAAATCCTTTCATTTGAGAGCCCTATCGGGACAGAAGTAAGTACTCCAGTGACCTCAGTATCAGACGCCGGAATAGTAGCTTTTAATTTTAATTCGTCTAATAGTTTTTTATTTTTGAGAAAAACATTTGCGTTGTTGGACAGATCGAAAGTAATAGCTATTTTGAATTTGTTTATTGGTCTCAAATGCAGAACACCTGTGACACAATGTTTTCTAATGGCGTTTGAAATAGCCAGACGATCTTTGTCAGAGAACTGTTGCTTTTCATCTATATGTGTAAGAAATACGATATATTCAGTTTTTTTACAAGTTTCTGGATACCGCCTGGAGTATCCAGGGACCTTAAAAATTTGATACTTCCTTGTGGGATCTTCAAACTCCGACGCCTCGGATGAAGAGTCGCTTTGAGTGTCGGCGGCGGCGGCTCCGTCAGGTGGATCCTTTTTTCTTTTTTTCACCTTGCCCATCTTCTGATAATTTAATTTTTTTATAAATATATACAAAACCAGGTATTTACAAGTACTTTACACGATAACTATACAAAAAAGATATTTAGTATTTAATTGAAATAAAATATTTTTCAAAAGGCGCCTTTTCTATTCAAAGCTTCCCGCCAAAAAAAAACTGTCAATCCTATGGTGTATAGACCTTAAGTGAGAGGAATAGAGAATTTATAGACTTTTAATCTAAATCGCCAACAGAGCTATAAGAGGATTTTATTTAAAAAAAACGAAAACGGTGAAGCTAAGAGAATAATAGGCAAGTTATTAATATTGGTTCTCGCTACCTATTTTAAGTTGTAGTAAAAGCTATTAGCCGTTAATTCTCTAATCCATCAACTATGTCATATCATGTCTATTGTCTGACTTCTAAAATCATCTGTCAATTGTCATATGTCAGAATTCACCTGTGGAAATTGGAATTCACGTTGAAATGTTTTTACTTTAAGAAATGATAAAATTGCCCATGTGTAGGTACTTCATACATATTTTTTAAAAGGTTATAGAGAAATATAAGCATGACTAGATTTGCAAGAGCTAAGGGCTCGAAATCTTCCAACGAAAGAGCTCCAGAAGACAGTACACCATGGGAGGTTATGAAAGAACAATTACTGCAAGCTAAAAAAGAGGGTGAGGAATCTAAAAAGAGGAAAGAGGTAGGATATTATGATTTTATTTGGTTATCTATTCACAGAAACAGTCGTTGTTAGTGAATAGTTCTGGTAAATAAACTTATAGGTATTTTAAAATACTTTTGTTTCGAATTTCTAGGCAGAAAAGCAACGCATAGAAAACTACGAAAATTTTCTCAAAGAAAATAAAGTACAAAAACGAAAAGCAACTTGGTGTGATTTTCCTGAATCTGAGAACAAACAGTCAAAAGTAACCAACTCATTTGAATCAAGTGAAACACAAGCGAAAAGCAATAAGAAAAATAAGAAAAATGTTGCTAATGGGACTGAAAATCCTGATCTCAGGAATGTAGAACCAACAAATAATGATGTAGCTGATAATGTAAACAATATAGGAAAGAAACCTAAACCTAAAAAGGTAAAGAAAAAGAGTGAAGAAGTTGCCGAGACCCAGGTTCCAGAAAATACTGCAGAAGAAGACAAACCTACACTAACATTAAAAAAAATTAAGAAAAAGAAGAAGAAGAACGGGCAGAATACAGTTGCAACTGATGCTACACAGGCACAGGAACCAAATTTAAATTCATCAACAAAAAGTAACAAAGATAATAAAAATAAAGTACAGAACTACAACAATGATAATAAACAGCAACCACAAGGTAAAAACAAAAAAAATAAAAAGTTTGTAGATGGCAAACCTGTTCGCAGGAAAGAAATCAATGATAGGAGTTTCCAACTCATCGTAAATGGTAAGGAAATAGAACTAGTCAGGTTTGATGGTTTCCCAGTCATGAAAAAAGATGCTGAAAGGCTCCAGGAGTTAAAGAATAACATGATTAAGAAGGGTATTCCAAAAAGTGAAGTTCAGAGAACTATGAAGTTAGAAAGAAGAAGAGCTGAAAAAGCTCTGGCCAGAATGAAAAGGGAAGTGTGTTATAACTGCAGGAAAGGAGGTCATGTGCTCTCTGACTGCCCAGACTTAAAGTCAAAAATACCATCAGCTGATGCTGCAGAAGGAGTTTGTTTCAAGTGTGGTTCCACAGAACACAGGCAATTTGAATGTAAAGTACAAAGAGATAAAGAGTTCAGATTTGCAACATGCTTTATATGCAAAGAGCCTGTAAGTAAACACCCTTTGTATTTGGAGTTTTAAATTTCTATTTGATATCTTAGCCTTTTTAATAATATTAGTCTATGGTTTGTTTTTGCAGGGACATATAGCAAGGCAGTGTCCTGATAATCCCAAGGGATTGTATCCCAATGGTGGTTCTTGCAAGTTGTGTGGTGATGTCACACATCTAAGGAAAGATTGTCCCACTGTGAGTATTAATAAATTTAATAGTAAGATCTATTAAAGAGTTGTTTATTCACCATGTAGTTACTACTCTCTTCTCCATTCGCACATACTATACATACTATGATATTATAAAGAGGTAAAATTTGTAATTTGTAAGTTTGTATATAAGAGGTAATCTTTGAAACCGCTGGTTGGTTTTCCAAAATTCTTTAAGTCATAGATAGCTACAATGTTCATGAGCGCTATAGACTATTAATTATCACGCTACAAATGGAGCCGAGTACCAGATGAAATCATGTGAGAGTAGCTAGTAATTTATAGAATTGATAGGAAATATACCATACCATGTATCGGCATCTTACTCCAATTTAAACTTTATTGTTGTTGTAAAAAGATTTGAATTCTAGCTAATTGAAATTTCTGTTAACTTCCAGCTAACTGACAAAAAGGAAGAGTCTACAGTAAAACTACATACATTGAACAGTTCAGAAAACATTGAAGATGTAGGGCAGCAAAGCAATAAGTTGTCATATGAGGAACCAAGTAGTAAGAAACCCAAGAAAATTAAATTTTAAATTGTTACATAAGTTATTATGAAATAAAACAATTACACTAATATAACATAATTTTATTTGTTGAAATAACAATGCTAAATGAATTTTGAGGAGATCATTGTTAATTTGTCTTTTAATAGCTTTTGCAAGAAATGTTTGAAAAAGTGTAAACTTATGTTAAAGTAAACTGTACAATAACGCATTTTTATTTATAAAACACTATGATAGGAGTGTTAAAGGATTAATATAATCATGGACTCCAACTATTTGTTGATATTACTACTACTAAAGATAAAAGCTGAGGAAAATTTGGCAACATCCTTATGGCCGTGGTTCTGCCAAACATATTTAAAATGCTAATTGAATGTATTGTTCCTGACTACTTTATAAGCACTCGAGACTAGCTTTAAGTTGTTCCATAGACTGCTGTGCAATCTGTCCAGTTATTCCTTCAGGGCTTTGTGGATCTTCCCTCATAAGAATCCGCGCAGCTTCAGCCAAGCATTGAATGGGCTCTTGCAGTTTTTCTTTCAATTTCTCTTGAGTGATAAGCCCAGCTCCAAACTCGTTTCTTGCTAAGAACATCAAAGGTGCATGTAACTCGTACAACATCATACCTGGAAAATACAGATGGATGTAGATATATGTATTTTATCATATGTCATATAAATAATCAGGAATTATATGAAAATTAAGGTGTCTGTCATCTAGGTGGTGGTAAGCTTGTAACTATTATTTCGAAATACAGAGAGTAGGTATACCTATTTATTTTTCGGGATCGGGATCGGATCGGGAGGGAGTGTCAGACTCTTACTGACTAAAAACCCCCCTGTTCCTTCTCCTGCTTGGCCGAGGTTGCGGTGCCTCATTGCGCTTACCCCGCCACCCCGGCTGAACATCAGCCCTTTAGGGCCCCGTCTGTGGTGGTCTATTGGCTCTTTGAGGCGCTCGCGGAACGCTACGCGCCGTAAGGCCGGGCGCGAGAGGTCGCCGCCGCCGATCACTTCCCTGAGGACACGGCGGTGCTCAGCCCAGGCAGGGCATACCGCTACCGTATGCTCCACCGTATCCTCTAGGTGGTCCTCACAATGACGACACTCGGGCGTTTCCTCCCGCTGGATCCGAAACAGGAACCTACCGAAGCTGCCGTGCCCGATAAGCACCTGCGTCAGGCGGAAGGTGAGGACGCCGTGGCGTGTCTCAAGCCACTCCTCAAAGAGGGGTCTTACCGCTGCTATAGTAGCGTGCCCGGCCCTCGGTTGCGACATTCGCTTCTTCCACTCATCTCGCCGGAGCTCATTCCGCCACGCACTAATTTGGTGCGGCAGAGGATCTCTGCAGTCTTAGTAAAATAATTAAGTAGTAGGAAAGGTTACCTACAGATACGTCCAAGTTACAAACTTACCTCTCATTCGGTTCTCTCCCGGCATAATAACGTCCAAAGTGCTCAGGACTAGCCTACAGAACTCCGCCTTCCTCTCCAGCATGAGGTCCGGCAGCTCATCGATTCCGTACCCTTCCACTCGGCCATACAATTGAGCCAGTGTGTGTTTCAATGACAAAAGCAACGAGTGTCGAGGGTGGAATACTGATTTGTACTGAAATAAAAAAAAAACACATATAGTCTTTACCACGGTCTTTAGCAACGCAATCGCAGAGCTTGAGTGACTAGTGCGAGTTGACGTTAACGTTACCGCGTTAAGTCCTCTGATTGATTGGTTAACTTCGAGCTTGCCAATCAGAGCGCCGAACGGAATAAACTCGATCTCGGACTAGGCAATCTGGTAAACTATAATACTTATGCTCATTAATGGTCTACCACGGTGGTCTATGGGTGTACGACTTGTAAGTGAAATTTCAAGCAATTTTGGACTCTATTCCAAAGAAATTTCGAACTTATTTCGAATTTTATCCAATTGTGATCTCGGAAGCAAAGAAGACTTAGTTTTATTAAAGGTACCTACTCATTACTATGTTATGGAACTTAAAACATTACAAATAGTAGGTAGGTACTTAGTCCTGAATGTCGAGATGTTAATTAGGTTTCATTAGATAACAAACTTTTATTAAGGTTGACTTATTCATGCAGATGAGATTAAAGCAATTTTATTTTTACAATAAGTACAAATTATAAAAAATCTTATCTATCTAAATCTATAAGTAGGTAATACCTATTCAAAGTTATACCCACTTTATTGATCGTGGCCTCTCTCTGCTCAACAGCTCCTGGTCCGGGCTCCATCATATCGAGCTGGTCGATCTCAGACTGCACCACTGACAACATCTTACGCATTGCGGCACCTGAGGTCTTGAACCCACAGTTTTTATCAGTACACGTCCAAGGTGCCTCGTTGTCTGAAAGTTTAAAAAATTTGACTCTTCAAACTATTAATTTTTTTCTAAGGATTTATTAATTTTTTTGAGTGGGAAAAACTATTTAGCGACTTTTCTTGCCCCGGGGCCCCGGGTAAGCGAGAAGCGGCATCTTACTGACTAAAAACCTTCCTATTTGTTCTGTTCTAAGTCGTGGCCGCGGAACCTACCTACTAGCACTAGCACTCATCTAAACTTACATGGTTCACCTTATACGCCTAACCAAGACGGATGTACCTTTTATTTAGGCCAATAATTACCTAACCAATACATCTACAAAATAATGGAGATCATGCCCATGATTTAACTAAAAAAGCATTCGTTCCTACGCAGCTACAGAATTAAAGCATCTGCTCTTGAAGTACTGTCTATCATCTGTCGGTCGTATTTAATAAAGCCGACACCCAGCTTTTCCGTTTACGTGTTCTGAAATAGCACAACAAATAGGTCATTGTCGACGGCTAAATTCATTGGATTTTTAATAATAGTATTATTCGTAGATTTATTAATCGATACCTTTCAAATTCTGTACCTACCTACACGTTTCTGACGGAATTCAAACCTGGGATGCGTTCGATACGATTTGCCCAGACCAATTTTGTACTTGAATATCTGGGTCTACATACATGTATTATGTTTCAATTTGAATTGAAACGCAATTGTGTTACAGGAAAAACCTTTAACAGAGCGTAATTTATCTCAAAAACATTTAAGTTATTATAGGTAATATTTAAATACCTAAGTAAACCTAGGTACATGTAGGTAGGTATTTTAACCACGAAACGTTTTTGTGTGTGGAAAGATAGGTGGATATTTACTATATCACGTAAAAAGTGCTGTCTACGGCTCTGAATTAAATTTGGCATAAAGCTAAACCTCTGAAAGGTGAAGCCGGACAGAAGCCAGTTAATTAAAAATTTATTTATTTATTTATTTATTTATTTATTTATCATCCTTAACACTAACATTACAGACTAATCCAATGCGTTAGTGGGGCATTTAACTAAATAAAACATTAAAAAAATACAATTAAAAACATAAAAACATAAACAGACACACACCCTTCTTGGTTAATTAAAAAGACATACAAAAACAAACAATACAAAAACAACAAAATAAAACACATTAACAATAAATTACGGCCTAATCTATCTTATAACATAATATAAATAAAGTCATCCTTGCGAGTTCACTGAACTGACACGAAAAAATATCTATGTTGTTGTGGATTTCATTTATAATACGAATTGCTCGCGTGAGAGGCGTTTTGGCCAGGAGGTTGGTCCTGGCGGTTGGCACTGACAGCAGTGGCGGGCGTCGTCGTCTCTCCACGTATCTATCCGGCACACAGAGGCTCAAACACCGTAGAACTCCGGGATTGTGCTCCTTGCCACCGAGTAATTTAATTAAATATACAACAAGTGCAAACTCTCGCCGCACCTTTAACTGGTTGTACCCGACCATACCCAGCACAAACAATGTGGGGTACATTAGGGGGTACAGAGGATACACCCCATACAGCCTCCAGTACAAGTGGCGCGTGAATTTGTTCTGTACGCGCTCCAGCATGACAGAGTACTTGGCTTCGTATGGAGCCCATATGACAGCACCACACTCCAAGTGACTCCTAACTAATGCGTCGTATAATACCCTCACTGTTGTTATATTCGTAAAGCCCTGCGACTGCCTAAGTACAAAGCCTAGGTTTCTGTACGCCTTCTTACATATGTTAATAATATGCTCGCGAAACGTGAGCTCTGGGGTGAGTTGAATCCCCAGATCACGCACCTGTGTCACTCGCGTCATGGGTGTTGCCTCTGCTTTGTACTCATAGCAGACAGGGCTTCGCGAACGTGTAAAGGATATTACCGAGCATTTGGATACATTGAAGTATAGTTTATTGTCATGACTCCACTTCACCACTCTGTCAATGTCATCCTGGAGTCGTGCACAGTCCGACTCGTCCCTTACCTCGAGCAGCAACTTGAGGTCATCTGCGAACAATAAACATGTAGCATGTCTGACTACTTCAGGCAAGCTGTTTATCATGATGATAAATTCAAGAGGTCCCAAGTTGCTGCCTTGGCTTACTCCAGACCTTGTGTAGTACGGCTCCGATACGACGCCATTGTAGTCAACATACTGCTGACGGTCTTTCATGTAGCTGACAAAGAACTGCAACAGTTGTGGTGTACAGCCAACATCAGCCAGCTTCCTCAATAAGACATCATTGTCCACGGTGTCAAAAGCCTTTTTGAAGTCAAAATAAGCCGCATCCACCTGCACCCCCGCGTCGACTGCCGGTATAACCTGCGCCATGAAGTTAAGCAGGTTGGTGGCAGTGCTGCGCCCCGGCCGGAAACCATGCTGTGCATCCGAAAGTAGTGCTCGGACCTGCCCCTGTATAGAAGTTTGAATGGCGGACTCAAAAACTTTAGCTGGTGTCGACAGCACAGCCACTGGTCTGTAACCGCTGACATCTGGACCTGACTTACCTTTAGGTACGGGAACGACGCGTGTGATTTTCCATCGTGTGGGGAATGTGGACTTTTGCAAACAGATGTTAAATATATGATGCAGCGGACCTGCTAGAACCCTGGCGCAGTCCCGGAAAAGAAACGGTGGTATACCGTCCGGGCCAGATGAGCGTTTTGGCTTCAGATTTTGCAGCGCCATCTGTACATCGCCAAGAGATAAAGTGTTTAAATGCACCCGTGCACTGCTGACACTGGCTTCCGCCGCCGCCGCCTGTGCATCTAGTGTCGGCGGTACCTGGCTATATACGGACTTAAAAAAGTCAGCAAATTCTTTAGCGCACTGATCATCCGTCAAGTCTCGACCATTTTTTATTATATTTTGGCGATTAACTCTACTTCGTTTGGACCTAACATATTGCCAGAATGCTTTGGGATCCTTCGCGAATTGGTTTTGAATTTTATATTTGTGATCTCTGTATGCTATTTCTATAGATTTTTTAATTTGAGCCCTAATCTTAGCGTATTTGTTATAATCGCAATCAAGTTTTGTCTGTTTAAACTTTTTGTGTAGATCTGCTTTACTTTTAATATCGCGAATTATTTCCCCTGTGTACCATTCGGGATAAACGTAACGCGAGTTTCCCCGGGCAAAGGCCTTCCTGGGTACACATAGATCTAAAATGTGACTAAGCTGGTCATAAAAGACATCCAAAATATCATCTAAATCGTGTGTCTCGTACAGTGTACTCCAGTCAGCAGAAGTTAACATTGTATATAACAATTGATAATCGGCTTTATAAAAATTCCACTGTGGCCTAATGTTGTGCGCAGCGGCATAGGCGGCGGCGGGCGAGGACGAGGGAGACGCGGGGTGCGCGGGCGCGGGGCACACGCTCACCGCGAGCGGCGGGTGGTGCGGGTCGACCGGCACGAGCGCGTCGTCCGTGGCCGCCACCGAAACCTCCCCGCTAAAACCCGTACTAAAAACCAAATCCAACTGACGACCCAAAACATTTGGAACCTTATTACTTTGTGTGAACTCGCAATATGACATAAAATATTCAAAATAATTACTAATGCTAACAGGACACGAATATAAATTAAAATCTCCTATAACTATAACTTGCTTATATCTATCACACATATTTTCAATTAACCTAAACAAAATCATATAATCATTTTCAGAACTCCCAGGTGGTATATAAACTACACAACACAAAAACAAAAATCTACTATTTAAATGAACCGTTGCACAAACAATTTCAAATACGCAGGTGTCTATCGGCGCGTCCGCGACATGTACTTGTCGCAGCTCGAAACGGTGCGTGGCCACGAGAAGCGCGCCGCCCTGCTTGCGTCCGTCGACTCTGTCGCATCGTAGTATTTTATACCCTTGCGGGACAATTTCAGCATCTTGTATGGATTCATTGCAGCCTGATTCGGTAATTGCATATAGGTCCGAGTTAAATAATATTAGGTTATTTCGGAATGTGTCTAGTTTTGTACGAAGCCCTCTTACATTTTGATAACATATTTCTATTTTATTGCTATTTATTGAATGGATTTTCGGATTGTTTACGAAACCAAACCCATTCGTTGAATTCTGCGTTAACTGGCCATACTTCAGCTTTATTCAGATCATCATACATGCGTTCGGGTACACCTATTACGAAAGATGCATAGTCTCTCTCTGTTTTGTGTTTAATTTTTTGAACTTTCAAAATTATATCCTGTCCACAAATACTTTTAATATGGTTGGTCATAGCTTCTTCGGTCGTTTCAGGATGGAGGCGCCAAACATGCAGGTGCTTCTTGCGTTCTGTGGCTTGTATTGCCTTTAATTCAGTATTTTTACCAATACCTATATTCTTAGATGCGCGATGAACTCTCTTATTTTGTACGGTAGTCCACCCCCCTTGGGTTGTGTCTTCATCTTTCCCTTGTTCCGATAATATATATGTAGTAGGCACTGATTCGCCGACAACATTCTCCTGAGCCGACGATGCCGTAGATTTCGTGGCCACACTTTTATTAATATTTTGCTTTTTAGCGGTCTTTTGGCTACTCGCGATCTTTTTGTGTTGAGTGGGGTTAGCATTCAAGGTCACAGCTTCAGCAAATGTAGCGGGCGAACTCGAAGGTGCCTCTTCTGGTATTACCTGGGGGGATTGATGGGCCCGAGACCGAGTCACTCTGCTTTCTACGACCGCTATTATTTTGACCAGGTTATTAAGATCATTTTTTGCTAGTGAAAATTGGTACTGCAGTTGTTTAATTGCATTTGCCTGGCTATCTAAGCGGGCAATAATATCTGAACGAAACTGCTTGAGTTCAACTAGTAATGTGGCATCGACATCGCTATCCATCATAACAGGAGAAAACTGAGCTTGGCTGCCGCGTTGTGTGTTTACATTATTATGCGGTGTGGTGGTAATAGCAAGGTCATTTAAATCTTTTCTCAGCGGCGTTTCCATATTTCCACATTTTGGCTTAAGGCAAATGCAATCTGGACATACCCATTTCCTTTTATAAGCTAGGGTATAAGCATTAAAAGCATTAGGTATGATATTAAGACACTTTAAGTCGTATCTTTTAACGCATTTATCATTAGAGCATTCCATAAAAAAGCTGTCTAATATAGGTGAACAACAAGCGCTGCACTCAGTAGCCATAGTTTTAATTTAACAATTGAACGTTATTTTTGTAGAATTACTAGAATTATATCGATGTGTGCGTGTACTTGCCGAGAGCTTGACGTTTCGCTGTTGTGCGACAAGGACGAATTATTTGCCGCGCGCAGCCCCTCTCTTTTACCCGAGGTGAGGAAGAGCTTACCTCGGCACACTCAGTACTCGCGATATTGCACTCGCGAATTAAATGTCAAAAACAGTTCACACCACTTTAAGCACTCAGTTAAAACTTTTGTTTACACATTATGAGTCAATATTGCATAATTATATATTCCATTTTTTGGAAAAAAACAAAAAAGGCGTCCGCACTCGACAGCGTAACGACGAATGACAATATAGGTAGCCAGGTACATTTCCTCAGGGCATAGATAAAGTTAGGTAATTACCTAAGGGATTAGTAGCCAATATTACTCCATTATCACATTTACTGCACTTAAGAGTGCTGAGATGTGTCCCAAGTTCTGTAGGGTCGGCGCAGCGAGCACAGTCACACTCGAAGAACTTCGACTCAAGCAGAAAGTCACGACGGACAATAGTAGGAGATAAAGAGTGAGTGTAGCAAAGATAAAGAGTTTCTCCCTGCTTTATAGGAACTGCAGCTCGAACTTGGACCCTGGGAAAATTGAAAAATTATAATATCCTTGTATTTTGCAGTTTCTTTATTTACAATGGATCAAGAGATAACTGTCCACTCCCCTGTTGAACGTGTCAGGGCGCCGTTAATAGCTTACCTACCATAGGGCCATGTCGGGCGATACGTTTTCTCGTTTGCTTTGTACGCCGTAAAATTAATATAAATGGATTAAGATTTGTACATTTATGTTATTAAGTATATAAAAATTATTATTATGTTTTCGGCTTACCTACTCACGTAATAATTTGACGCGATACTCGACTAGTTTCAAGCTATGCTAGAGGCCCACTGTCGCGCTGCTACTGATGTCGCGGAATGCTGAATTATTACGTGAGTAAGCCGAAAACATAATAATTAATTTAGAATGTCTCACGAAAGTTATAATAAAAATATATAAAATAAACTTACTGGTAATCATTTTGTAGTATTGTGTGAACGATGTTGGGTACACAGTTGTGCGCCGTGATGGCTAACTGGGGATACAGAGCTCTTATGCTAAATCCGCCACGAGATGGTATTTCCACGGAATTCACCTGTAGATAGATATGAAATAAATTGTGTACCTACCTACAAAAACTACGGCTTAAAAAGTAAATCGGAAGCTATAACGAAGTTGATAGTGCATAGTTGCATACCTAAATCACATACTTATGTAGGTACTTTCCATACATCCCATGATAGGCAATATCAGCCACAAGATACAATGACTTGTAAATCATTGTGGATCTAGAGATTGGCCGGTTATAATCAACGTGCAATCAGGCTTTTTTAGGTCGTGTAGTAAGATACCTATGTATATAGGCACTCTATTTACTTATTCGACTGACTAGAAAAGCTCACCTCAAGAATACCACAGACTTTTTGCACCAGTTCCTTGTCAAATCTGTCGCTAAGTTTACAGTAGTCTACAAGAAAGTCTGCGATGTTGACTTGGTCGGCACCCCAGGTGGGTCTCTCCTTTCGTTCCTTTGTATGAGTCTCCATCACTTCCAGTTCGCGTTGCCATCGATCTGGATCTTTTTCTTTCGCCAAAAGTATTCTGGGAATATAAAATTTTATTTCAGAACATCTAGGCATGACGTGTAATAATGCTTTTTTATCTTCGATGGAGTAGGCATTAACCTCTACTACGTTCATTTGTATATCTAAGCACGTACATAAATATAACAACGACATATGGACAACTGTCGCAAAAAAAAAACAAGTTATGACCCCATGCCATTCACAAACAACAATTTTTGAAAAGAGAAAGAGCTGTAATAATTTAGCTTTTGATGCATGTAAAAACGCCGCAGGTGTATAAGATGTCATGCACCTTAGTCACCAGACCGGCAAGGCAATCGAACTTTACCACTACGATGTACCTAACCCATGAAACTATATGTGTTTATTAACTACGTTTTTACCTTAATGGTGTTATACAGTCAAGTTGCGGGGCGCTCACAGTCCAATCTTCGACTGTTTGGAACTTCACTTTGGCTGCGGAGAAGACTTCACATTCACCGGCGTGAGTGGCAGACTTCCCACATTCCTCGCTGCAGACCGGCCAACCACATGTAGAACATAGGGTGTTCTCCACGGGACAGTAACAACTTAGGCATAGTGGTGGAGTGTCTGCATCAAAATAGTAATCTCAAATCAACAAAATGTTATAATCGACATAATACCTATTTATGTCTGTGGTTGTTACTTCTTGCCAGTTACCTAAGCCAGGTTCGGGCCCCGGCCTGAAGCAGAAGCCGGAACGAGGTGACCTTTACTCGGTAAGAGTTTTACACTCCCTTTCAGACCACGCAGAGTGGGAGGGGGTAGGTAGTAGCTAATAGGTACGTCATTGGATGATTGTCCCCTTTCAAAAAAAAGCACTTAAACTACCTAGGTGTAACTTATTAAGAGCGTACATGTGGATACGGGTCATTACACTTTACACTACACTAGTCACTTGCACCTCACCTATTAACTAGGTAACTTTCGGCATGTGCTTGTGATCCTATGTTGAATGTTCAGAATACCTATGTAATTGTTGGAACACCTAAGTATAATATTGAGAATATTTTTTATATGTGGTCTAATAACTGCTGCAAAAATTGCCTTTCTTTCGGATTTAGAATTGCGTACTAAACAGTTGTAAACCAACAATTTAATACTCCGTAGGTAATGGCAAAGTTTAACATTTAATTATTTTTTTAAAATATTACTAAGTAGATTGTAGTATAAAGATTATGTTATCAAGTGTGGGAGAGCCAAGCTTCGGCACGAATGGGTCGGCTCAACTGGAGCGATACCAAGGCCTCACAGAAAACCGGCGTAAAACAACTACAGCGTTGTGTTTCGCCGTGTGAGTACCTAAGGTTACCGGAGGCCCAAACCAAAATTCTTAATTGATTAACTTGTAAATTAATTCAAAAAATAATTGCTTGATTTAAGTATCAAGATTAATAAGCAGCTAATTTATTTAGTAGGTACATACTATGATTAGTAATAAAATGATTTATTTTGCTGTATTAAGTGTATTTAAGTATTTGCTGAATGTGCCAATAAATTTAAAGGTACACTTGCCTGGTTTTGGTCCAACGGCGAATGGAGTGTCAGTAAATATTAATTCGCCGCTCACTAAATCTTTATTAGCCACCAAATACCGTCCATATTTATCGTTTTGTAGTACACCATAATGACGCACGTCGTCACCCATTTTATTTGTACACAAGTGCTCCTTAGATTGATCAGATACAGATTGAAGCGACCGAAACAGTTTGCTGAAATGCCCACTGAACAAGATTAGCGTCTAAAATAAACTTCGCTCCATTCGAGAATTGGGCCGCTCGAACTTTCTGAACGTTTCCATATGATACGGTATAAGTTTACATTCAATAATACCTATTGTCTGTTATAAATATATGTGCCAAGTGAGTAAACATCTATTCCTAAAAATATCCTCGTCCTCTCAATATCAAGCGAATGCCCGCTAATTAAGGGAGCTCCGCCGGAAACGCTGAAATTTTTTCGAGACGTTACCTACGTCTAATATATCAGTTTATAGTTGTGTTTATTTACGTATTTTTAATTAGTAGATATTTTTATTATGTTACTCACAAACAAAACCTACTACCACTAAAAGTATATCATCAATACCTAGTATATCATCATAATAAAAGTAATACATAGCCGTAGAAGTAGTAGTAATATAGCCAATCGTATCTACACCTAGATATTGTTAGGCACTGCTCAATTTGAAAAGGAATGTCTATAAAGTGAACACTTAGCAGATGTTAGGTCTAGCATCTGTGGAGCAATGCCAATAAAATTATAGGTACCTAGTTATCCTTTCTGCGTGCATATAGACTGTGTAGGTAATAAGGAAAGCTGATATATGGACTAGGTCGTTCACACTAATGACGCGTTTCTATAGTAAATTTATTTGATCACTAAGCAAATGACTTAAGGTATTATATTTTTCATTGTTTAATATCAATTATCGCGATAATTATTATTGGCATTTCCCGTTATAGTGTGGGGCGACAATGCGAGACTCTAACTGATTATAAATCACCCCGTTTTGCCTGGTCTGGACCTTGTGACGCGGTTCATTATTGCGTTTTTACCCGCAATCACGCCAGCTCATCATCAGTCCTAGTGGCTCTGCCGCTGCCGATCTGCTAGCTTTTAGATACCGCGCGATGATCTATCCATACTAGCCGTCCATGGCGCGATTCCCGACGTCCGGGTGTCCCCTCCCACAGGGATATCACCAGGTAACACTCCGGGCGTCGTGGATCGAGCGACGATCTCTGGCCACCATAAGCGCGGGTCGGCAAGGAGTGCAAGGTTGTCGAGCGAGGGTAGCTTAATTGTCTCTTTTTAATGGCATAAAATGATGCTATTCGTATTTAGTCGTACTTAATAGTTCTTCAAGTAATTCTAACTAAGTAAAGACGTATAATAGTGCACCGGATGAATGAGCCATGCTTCAGCATGAATGCGTTACCTGGGTCAACCAAAGTGAAAAATACCATGGCCGCACCGAATACGGTTCACGGCGTTGTGTTGAAGGAGGAAGGTGAGGGTTATAAAGGAGAACTTGGAGATTAGACAGTACCTGAAAAGTTGATTTAAAATCAAACTTTTCAAACTTCAGTTATAATAATACTTGATCAGTGGCTCCTACCTACATATGATTATCATAATAGCCTAGTAGATTTATTTGGTTTAAAATTCGTAATGATCTAGACGTCTCGTCGACCTCTTGTCATACATTTTTCGTTCAAATATTATCGTAATTTTTAATGATTTTTTCTTAATTATGTCAATTTTTGAAGATTTATTGGACTGTTGGCGAAGCTTTAAATATCCAACAGTCAACGCGGCAATATTCAGAGAAAAAGCACCATGTACTTTAGAAGTAAGTATCAGTCTTTTCCATGTTACCTAATAGGACCGTTATGTAAGCTTCTTGGACGTCTGTTGTTGCAGGATGGTTCGGAAAGTGAAGACAAGGATAGAAAAAATGCAGATTCAGAGTGCCTATTTAACACAAACCATATGGAGGATACAGACAAGCCATGTGGTTTTATATGCTTCATTGAAAGTTTTGGATCAATAGTAAGTATTACGTTGTAATTGTAATATTAAGCAATACACCAAAATTTCCTAGCGAGTACTAACTTCATCGAAATACCTAGTGTAAGCAATATTTTGAAATACGCGCGATTTTTTTGTATTATATTATCAGTTTTTAACATATCATAGTTAAAACGAAGAACTTGTTCTTTAATTGAGATATTTTTTTATATTTCTTACAAAATATATCTCGATGCAAATAGACAGACAAAATTATTAATAGTATATCACATCATACGATTCTTAGCCGTACGTACGTCATTCCTAAAAACAAAAGTCAACTGTTTACTTTTAAATGTATAAAGAAAACCCATACCTTATTTATTGAGTTTAAAAATATAATATATGGAATAAAATAAAAGAACACATTTTTTATTTTGTATACGTATTAGTTTCTAGCATTTCTGTTAAAAAATACGTAAATATGGAGTGAATATCAATAACGCGAGTTCCGGTAGTCACGCCCTCTGTCGACTTTTTGTCAAAATAGAAATTGTCTTGTGGTGTGGTAGTGTAGCAGGTCTTGTTCTCTGCAAATTGCCTGGAATTCAGTGTAAAATAGTTCCAATTTGTGAATAAATTTAAACCGCAGTAAGTATTATTCAAGCAGATCGTATAAAGTGTAGTTTTTAGATTAAATGGGAAGATTCTTGTGTCCTTGTAAATAGGGTTACGTTGTGTGAGGCCAGCCGGTTATAACGGGGAAATATCGACGTCATTTTTCTATATTGTATAGATTTTGCAAATTTTTTCAATTAAAAGGTGTCCAAAATGCATTTTTAGTTCAAGGTCTTAACTCTTGTCACGAAATGTAATGTAGTGTCCCCCAATTGCTGATCTAAAACGTCACCGGGTTACAGGCTAAATTGACGCATGTGATTTGAACATTTCAGCTCAACTTTGGCCCTTTTCTCAAAGGTCAAGTTTACGGCCTCGTAGATATAGCTACTCGGTGTCAGTTATTCATGTTCATGGTCTTTCATGTTGTAAGGTATTAGTAATACAGCTTCAGCCTTAATGCATCGATGTTATGTAATACCTTGTGTAGAAGTGGCTTGTAAATAAGTCACTAAGCCAATTTCGACCCTGACACAGCTGGCACTGATTGCTATTTCGCGACTTTGCTAAACGTGTTAAGCTTCACCTTGATTCTTGTGATAAGGGTCTACTTTCAGTTTTCTAATATAGGAACCATTTTAAGGTTAATGACCTCGCCGGACACGTACTTAAATACCTAACTTCTATGTTAGCCTCAAATCTATCTAAATGTTTTTTAGGGAATGTCTCCCCCATACTATGCCGATCTTGGAAAGAAGGCCAACGATGTCTTTGGCAAGGGCTACCACTTTGGTGTGTTCAAACTTGACCTGAAGACCAAAAGTGAAACTGGTGTTGAATTCTCCAGTGGAATCACCTCCAACCAAGAAAGTGGAAAGGTAAGGTAACAAAATATATTAGGTATAGGCACAAATCCAATACTTTTTCTGTTAAAGTAAAGTGTCAAAGCTTATTTATTACACTAAATCAATAGATGTGATCTGTGTGGTTAGATTACAGAGAAAAAATGAGAAAAGAAATCACTTAAACTATGTCATGAAAATGGGTTAGTAAAAACTACCAAATAATTACTCAACCAGAAAACTGATTATGTTGATTGTTTTAGGTGTTCGGAAGCCTTTCGTCAAAATATGCAGTAAAAGATTACGGTCTAACATTCACTGAAAAATGGAACACAGACAACACACTCGCCACTGACATCACTATCCAGGATAAAATTGCTGCTGGACTCAAAGTTACACTTGAAGGAACTTTTGCACCACAGACTGGGTAAGAATGGGGCAGAACTAAATATTTTATACATTCATTTTATCCATCAATTCTAAAAATTAAAGAAAATATATTTAAATACACATTAATCTTAATTTACAGAAGCAAGACTGGTAAACTGAAGACCTCTTTTGCTAACGAAACCGTTGCTGTGAACACCAACTTGGACTTGGACCTGGCTGGTCCTATTGTGGATGTTGCTGCCGTCTTGAGCTTCCAGGGCTGGCTCGCTGGTGTCCACGGTCAGTTTGACTCCCAGAAAGCTAAGTTCTCCAAGAACAACTTCGCTCTTGGTTACCAGTCAAAGGACTTCAACCTACACACCAATGTGTAAGTACAAACAATGCTAAGGGTAATATTATACCATCCATTAAAATCATTTTGTCCACTAAAATATATGATTATTTTTATAATAGTACTGAATACTTTGTTATTTACATCAGTAGAATCTGACAATAAATTTTACAGACACTGGGTCAGGAAAATCAATAATTCACTTGAAATAAGCTAAATGTAGGTCTATAGGGCATGTGATTATAACAGAGTGAGTCACTCCTATTGATTTTATAAGATTGCATAACTCATGCAGTCATGCCGTTGAGGTTTAGCAAGGATGTCATCTCTTGTTATGCTAACCAGATATAAGCAGCTGAGTACAATTATTGAAGTTGAATGGGGACTAATTTATAAAGGAGTCTCATACACACTTCCACTGTTACCTAACTACTTCAACAATGACCTCAATATCTAAGTATATCTTAACATTGAAATACAAATTGCATTTATTATTGTTTTGTGATATTTAATATGCAGTGACAATGGAAAGGACTTTGGTGGTTCCATCTACCAGAAAGTGTCTGAGAAGATCGAATGCGGTATCAACATGAAGTGGACCGCAGGATCTGCCGACACACTCTTCGGTGTTGGCGCTAAGTTCGCGTTGGACGCAGACGCGTCTCTGCACGCCAAGATCAACAACAAATCTCTCATTGGTCTGGGATACCAACAGAAACTCCGCCCAGGTAACACTTAGCTGATGAAATATGGATAAATCTGATATAAGTACTTAGTAATTGAATATTTAACATCTATATCTATAGTAACATAAACCTCTGCAATTTCATCATTAACTTGCAAAGATTATCTCAGATTAAGCATTCTAGTATTAACAACTAGGATGAAGTTTTAAGTGATGTAACAATTATTTTGATTGCATTATATGAAGATAACATTGTTTTTGTATTGATAGATATTTTAAAATGCACAGAAACAACATTGAAAATATAGCTCTATAGTGACAGATCATATGATCTGCACGATTGTCCATGTGCGTGACATGCGTTATCTCGTACCTTATCAAGAAAATTCTGTGGCATTTGAGATTTATTACATAACATTGTTCTTATATTTACAGGCGTGGTGCTGACTCTCTCGGCGGCTATCGATGGCCAGAACTTCAATGCTGGCGGACACAAAGTGGGTGTCGCCCTTGAGCTCGAGCCCTAAGCACTCAAAGGCGCTTCGGCTTTTAGTCTTGTAGATAATACATAATGCCACATTGACTGTTATATAATGATAACAGAAAAGGATGCGTAACTAGAAAAATCAATTTATTAAACAGTATCTTCAAGTCAATGTTCTCTGTATAGTGTATTAGAGTGTTTAAAACACTCCAATAAAACTTATCATATACCTAATTACTTCATTAATGTAAATGCGGGTTAGCACTGTCTGTCCATACTTTCTATTTCAAGACGGCGGTCGCTATTTCCTAGAAATGTTATTATTAGAGTTCATAATGTAACTATTATGTATTAGCACGCGGCGTATAAGCATCCCTGTTTTGCTAAATACCAATATTGAACCAGTATATCGTCACCCACGCCAGTTGTCTTGTAAATAAGCACCTATGGTGTTCTTTTGATTGAATGGAAATAAAAATGAATAGTCCGTTGGAATCAGCGTGTATTTGTTTCATTAGACCAAAACCTACAAATATTTTCGAATTAATTCCTTTCCTTAAGTAAGTCCCTCTATTCTAAGTGTTTCAATGTGGATAGTTCTTTGATATTTTTTTTACAATATTCATAATTTAGAAGTTGTTTAATAAAGATATTTTGTTTAAATGTTTATAATCAATTTTTGTATAGAACTGAAAAAAGTGTGCTTTGCAATTTATGGTGATTAAAAAACTGTTGTATTGTAAAGCATATATTAGTAAGAACAGTAGACATATCAGTGAATATTAATGCTATTGGATCATTTCTTCCTCCATAAGCTTAGCCATCCACTCTGGCTCTGCAGCAGCTATTTTCTCAATCAAGCTGTTCACTTGGTAGCATAGGCTCTGTATCTGCTTATCCCACTGTGGTAGAATCTCACGGGCTGGAAACAATTTGTACCTATTAGCATCCTCTGTATGGTTTGAGAAACAATCTTCCTAGTACCACATATTTTTCTAATACATATGTATAAGAATTATTGATCAAACAGGAATATGTACCTATGTCGCCAGTTATGTATTAGGTACATAACTTCCCGTTAGCGATACAATTTTAACATGGACGCAATGTTTGGCACACGCCTTCATTGTCATACCTTCAATAAAAAGTTTGTATTGCTCGCAGGTAGGTATTATACATGTAGTGAAATCATATGACGACAATTTATGAAGAGTTGTTGTTACAGCCGATTCTATCTATATTTATACCTACATCTAGCCAATGACGCGAACAGATATTTGCGTCAAACGTCATACCGTCTGCTTCAGGTTTTGTCATTCATTGTCTCATCTAATCTAAGGTCGTAGAGTCGAAAATGAGTTAGGTACAAACTTTATTTTTTATTGACGTGCGGGTAATGCGAATTGATGTTACTAAGCCTGTTTAAATTAGGTATGTTTTTAGGTGTAATGTGAACATTTTAAATGAACAATACGAATGACGATGAAATTAAAAAAAAATGTTAGTTTTGATTATGCCTTGAACCTAAAGCTAATGTAGTCCCATTGACACTTTCTAATATGAAGCCTAGACAATGAAAATTGTTTTGTTCACTTGTGAGGCTCAGTGGGTACATACCTCACACATTAGCATTTCGCTAGGCCTGTATCTAATCTTATTAAATCTCTTCGCTATTTATATCTTATCATTATGTCAATGGAATGTGTGCTTGTTGGTGTTCAATAACAAGTGAAAATACATCACGCGTTCATATCACTTCAAGTAGGTATTTACGTTACGCCTATGCGTTGATGGATATTGATCGATTATTCTAAATTGTATCTATCGATGTTTTCAATACAGATTTAGATGCTACAGTGAATCGTTTATCAAAGTACTGATAACGTAGAAAATAGATGTGAAATGAGATTAGGTTTAAATTTATTGAAATAAATAAATAAATATTATTTAAATACTCACTTTCAAAATGTACAACAGAGCTAATCTGATCAATGTATCCGTTCATCCGACCTTCACTAATCATGTGACTAGCGATCCTCTCGGCTTTAGCTGGCGGTGTCTCGAGCAAAGCGCCCAATTCTTCGAAAGTTATATTATTGTATAACTTGCTAGCGGAGAGGAGATTATGCTCAAAAACTGCACGGTCCAGGATTGTTGTTCCATCTGATGTGGTTGCCTGTTCAAATGGACAAATTAAATATCTAGATCTAAAAATGCTAAGTATTGAATTTCATTTTTACAAGTTTGGTCTAATGAGAGTGATTGATCTTTGTTTGTTTGAGAATACAGTCTGTCTATCAGTGCTAATACTGATAAAAGGTCAAGAATGTACTACGCTCGTAATTAGCACGTGTTTAGAAAAGCAAAAGTGAAGTGATGCTTAATTTACCACTTCCTTGTAAATGGTAAACAGAATTCAGCAACATTGTTGCACTATCGCGTTTCTGCATTGCTAGACATTTTTGTTCGTATGAATTTCAGGAATAATATTCAACATTGTTGCCTATGACAAAATAGCTTTATTAGTGTACTTGTTTCGCGAAACAAATACATGTTATTGTATTGATAAAAAAAACTAAAAGGTGCACTTGCTCAACCATGAGGTACAATGCACTTGACTGCACGGTTGGCGCGGTGGCTGGGCAACTAGCTGCCGCGCAACGTGTCGCGGGTTCGATTCCCGCACGAAACAACTCTTTGTGTGATCCACAAATTGTTGTTCGCTCTCTCTGGGTCTGGGTGTGATTTGTATGTGGAATTGTATGTTTGTAAACGCACCCACGACACAGGAGAAAATCCTACGTTTTAAAAACTAAAGAAAATAAAGTCAATTACTGACTGTCTTTTTCAGTACCTGTCCTAGTAACAGAGAATCATTTTAAGAAACTGATTGGAAAAAAGGACCCAAAACGTTTCTTGCTTTTTCTTATCGATAGCGATCTACACTTTAGAACAAGTAAATACTTCCACTAAGAGAAATATCATTTTTATCTTTATTTAACGTTCAAGAGTGCATTTAATGATTTTGATTTTTGACCTAAAGGACTTCTGAATAAACCTCTCGTTTTCACATGGCCATGGGAAATAACATAATTTTGAAGGCGAAAAAAAAAATCGTTTTATCCATGTAGCCATAACAATGCCGGGCATTGCCAGTGTTGCCTACTTAGCCTGTACCGAATGATAAATATGACACGTTGCCTTCTGATGCGTCTGCATTAGGGCTTCGAACTCGTGCAGCTCCGAGCGCCTGATGATCCGATCCAGGTACATTTTCTCCAAAATAGAATATGCTGGTAACTGTTGACATCTCTCGTCTTTGAATAAGGTAGCTAACATTCTGGAACGCTGTTGTCCTGTAAGGAAAGATCTTTATTTCTTCAAGTCATTATGTTTTAATTAAAATCGTAAATTTTTGTGTGGGGCGCTTGAGTATACAATACAATGCGGTTTTTTTATGGAATAGGAGGCAAACGAGCCAAACGCCCATGGACAGGGTTGCGGATATTTAAGGATTGGGAAGGGATAGGGATTGGGCTTCCGGTAACCTCACACACACCGAAACGCTGTGGTTGTTTCACGCCGGTTTTCTGTGAGGCCGTGGTATCACTCCGGTCGAACAGACCCATTCGTACCTACCGAAGCATGGCTCCCTCACACTTATTATGGCGGTTGTAAATTTATCCTGGATTATGACAGTCAATGCAGTTATATTATAGCGCATGACTGAACATTATATCTCGTGAAATAGGCTAGTCAAGTTTTGAGAGACTGGTTCCATCTTAATCTATGTACTTTATATTAGTACGCATTTGCTCATCGCACTCACAGAAAAGGCAGTAACCTATGTATTTACTCGGGTCTTGAAGACTCCCAGGTACCCTTCGGTGAAATTTGATGATATGTTGTTGTTTTACCTGCTGACGCTAATACAGTGCAGATGAGAGCATTCCTCAGACACGTCATCCTCTCGTCTTCATGGATAATGTTCCTGTATGATAACTCATTGTACCTCTGCGCCGCTTCTATGAACTTCCTACAAAACACATCAAACATTAGCTTCACTTTCACTACTTACATTCATAAATATTTTAGAATTGAGATTTCTTCAATTACCACTTTTTTAATTCGATCGCTAATAATTCGAACACGATTTAAAATTTGGCATTAACTACAGCGACGGGGGACGGTCGTGACGAAATGAAGAAGAGTAACACAATAATTGTTAAGTTCAAATTTGTAAGTGGGAGTGAGAACATTATCTACTGACTATAGTTTTTGTATTTTTGGCTGTACAGTCAGCTCAGTTACTCGATATACGAAAATAAACATTAATTCAGTTAGAACAGGGACAATAGGATACAGCAGGCTTCATTTGAAACCATATAATTAAGTAGGTATTACAATAATAGTTTGTCTAAGTTGACTCAAACCATTTGGCTCCACAACTAGGACGTTGATAGCTTACCTTCTGTAATCCAAGACTCTAGCATAGCAAACTTTGTAGTAGATCTGTAGTTGTTCATTAGTGGTCTCAGCCTGCAGGAGTGATGCTCTGTTGACGAAGGCCTCGGCCTGCACTGGGTCATCAACCTCCAAGTACAATCGAGCAATTTTCAAATAAGTCTCTAGCTTATAATCTACTGAGTATTGTCTGAAAACAATAAATTGCTCTGTTGAATATAGAAATAAAATTATATGTAAACTCAATGATAAATGCCATGTGGAAACTGGCTGCTTAGTGATTCTTTCTTTGTATATTCTTATAATACCATTTCAATCAGAAAGCTGGCTGACAACTTTTTAGTTGAAATATTGTGGACTATACTATACAAATCATGAAAATGAACAAAATACATATATTCAGACACGAACGATACGACGCGCTATCTTCTAATGATGGGTAAAGTGGATGGGAAGAGAAGTCCAGGCGAAGGAAAGTCATTGCTCAATATCTTTTCTTGAGTAAACTGTATCAATTACGTGAAACAACTTTTCTGCTTAGTGATGAAGGAATTTAATTTGGCTGGAAACTAAACAACAATCTTCTAAGGCTGCTTACAGATATTTTTACATTGTATGGAATCATTATGAATGGGTGTTTCAGTCTCAATGCATGTTTTATTGTATTGTAATGGTTATGTAGTTATACATTTTAATAACTAATCCAATGAAAAATCGAACAAGCATATTGTTTCTGCAATGTCAATAAAATGTCTAACAACAAAAACTGAGCATTGAAATAATAATAACATTTATTATTTCAATGCTCAGTTTTTAAAGTATTTATTTATACATACTTCTGTCCAGTCTCCAGTGGTATCCCAACCAGTACATTGGCAGCTTCCTTCCAGTTTTGATTCCTTTCATAAATATCAGCCAAATGTTGTCTGATACTGGCCACCTGAAAATTTATATTACATATTCATTGTTTTTTCTTCATTAGTTTGAATATCTGAATATACCTACCTTAGGTTGAATATGCATTTATATTTATAACTGATGTTTTAACATAAAAACTGTTTGTATAAGGAATCTGTATGTGAAACTGATTTAAAAAGAGTAACCATGGAGTATCTTGCTCGTTATTCTTCATTGGCATCTACACTTTGGAACAAGCAAATAGCTTCACTAAAAGGACTGACCAACAGACTGACACTTTATATTTTTAAGTTTTGTTTGACATTCAAAAGTGCATCTAAGCGTCTAATTGAAATAAATGATGTTTGACTTTTTATACCAGTTTTCTTTTGAAAATTTACAGATAAGACAATTTTAGCCTTTAGTTAAATATTTGTGATGACTAGAAGTATGAGTAACCCTTCGACTGATCCTTGCAATCATAGAAGATGGGTGCACATAAATATATGTTTACCCTCATGGAATAAAACTGTGACAACACAACTGTGTACTGTGTAAACAATACTTTTTGTTGTTGTTGTAATAGAAAGATGTAATTTATATACCTGTTCTTCAAAGGAAATGACTCGGGGCTGTATGACGTCGAGAGCAAAGTGTGAGACTTCCTGGGAGACAAGGTCAGGCAACAGCGCCAAATGAGTGCTCACATCTGTCAGAAGCTGACGGGATATAACCAGGCTCACATTCTCATTCACAACTGAAAAATTCATTACAATCATTAAACAATTAGGTTATGTTTTCCCTTTTTCGAACATTTAAGTTTCTGAATGCAAACAGAAATTATTGGTTAGATATTTTTGTGCAACTACAATACACTACCTAGAAACAGGTGGATTTTCTCACTGAGAAAGTTGTAGTGAAAGTATGTCGTACTTTTATCTTGCCATATCATGTAACAAGGGCCAATGAGTATTAAAATCACAGGCAAATAAACAAAGGCTTTTAGTGAGGGATTCTATGACTATTTCAAGTGCAATAAATACAAAATATACAATAGACTCACTTGCTTCCACAAAAGCTTTTAATGATTCAGCCAACTCCGTTTCAGTGCTTTTTAGTATTTCCATGAGTACATTGCGATATCTGCAATTAATATTTGAATAATTTGTTATTTTTAAATAAGGTTATTTTACCATTTTGTACTAGGTATTGATGAAAGGTATGTCTTTTTGTCAAACATGTAATGGTGATAAACGTTTGATTCTTACTTTTCAGCTTGGTCCTTATGCAAGCCCCCAGAATTCCTTAACTCGCTTAAATACTGACGAACTCCTTGCAAGTTAATCGGCATTTTGAAAATCTGATTGTTATGACCCTGTTTCTATTTATTTATTTTTATTATTTCTACAAGATTAACAACAGCCTCCGACACAGGAGCAATGACAAATGACAATGTTAAATTAATGACATTGACAGAAAAATATTTAAAATAAAAAGCAACTTTACTATTCTTTGCTCTTTCTAATGTAAACAATATACATTTACTTTAAATGTACATAAAAGTTACTTCAAAATATAATTAAAACTAAATAAGAATGAAGTAAAAAAAAAACTAATTAATACTGAAACGTTAACAATTTACAACTATTACACAGGCATATACAGCAATAGCAGACCCAACACAAGATTTCTACACATGACAAAATTCCTATTATTCCTAAACAGGGATGAAATAAAAATGGTTTTAAGAATAAGGTTATTGATGACCTAAACGTTTATTATTCACGTACCCAAAATATAAAGAATATAAGGAGATTTTAAGTATGTATGTATAAACATTTGATTTCTTGCATGCGATGTTATTTGAAGCCCAATTTTTTACTAAATAAAAACAGAAAAGTTAATTAATTAATTTAATATATTTTCAGATGAATTTTGACGACTATTTATTTTGATATATCCAACTCGGTAGTAATTATTTAATACACAGAATAACCTGAAAGAAATGTGAAAATATAAAATTATAAAATTTGTATTCTTGTGCTGTCATTTATAGACTGAAAGCAATAACTAAAAATAAATGGCCAAAGTTAATATATGTTTCTTGATATTCTATAAAGAAATGAACGTTTTGTCTGCTATTGCTTTATACGTCTGGGCTCTAATCATTTGTTAATTTTGCGGATAACGATCAGTTCAGTTTCCGGTTTTTATTTAGTCGATTTTCGCAAAGAAAATATCAAAACATTTGCTATTAATTCTGGATCGTTTGCGCTATTGCTCATAAATGATGTATTATTTTACTTATTCTTTAATTGTTTGTACTTATTCTTTAATTTTTGTACTTATTGTACTTATTCTTTAATTCTTTAATGTTGCAGAAATCCTCCAAAACATGTTCCTAATAAAACAATAAAAGCGTTTGCTTACCATATTACATTTATTTCAGTTTTATATATAGATAGTACTGTTATTGTTCTTACATCGATTGCATTGAAATAAATATTTATTGAAAAATATACCATTCTTATCGATTTCATTAAACTCAAATCGATTAATTTTTGTTTTAGAAAGTTGGCTAAATTGTGACATCAAAAAATTGAAAGAAGCGCCATTAGAATTTTTCTCGCTTTTACTGCATTTTTATGGAAAATTCTTTGTTTTAGGCGCATAAAAACCATTACAAACTGAAGAATTATTGGTGTTCTTTGTTTATTATCAGTAGTTATAGTTTGCTTGAAGGACTTTTACCCGCCATTATCGTTATATGTGTGTGTCGATTTGTTTTCAACCGTGGCGACATAAGAGACTTCGAAGGGCTTGTCGGCAAAATTTGACAACTTATAAAATGGCGGCCTCTTTTGAACTTAAAAGTGTTTTCAATAATTTTGAACCAGTTTAATAGTGCTTTAATACATTTTATTGTGTGTGAAATATTGAAGGACTTTGGTGTTTAAAACCTTACAATGGAACACAACTTGGAAGATTCTTTAAACTTGGAAAGTGCAATTGGCAATGTAAGTAGAGTTTTTCTTGACACAGTTTATTTACTTCAATCTTGTTGTTTTACTCGAGAAATAGATAGAAAATAAGTCCCAGTTTAAACTAGAAACAAAAAGGGTTCACGTGTTGTATACTTTTTGTCATGTCAATTCATATTACTTTAATGTTTTGAAAATTATTTGGATTCTTAGGAAGACTACACACAATGTTCCATTGGATTTAAAATAACCATTGATTGTTAGACATTACTTGATTACCTTTTTATGCTTTAGGTTTGTTTGTATGCCATAACTTGCTGAAGAAATTAAGTAAATCTCTCATTGTCTGATGTAGAGGAGAAACAAACCTTTTTCTAACTTTGTTAGCTAGTAGCTAGCCACTAGCTACTAATCTTGCTTACTAAGTTTAGGTAGATGTTAGCAACATAAAAACAAACCATAACACTAAGTCATAAAATGAAATCTAAATAACCAAACTAAGGGTCAAATTAATATTTTTTGTTGTATATGTTAACCTGACTTTCCAGATAAACTAAACATGATTTAGTGTTCCTTGATAAAATCAAAGCCCTTTTTTCCAATTTTCATAATTCATATCTCGCTGTTTAGCATCAACACTAAGATATGTTCTTAGGTTAGCACAGTTTGAATATAAGTTGTAACAATGATATTACATCTTCATCATTAGTAATTAATTACTATGGTTTATTGGTTTAGGATATTAACTGAATGAAACAATCACGGCATGTTTTGCTATATTAAAATTTTATGTAAAAATGTTTACAAACAGATATTTACCTGATTCGAAGAAAGCTAATAAATTAAATTAAAATAATCTTTGTGTGTATTTTATATAACCTTTTTAATATAAAAAAATACCAAGACTGTTTACCTTTAGCCACTTAAAACTGATAGAGCAGATTATTCAATATCTCTTGATCAATCACAAGCTCCATACAATTAATGTGAAGAATCAATTGTAGTATGAAGATTTCAGATTGATATTGGTACTTAATCTCAACTGTTCATTAAAAGGCATAAAATATGGTAAAAGGTAACCAAGAATAATATAGTGTTTCTAACTATAATATGTAGCATTCTTGCAAATCTGACTAAAGTCCTTATAAATATTTGGGTAAAAGCCAAAAAATTTAATGGATTTGCCTGATTCACAAAAAGCTAGTCAATGTGTTATCTCTTTAGGTTAATCCAATTTTGTCCAATAACCAACAACCAAAACAATGAGTTTTATTAATTAATTTTATACATTTTCAGATGGATTTTGACCATACGGAAGGAGTTGTGAGTCAAGAAGACATATCGTTAGAAACAACTGGACATGAACCAGATATTCCAATGGAATTTGAGAATATTGAGGAACAACAGATGCTCATGGACACTGAGGGTGAAGAGATTATAGGTAAATTAATGTTTACTTTTGATACTGTTTACAATCTCACTCATACTATTTCTAACCTGCCAGGGGTTTTAATTGTTACCCGGATTAAACATACTTTATGCATAATTTCAGGCTCATTATATTCAACAGATATTTTAGTCATCACTGGGCACTTGCACCTAAGTGTAATTAATTACAAAATACTTTCATAAAACAAAATCATTAATTGAATGTAAATGTGCACAAAATATTTTCAAAAGATTTTATTGTATGTACATGTATCATGTCATTAAAAAATATTTATAGGCAACACATCTATGTACTTGATGATTGCATGGTAGGTGCGGTGGCTGGGATACTGGCGGTCGTGCAATGTGTCGCGGGTTCGATTCTTGCAAGGAACAATTCTTTGTGTGATCTACAAATGGTTTTGCTGGGTCTGGGTTTGATGTGTATTTGAAATTGTATGTTTGTACCCTTGACACAGAAGAAAATCTTAGTGTGAGGCAATGTTTTTGTAAACCAAAATAAAACTAAATCATTTCAAAGCAGGCAGGCAGGTATATTCATCAAGCACTTGACATTGAAATGATGAATATGATGATATAGTTCCTAAATAATGACTTATGTTTGAAGGTCAGGTAGTGTTAAATGTCAAAGATTGATATGAATAAGGATGATTTGTTAAAATATGCATTGTGGTACTCAATAACATGCAGTATTTGCATATAATTTACTATGTATGTTAATCCTTACAATAAAATATTAAAATTAGACACTTGCTACATAAGATTAAGCCAGGCTGTGGGTCTTGTACGGCCTGGAAGAGGGTGGTTTTAGGAAGACTCTGACAATCTCTTTCCGTTCCAAGGCAGAAGAGAGAAAAATCATTGAACAATGTCTCCTATCAAAAAAAATGCTTACTTAGCATATTTTTTGTTGGACTTTGGCTAACTAATGTACTATAACTTGTTTACCAATCATAGTCAATCAACAACATTTGTTTAGGTTTTGGATACACTTAGGTTTTTTTAATTAATATGAAAATTTAGTGATTAGTTAGGTGTAAGGTAACTTTTTCTGACTTGCTTACATAGTCATTTTTATCAGTTTCAGATTTTATGACTGACCAGTACACATTGCAGGAGTATTCTGTACAAGATGATTCGGTACCAGAAACAAGTGGATTGGATGAAGTACATGTATGTACATGCAGTATTGTTTAAACTATTTTATTGATTCAGGAAATATGTTTGATTAAACTTTTAATATTTCAAAATATTATAAATATAAACTTTAAGTGATTGATTCATTGAAAATAATTTATTTCATATAGTTTCCTCAACCATAACTATATTATTTTGTCTTCAGTTCACTATGTAAATTAATTAACATTCCCATAACTTCTAACACAATTAATATTTAACATTTCCAGGGTCTAAATGTAATGCAAGCACAAGAGCACTCCATGATAGACCTGCAGTTTGAGCCAGATATTCCTCAGAGTGTCACACAAGAAGTTACCACGACATATACCCAACCTAAATATATTGCTGTAAAGGTACGAATTAGATGATTTTTTTTTAACCATTCAAACATTTTAAGAAGTGTAAGTCCTATATAATAGTGGATAATGTGTCGTTATAAACTTTAAAATCATACCCAAAAAAAATTAAATAAAAAAAAATCTGCAGTTTTACTACTAAATCAATCAACTCTTATATAAGCACAATGTTTTTCAGGCTGCTATACCACGCAAGAAGAATGAAACAGTTGTCACAAGTAACCCACCACGGCAAGTACCCATTGCCCCCAAGCCGCCTAAGTTGATTCCAGCAGCCCTACCTAAGTCCACAGCTACCTTCTCATCTGGGAAACAATATGCAATAGCACCCAAACCCGTCGCTCTGGTCACATCTAAGAATGCCAGTTTAGTGAAGAAAATGTCACTGTCTGGCGTTATACAGGGTGGGACGAAAACTGGAAACTCAATTTTAAGTGAGTTGGAGACTTTTTCACTCTATCTGCTGTATAGAATTTTGTAGAAGAAAGTCTTTAGTAGACTCAATAAAAATAAATATTAAATAACAGCGCACCGCGGCCTCGGTCTAAAGCAGGAGAAGGAACAGGGGGTTTTTAGTCAGTAAGAGTCTGACACTTTCTCTCGCCTCATCCAAGTCACTTTCCCCTAAGAAAAAAAACAAAAAATTAAGAAGGGAACACTTCTGACAAGAAATAATTGCGTAATTAAACGGTGTATGATTTATTGATAAACAGACTTTTTTTATTGCAGCTCAAATAGGGAAGCAACTGGTAATGGTTCCTGCGGGTGGTGGCCAAAAAATCAAACTGGTTTCTTCTGGCTCAGGGTTGCCAGTGCAATACGTGCGCGCGAGTACTGACCAGGTATTTTTAAACTTATTAACTTACAATTTATTAAGTATTGCTGTACCATTTGTTTAAACTATGACTATTAATGTTATATATATTTTTTTTATAGGCTGAACTTATAAAAAATGTCAGTAGCGGCAACACTCAGAAGCCTGTTTTAGCAAAGGTTATTGTTCAAGGTATGTTTAAATATTTTAGCAGCATTATATTGCGACAGTGTTATCTTTATTTATATAGAAACAAAATAAATAGTTCCTACATTTACATTTAATTTAATAAAGAGGGGAAAAGTTTGATCTTTTGTGTGTATGTTTGAAATTACTAAACTCAAAAACTACTGGGCCAATTTCAAAAAATCTTTCACCATTGGAAATCTCCGTCCACCCTCCGTGTCATGGATATATTTTACCCTTACTGAAACTTAAATAACGTAACCCGCGTGGAGTCGGTATGGACGTGTTATAAATAGAATTGCTTCTTTATTAGTAATAATCCTTAACTCATCCATTACAAAGGTTTATAGAGAAATAATAATTTGAGAGAGACAATATTTCCTATATCTTTTCACATTGGTTAATTAAATATATTATTTATGCAGGGCAAGCCAACACAGATCCTGCAAGCCAGTCCGCTGTGATTACTAAGCTGTTACCTTCCTCTTCTACCGCCAATATGCAGACGCGATACGTCATGCAGCAGAAAACCGTGCCCATCTCTATAGGAACTAATAAGGTAAGGAAGCATTATATCTTTATTGTACTTATTTTTTTATGTACAGAAAGGTAAAGGAATAAGGTTATCCATATACCGCGACTCCAGCTCGGGGCAGGAGTAAAAAGAAGTGGTTTTAAATATGAAGAGTTTGACACACTCATTCCACCCATGGTGGGATAAGTAATTCGATGACTTTTCTCCCTCAAAAAAGGTTATAATAAATTAACTAAAATTCGCGGGTTACTCACGAACGCGACGTCGCCGCGTCCGCGCACGCTGCTCATGAGGAAGAACCCCTCTGTGGTTCGAAACTAGTAGAGCTTTTCTCAACATTTACACGTGAGTAACCCGCGAATTTTAGTTAATTTAGTATGTCTTACGATAGTTATTATAAAAACACGGTTATAATAGCTACAGAATCCGATAAGTTCACTAACTACAATACAACACAGTAAAAATAATAGCGAAATTGAAAAATAATAACGAAGCCTACAAACAAAAATGAGAAAATATAATCATACTTGCAAATATCGTCTGCTAAATAATCATTTTTGAATTGTAGGTGATTATGGCGTCTCCAACGAAACAAGGTGTGAAGTTCGCCAAGAAACAATTAATAGCTATTAAGTCGCCTACATCCTCGATCGCGCCGACAACGACACAAGGTAAGCTAGTCAGTTTAATGTTCTAGCATTCAGTGGAGGATCGTACTTATGTATCTGCATAATGCTTTGTTATTAAAATATTTGTGCAAGCCCAAATCTATTCCCGTCTAAAGAAACGCACTTGTCGCTCCTCGGGCATTGCGGCTATCTATGGGCGAGGCTGGTTACTTACTGCGATCCATTTGGACGTCTAGAGTAAGAAAAACATTATATTTGTGCTTTACAGTTGCTCCTACTACCAAAAAGGTGGTTATAACGGCGAATCCAAGTCAAAATGTTATACTGAAGACTACAGCCCCTCCTAAAACCGCACAGGTATGTATCCAGACAATACATAATTAATACAGAAATAGATCTGCAGTTTTATTTCAATGTAGAATCAATTTGAAAGCACACTTGTCTGTACGACGAATATCATCACGTGTATATAACGTGCGGAATGTTAGGCTGACTTACTGATGAAATGAATATTGTTTTCTTGTAGATAAACAAGGATGGCAATGTGGTGATACAAGGACAACGATCGCAGTTACATCAAATCAATGTTCCTGGGAAAGGGGTAAGTTGTTCGAGTTTTATATAAGATATTGTATGAAATGTAATTCATAGGAAATCCTATATAATACAAAACTGTTCAAATGAAAACCCTCCGCTTATCAGCAACCTACGAGATTTATTACTGCTTACAAGAAAATTCCTTTCTCTGAGCCTATAACTAAGTAGAATATTTGCATATAAAAGTAAGTCAATAAAAGTATATGTGTATGTCCTAACAGATCCAATACATTCGACTGATAACCAACCCCTCAGCCGCGACACAGAAGCAGTTCTTAAAAGGACAAACTCCTACACAAGCTGCTCCCTCTAAAAGTTTCGTCCTCACTGATAATAAAGGTAATCTAATAAATAACACTATATTTTATATCCTTTAAAAAGTTTTCGAAATTTAACATACATGTTCATTACAGGTAATCTAATTCAGATGACTGCAGAGAAAATGGGCAGTAGCCAACCGCCACCGCTGGTACTCACAGGAAATACGACAGCAAAAAGTAAATTCATTCGATCATTAATAATAAATTATGAACGACCTTACTTCACTCTATATCATTCAGTTAATACTGTGTACCTGTGTGACATTTATAAAAAATGATATTTTTAGAAATTGGAAAACGAAAAATTCAAATAATATTGACACACAGCTCTAATTACGAAATGTTTCTCTATTTAAAACATTTTGGAATTAATTTAAATTATAAGTCAGTTGTCACAACACAGAAGCTGTATCGTTTGAATATTGTGGGAGAGCTAATTATAATAATATATTTGTTGTGTAGTGACTACGAAGCCGAAAAAGTTGGTGCGAATAGCTCCGGTTACTGTGAAACCCGCGCAAACTGTGCAGGTATGTGGGGACTACCTCTAACAAAGTTTATATCGGGGTCTTGTCGGTGTAATAACATTATTTAACAGTGAATCGAATGCTATTGCTATGTTTATAGTATCAAACATTATAATTTTATTATCTAACATTGTAGAGAAATCGCAATATTGACGTGTTCACTTTTCCCAAAGCAGAAATTTACATGAGCATTTGATTAACTTTGTGTATATAATTTGTAACTCTCTGGTGCTCTGCTTTGTTAAGTAACCAAGTTAGTATCAATTTAGGAACCAAGTCGTATCTTAAGATGTAGGAACATGAGTAAATAAACTAAAAAAAAAAAATTAGTCGATGCCTTGTTCTGGTTAAATATACGTACGTACGTTTTTAGTTACAGCAACAGTCAGCCCGTTCGTCACAGAGCCTACTAGCGCCACTATCACCAATGGCGGAGCATAATTTGGAGGAAGTCGCAGACCTTTTAGAAGGTGGCAGTACTAATGAGGAAGCGGATGTGTCCGGGAATGACGCGTTAGAGCATTCTGGTGAACGAGAAATTGAACGAGATGCCGATCGGAGTGAGGACGAGAGGGAGTCCAAAGCCGCATTGCGAGCTCTCATTGCCGACACCGTGGGCGAAGACTCACAAGATAACCACGGCATGCAAGAAATAGAAATTAACTATGAGAGGCAACAGGTTTGTCTATTATATTATATTGTTAACCTTGCAATCATGTTAAAGCTATCACACAAAAGTCACATTATTTATCATTATTTTTTTGACAAATCAGAGTATTTTAAAATAATCTTTAAGAATTCCGCATAGTCCCAAGAACCATCAAAAAGACCTCAACGAACTTGTAACTTCTGTGGTGATGCGGGTGGGTGTTGTGAAAATCTTCTTCACATGTCTTTGTTTTTCAGTCTTCAGTGGAAGATGAGAATACAAACAGCATGGATCAGGACAGCAGCCACAGGTCGGATGAACATCCTCTTATCGTCATACCATCCAGCTACAACAAGCAGATGGGGGTAATTGTATATTCATTTTTGTTAGCTTTACAAATCCAAATCAATGATCTAAATTTCATTACTATTCATAATGTAAAACTTAACACAAAGTTCAAATTATTGAAATACAAAAAAGCTCATTCACTAGTCAAAAGGCACAGTTTTTATGACCTTATGTTTCGTTTTCAGGAAGAGAGAAGTTTTACCACTATAGAACATGAAGTTTTACCTTATCTCTCGCCCAAACCGTCTCAAGAACTCTCAGAAAGTGGTAAGTTGCTTAATTTTAATTTAGGAAGCAAAACAGAGAAAATACAGATAAAAAATTAAATAGTGTTGTCAAATCTCTTCAGACTTGCTGTTTTCGCAAAACCAACTTACACTCAATTGCTTTAGGTATTTCAGATTTAGTATCGGGCGACTTAGGGATGAGGCCTCGGAAGGCGTGTAACTGCACCAAATCGCAATGTCTCAAGTTGTACTGCGACTGTTTCGCTAACGGCGAGTTCTGCAACCGTTGCAACTGCAACAACTGTCACAATAACCTCGAGAATGAAGAGCTCAGACAAAAGGCCATTAGAGCATGTCTGGATAGGAACCCTAATGCTTTTAGGTAAATATTCTATAAAAACCTATTCTTACATTATATATATATATTGTATATGTTTTATAACGATATAATTTTAACACCTACAGGCCTAAGATAGGTAAATCGAAAACTGGTGGTCCAGACATTATAAGGAGACATAATAAAGGATGTAATTGTAAAAGAAGTGGCTGTCTCAAGAACTACTGCGAATGTTATGAGGTAAAAATAAATATTTAAGAAATATAGATCATACAGTTTCATCAAACAAATTGTAAATTGTATTTATATAAAAACTTATTTCTCACTTTAGGCAAAGATAGCGTGTACGTCGATGTGCAGGTGTGTGGGGTGTCGCAACGTGGAGGAGACTTTGGAGAGGCGACGTGACGCCATGCGACTTAGGGATAAACTGTCTGACCCCATGTTCCGGCCACCGACAATAGGACAAGTCAAGTCAGTATAATTATGTCTTGTTTGTTAGCGTAATTAATATTGGAAAATGAACAACATATGTAAATTGCGCAAAGAAAATTAAACATTTTAAAATGCAGGTACATGTAGATCGTAAAATTATTGTAGTGGTAGTATTTATGTACTTGGAATCGATCAACAAGATTCCGTGGATCATTATGATGAAGTTTATTTGGCAGGCAACCATGCAGCTTCATGACGTCGGAGGTAATAGAGGCGGTTTGCCAGTGTCTATTGGCGGCGGGAGTAGAGGGCGACGGGGGTGGGGGCGCGGGCGCGGCTGGCGATGGGGGCGCGGGGTCCGGCCTGGAGCCGCGCCCCGAACCCGACCCCATGCGTGACGTCATCGAGGAATTCGCGCGCTGCCTGCAAGATATCATCAGCGCGTCGCACCAGTCAACCTCGCTCTCTGTACTCGATGATGTAAGTACTAATAATTTAAGAAGTTTAGATAGGAACCAAACGCGTAAATCTTCACATTCGAAACCTACAGTTTGTTACCGCTAGAGTTTGCGTTCATTTATATGCTATTGGTTGAAACCATAGTGAATTAGTTAAATGTAAGAATTCTTCAATTTGTGAAAATATTTTTTCATTAAATGATTAATTTCATTTCATTATTTTCAAATCCCCGAGAATGTGTCTAGCCAACCTTTTATGGTAGTGATGAAACTGATTATCCCCATTAATCTTAATATCATTTTTCAGGGATCAGCATAGCAGTGCCTTCCGAGGGTGTTCAAGAGTTAAATAATTTTCTAAATGATAAGTCATAGGATGACAAATCTCACTAGCGCAAACAATAATGCTTAGCGACTGTGCGTGTGCTGCAGTGACTGGGAGTCCGACTTTTGTTTAAAGTGTTCGAATGTTTAATTGAATCATAAACTGATTATGCCTACTACCTACATATTTTCGATATGTAGGGTATGTAAAATTGATATCTGTAAATACATCAGGCGTGCAGAAGGCAATCTGCAGCACGAGTGTGGAACTACGTTTTTAAAACGAAACAACGACATTTATGATCTATTCGTTTCCAATCCTTTGATGAATATTGTAAAATAAGATACATAATATAAAATTGTATTAATAGTATGATGAACTAACCACTAGATAAGGTCACTTGCATCGCTTTAACAAGACTGTTGTAAATAAATATTTGCGATTCTTTCATCAAATAAAATTATGGATTTATAATAATAATACTATCCATCTAAGTATGGACTAAAACGATATTATTTAAGAAAATTCAGATTTTTATATTATTGTTTTTATAGACATGTACATAATGTTGATGTAAATAAATAGTTTACTAGTCTAAGCATTACCTTTACACTAAGGTAGTAAATTGTAAATATGCGTAATAAATATAATGGTTCTTATATTTTTGGAATTTTATTTTCATTACGTACCAGTAAATGCGTCTAAAGTTTAACGCATATTCTACAAACATTACTGCGGACATAAAACAATGGACTGAGTAAGAAATCAAAGCATCGGCTGTCAGAATTTTGCGTCGAGGAAGAGTAATAGGTCTATAAATAGAGTATCTGCTATATATATACGGCGAGTGTTTAGTTACTCGCGTCTGTGTTACCGGTCGGGGCGCACCTGCGGTTACATTGTACGGAGCCGACACCATGACCGCGCCGCTCAACGCGCGATATGAACTGAGAACGTCGGAAAAATTCGGCAGGTGTGTTTGGTACTTTTATGGTGTGAAAAAGCCCTAGCATGAATTTATTTCCTTCGTGAGAAGAATTCTCTGCTACTCACAATAACTTGAAAAGTGTAATGGGTGGTTATCTCGAATTTAGGAATCGTGTGCATAATAAATATAAGAAGAAAATAAATGTGATCACAACTATGGAGAACACTGACCTATCCGAACCCGGACGTAAGAGACATCATTATTTATTTAGACCTATATGTTCGTTCTGAGACAACAATAAACTGCACTGCCTAGTCGTACATTGTAAGTGCGTTATGGTTAATTTGTGTTGTTCTATAATCTGATACCAAGTTACGTAGGTATACGAAATTTTTAAGCTGTGATTAGGTACTCGATGAACAATTATTAAAACTAATTAACGTTAACGAAACTTTTTTGAGGAGGACTAATTTCATCGATTAATTTCAAGGGATTATCAGACTCTTACTGACTAAAAATCACACCGTTCCTTCTGGTTCAGGCCAAGGCCGCGGTACCATAATTATGTAAATGAGTGCCTAAGTGCAAGCACACCTAAGCATCATTATACTTACCACAGTTTCAAAATGTATTGTCACTTGCCTCAGGAATGCTAATTCGCCTATTTTATGTTGCAATTAATTTCTCCTGAGCTCAAATTAAAGTCAAGTATAATTTACGATGTCCACGCGCCGAATAACACTACAAGCAGCTTGCGTGGCGTGCGCTGGGAATTTATAGTAGGTAGATGGGGAACTCTCTTCAGTTCGAGAAATATCCGACTAGGTACTGAAACACAAATTATTACTTTTGTTTTATTTCGAGTCAGAGAATTTGTGTTAGCTTTATTTGTAGTAGAAGAAAAATGTTTTTGTTGTAAAACACTAATACAATAAGTAGTATGCATAAGTAGGTAGGTAGGTATCATATTTTTTATTTAATTAGTTCGATATAAGATGCTACTTTTCTATCACTTAACTTCGAACAGGTTAATCCGCAATCAAACTTGAGTTCTTATTTGTATTCGAAAAATACTTATTTGATGGTTGCAAATGTTTGGAAATAAACAGATGTTTCTAATTCACGCACGTTAGTAAATATTGGGTGTGTTCTAAAAATGTTTTATTCGGCATCTGAAAGGTTGAATAATTTTAATGTCTTAAATGTAGATACATCGTTGCCGCGAAAGATTTGAAGGCGGGCGAGACGATCTTGTCAGATGAGCCGTTTGTTCTGGGGCCCAACAGCGACAGTTCGCTTGTATGCTTCAACTGCTATCTGCCACTACTGAGCAAGTTCGTTGTGTGTAAAAAATGCGCAGTCGCTCCGATATGTCCTGGAGAGGGCTGTCCTGAATTTCACAAAAGTAAGTATATCTACAAACACACCCTTTCGCTTATTTCAAGATGTAAGGTATATAATTAGGTATAATACAACACAATGATGATGTGATGATGTGTGATGGTGGTGAGGTGTATCTACAAGATTATACAACGGTAATATAACGATCTTCAGGGCCGGCGCCCATTCCATAGGTAGGTATGTACCTACCCTGACAAAAAAAATCTCACAGATATAATATCTATAGCAGGTGGCAAAATTGTTTGTCTTTATTTTCAGAATGGCATTCCGACATGGAATGCGATTTCTTCAGGAGTATCAAACTGACAAATGGATTACACCCAATGACAATGGTTCAAAATGTCGGATCTCTTCTAGCATTGCGCGCTTTCATGAAGAAAACCACTGATCCTACTGCTTGGAAAGAGTTTATGGAAATGGAAACTCATTTAGAAGAAAGAAAAGGCACTAAAGTTTGGGAATTTTCGGAGAACACTGTAAAGGTAAAACAAGATTATGTAGGCTCTAAAAAAATGTTGGCTAGCAAAGCATGTTAGCTTCAAATACCTACTTAAAGTTTTTTTTTTTATTTAACTATCTTGCTGTAAAATTACAGTTTATCCAGGCATTGAGCATCATGGATGATAAACCGGACTCTGAATTAATCCAAAAGATTTGTGCAGCTATTGATGTGAACAGTTTCGAAGTTCGAGGTCCGCCCCTCCCAGCTCTAGGATGCGCAGAAGTATTGCGCGGAGTGTACTTGAAGGCTGCACTACTTGCGCATGATTGTGTGGGCAACACACACATGTCCATAAACGATAACAATATGTTAGTGTGCCACGCTAGCACTAATATTAACAAGGGAGAACCTATTTTCTACAACTATACAGATCCTCTGAAGGTGAAATATCTTTTCTCTTATATCTTATTCTTTACCATTAATTCTAAGGTGGCGACGTCTCATGCTAATAAAAATAACCGTAAGTTACCAACTAGTCAAATTCAATACTTTTATCAGTGTCAAAAACGATACTTTTCTATGAAATTTATATGAAACGCTGAGTTATGACGTTATAGTATTTTAGCGATAAATAGCTTACTTATTTCTATTTTCTAAAAAAAATGTATATATCTAAAATTTTGTGTATCGATTGATCGATGCATAAAAGTATAGTTATTTTTCAATATTTTATTATATTGAAACGTCGAATTTATTTATTTTTGACCTAGGAAACTACCTTCTTCACACAAAGAAATAACATTTTTTCTTTTTTTAGGGCACTTCCATTCGCCAGCAGCATTTATTGATCGGCAAATATTTCAAATGCAACTGTAGTAGATGTGCTGACACTACAGAGATTGGGACCTACATAAGTTCCGTTATGTGTCCTGAATGTAAGACTGGCTTTGTTTCTCGCAGTAGCCCTGAAGAATGGACTTGTAATAACTGCAATAAAACTTTTGAGGACACAAATATTGGCTTCAAAGTTCAATGCTGCATGGATAAGTTTGGAGTCATAAGTAAGTAATTTTTTGCTATTACCTTTAAAGCTTCCTTATCTAAAGGTTGAGATTTCGTCATTCTTAAACAATTAATAAGCTGTGCATTTACTAAAATATCTTGATGGACGAATGAAAGACCTACTCCAGTTTCCTACTGATTCATTTTACCTACCTACATATCATATTTGTATCAATATAAAAAATCAATGCTTAGATGTCTGCCAAATTTCAGTTTCTTTCGGTCCTAATTTTATTTTTTACTCTTTCTTCTATAATTTCAAAGACAAGAAGGACGAGAAAGAGCTCGAGGAATACATTAGAAGCGTTTCACTGATACTAGCTCCTAACCACTACCTGCTTTTGGAAGCCAAACAACGCCTTGCTGGTGTATTGAGGGACACTATAAATAGAGAACCGAGACCCACAAAGAAATTGATGAGGCGCAAAATGGAACTCTGCAAAGAAATTCTACCTGTACTAGAAATTCTTTGCCCTGGAATATCCAGAACAAAAGGTATACCTACGCACCAATCAACAGTGTATACCTGTATATCTATTTTATAGGTTTAAATTCTAAGTTTTGTATCGTTTACAGCAATCACGCTCTACGAACTTCATGCCGCAATGGTACAGTTGGCGAAAAAACTCTTTGATGGTCGAGAAATCACGGGTGCAGCGTATATGGTGAGAATTCGTTAGTCTAACGTGTGTGGTTAAATTTAGATTAAGTCATCGCAGAGCTATCTAAAAATATAGTTGGTTACAGGATGAATTAATGTCGGCTGAAAAATATTTGAAGAGATCTTTAGAAATGCTTTTCATTGAGCCAGGCAACTCTCCGGAAGGTGAATTATGCGCTAAAGCACTAGAAGAATATAGAGCTTTGAAGTCGACCATGAGTAGTGTGCTGGACGCTATACACGCTGAAGGAAAATGCTATGTCGGTCCCGCAGAAAGGAATGACTCTGAAACGCAATAAATCGCTCTACTCTTACAACCGATATTTCCTTTCATTTTATTTTATTTATATCATACTGTGACCGCATTCTCTGCCCATCCTTTCTTACTAACAATCCATTATGTAACTAACGTTCAGAAATTGAAAGTGTTTGTATGGTAATATAGAGAATACTATTCTTTGGGTAAGAAATGGCAAATGCAAATAAAACATTATAAAAAGGATAATATCACTATAAATAAAACAGATAAACAGTGAGTTTTTTCGATGCATATAACCAGAATAGTAACTATGTTGAATTAAGTTTCTGAACTGTAGAAAAGAAGTCAAAATGTCAAACAAATTCTGTCAAGAGTTTTTGGCGGGAAGCTTTGAATAGAAAAGGCGCCTTTTGAAAAATATTTTATTTCAATTAACCCTATACTTGGCAGAGATTTTTTTTTCAAATTTTTTGAAAAAAAATGACTTTATTGTGTTCCTAGGTGATCACTGGAAGGGCAAAAAATAATAAAAAAATATATAATTGTTTAGTTTACGTTTTATTGTATGTATCACATAAGGCACATTACCATGTTCATAACAATCAATAGAAAAAATACGATGTATCATATTTGACACATTGTCAAGACTAAGAAAAATAAAAATAATACAAACTCTTTTTCTTAATCAACAAGTATAATAGGAAACTTCTAAAAATCAACATAATTATCGGTCTCAACAATCAGCCTTTAAGTCTTACCTAATTAATGAGTCTTATTTATCAATAAAATGAGATCAATTTTATAAATTACTACTTATTACGTACGTATACATATCAGTCTCAAGAGATTATTTTTAATAGTAATTATTAGTTTTTACTTCTTAGCGTGGTACTATAAAACAATTACGATCGGGCAATAAACACAACCGTATTTCACATTTTTGACAAAAGAACTTCGTCTGTCCTTTTGTGCAGTACATACGCCTTCCCCTGGTAATTATTATTTTGGGATAGTGACCAATCTGGTCATATCGCACAGCATCTGGGGGTCTTTCAGCTACTGGTTTCTGTATCGTAGCTGTTGAGTTGGAAGAGAGTCTACCGATATCGCTCGTCTTCGCGTCTGAGTAATTGAAATTTTTTTAGAGTTCAGCTAGTTTATTGTATCGTTGAGTTTTAGACCAATAATCTGTATATGCACACATTTTAACGACTCCCATATTAAAAAGATTGCCAAAAAGTCTTTGACATCATCTTCTGTAATATTTATAGATGAACCATTTGTCTGTGTGCTATAGATATTTGTTTGTTCCATTATGTGAGAGACGATGTCGTCTGAGAAGAACAGCTTGAAGTATTCAATAGCACTCTTTTCCTCACGAGGCTCAAATAAAATATCTTCTACTTCTGCAGAACCAGTAAATTTACAGCAACGCCAATTTGGTGCTAATCTTTTTGGTGGTATTATTCTTCGCCGAACCGTGGCAACTCTAGGTCTACTTGAGCGGGTAGCTGGGGATAATGGAGACTGCAGATGGTTCCGACGCAGCAAGTTATTGACGAGTGGTGCCGGAACTTGTGGCGACATTGCTAGTGGAGATGGTAAATTTACTTGACATGATGTCGATGGAACTGGAGACAATGGTGTGGTCTCAAAAGAATGTAGCTGTCTACTTGCAGACACGTATGGCGATAAAATTGATGGCGAACAAGGATTGGTTATCGGCGACGATTGTTGGTATGGCACCAAAGACGTTGACGCGGCAATATCATTTATCTCAGTATCATCATCTGATAATAGATGGAGGTTTTCTATCGAAGATGGTAATGAGAGCGGTGATGAACTACTGTCGGAGTTCGCTGGGCCTGCGTAATACTGGAGTTCATCTCCCGATGATTCACTTTCATCCAAATCAGGTTTTGCTCCCGGCTTCGGTAGCTGTCGGTAGTTAATCTGTTTTGTTGCTGCTTAGTTAGTTGACCAACTACCTGCAATGATAAAATATAAATACTTATTCACACCTCTGGCGATGTCATATATTAGGTACATAGTTAAAAATATCTATAATATTGGTTATCTGGCAATGTATCACATCTGATACACTCGAAAAAACCAGTGAATAAAATATATTTACAATCGATTTTGATCGGTCAAAATAGAATACCGACTAGTAAAATATCCTAAGCTACTCAAATTATATCACTTACGGTTAAAATTATTGCAAAATACAATTTAAAATCTTTTTTTTTACCTTGCGATGTGTAGACGCGTTCGCTCTGTTCGCTATCTTGGGTTCTACTGCTTTCTTAGTGTTGCTAATAGTGAAACAACATATTTGATAGAGATTTAATAATATTTTGCTTCCCCACAAATGATAAAAGTTTTAAAAATATTTCTAAGTTTGTGCCTAGATTTTTTAAAAGAACAACGTATTAAATTGTATACAGTGCCAAGAATAGGGTTAAATACTAAATATCTTTTTTGTATAGTTATCGTGTAAAGTACTTGTAAATACCTGGTTTTGTATATATTTATAAAAAAATTAAATTATCAGAAGATGGGCAAGGTGAAAAAAAGAAAAAAGGATCCACCTGACGGAGTCGCCGCCGCCGACACTCAAAGCGACTCTTCATCCGAGGCGTCGGAGTTTGAAGATCCCACAAGGAAGTACCAAATTTTTAAGGTCCCTGGATACTCCAGGCGGTATCCAGAAACTTGTAAAAAAACTGAATATATCGTATTTCTTACACATATAGATGAAAAGCAACAGTTCTCTGACAAAGATCGTCTGGCTATTTCAAACGCCATTAGAAAACATTGTGTCACAGGTGTTCTGCATTTGAGACCAATAAACAAATTCAAAATAGCTATTACTTTCGATCTGTCCAACAACGCAAATGTTTTTCTCAAAAATAAAAAACTATTAGACGAATTAAAATTAAAAGCTACTATTCCGGCGTCTGATACTGAGGTCACTGGAGTACTTACTTCTGTCCCGATAGGGCTCTCAAATGAAAGGATTTTTTCTCTGATAGGAAGTTCCCGCAATATTATTCAGGTACGTCGGTTCATGCGACGTGTTAGAACTGAGCAAGGTATAGCATCGTTCCAACCTACCCAAACGGTGGCAGTCACATTTGCCTCAACAGAGTTGCCAGAGTATGTGTACCTTGATAATTGGAGACATGAAGTAAGCGTATATGTGCCTCCGGTAAAACAATGTCTGCATTGCTTGCGATTTGGACATATTGCAAAGTTTTGTAGAAACACAGAGGTTTGCTCAATATGTGCAGAGGGACACAATTATAAAAAATGTTTAAAAGACCCAAAAAATGATGCAAAGTGCGCAAATTGTGGAGGTAATCATATTGCCATCTCCAATGTGTGTCCACAAAAGAAATTAAAAGTAGAACAAAATAAAATAAAATCCATGTCTATTAAATATTCAGAATTATTTAAAGAAACCAATTTTCCACAATTACATGCTAAAACTTTAGAGACGCAAATACAAAATTTAACCAAATCAGATACTTTTATGAATATATTGACCCAAGCAATTACTAAAATAATCTTACAACAAAAAGATAAACCAATTAATTCAATATCAATAAAAGAAATATTACATCAAACATTCCGAAATAATCATACTCCCTCCAAATAATGGACACAATAAATATAATGCAATGGAACGCCCAAAGCATCATTAGTAATAAGTTTTTACTTACACAATTTTTAAATGAAAACAATATTCACATAGGTATTATTTCTGAAACCTGGTTACAACCCCAAAAGATTTTCAATATAAAAAATTACAAAATTGAAAGAAATGACATTGGTAGTAAACATAATGGTGTAGCCATTTTAATACATAAAAGTATAAAATATAATAAAATTAATACTTATTATGACAATTGTTTACAAAATATTTGTGTAAATATTACTGTAAAAAATAAACAAATTAGTATTGTAAGTTTTTATTGTCCAACTAATTGTTCTCCAGCCTTTGATAAATTGAAGTTTGAAAATTTAATAAAGTCCATACCTAAGCCAGTTATATTTGCAGGCGATTTTAACGCTCATCATACATCTTGGGGATGTAATTCTACTAATCCTAGAGGCAGAGATATTTTGCAAGTAATTGATGAAAATGACTTGGTCCTTCTGAATAGCGGTGAGGCTACCACGATTGGTTCATTGACGTGGCGTCCGAATGCTTTAGACTTGACTTTGGTTTCTCCATCACTGGCACTTTGCTCTAATTGGTCGGTATATAATGATCCTCTCGGCAGTTATCATTTACCTATAATGATAAACATTTTTGTTAATAATAGTGTAAGTAATAATGTACAAACTGGTAAAAACCTGCCTAATTTTTACAGCTTTAAATCGGTTGATTGGAAAATTTATGCTCAGGAGGTGGACTTTTTACTGACCAACTTTCAGGCCCAGGATTTTACGCCTTTGGATGCGTATAATGAATTCATCAAAATATTAGATTTGGCTGTTCAAAAATCAATACCAAAAAGTGTTTCACTTGCCAAGGATAGTAATTTTGTTAGAAAGTCTTTTAAAAAGGTACCTTTGCCATGGTGGAACCAAAAATGTACTGAGGTAGTTAATAAATCAAAACTAGCATACCTTAAATTTAAAAATAATCCATCAGATGAAACTTACATGGAATTCAAAAGACTTCAGGCTGTTAAAAAACTTACTTTAAAAACTGAGAGGACTAATAGTTGGGTCAAACTGTGTAGCTCATTTCATCGCTGTACTCCTATATCCCGAATCTGGAATTTTATGCGTAAATATAACAAAACATATTTTTATAGTAAAAATGATGACAGCTGGATCCCCCAATTTTTAAAAAAGTACACCCCAGACTACGTCAGTAACAAGTGTTATTCGTCCCTGTCCAGTTCAATTGATTCTTCCGATAGCTTCTTGGTTAAGCCTTTTTCGTTGAAGGAATTAGAGTCTGCCGTTTTTTCCAGAAGAGACACTGCATTTGGCTTAGACGGTATTCCTTATGTTATGCTTAAAAATCTTAATTCAAATAGCTTTGAAATACTTTTAGAAGTTTTGAACTATTTATGGCTGAATAATAAAATACCAAATTCTTGGAAATCTGATTGTTTAGTGCCCATATTAAAACCAGATAAACCTACTTCTCATCCAGATTCCTATCGCCCTATTGCCTTAACTTCTTGTGTTGGTAAAGTTTTTGAACAACTTTTAAAACAAAGATTAGAATTCTATGTTGAGAAAAATAATATCCTACCTTCTAATCAATTTGGATTCAGAAGGGGTACATCTGCACGTGAAAGTATCTGTCAGCTTCAGCTTGATATTGTAAATAGTATAAATAATGGAAATTTTTTGATGTCTGTCTTTTTTGATGTTGCTGGTGCTTTTAACAGTGTCAATATAGATGTTCTTTGTTCGGAGTTATTGTCAATTGCAATCCCAAGCAAAATAGTTTCCTGGATACATACATTCTTAACAAATAGAGAAGTATTTGTAAAATATAACTCTAGATTATATGGTCCAAGGTTTGCATCTGTTGGAGTTTGTCAGGGTGGTATACTTTCTCCATTGATCTTTGTACTGTACATACGTCGGCTTAATTTAATTTTGGGTCCTGAGGTTAAAAATCTGCAATTTGCTGACGATTTGGTGGTTTATGCATCTGGAAAAAAAATATCTGATGTTAATAATGTTGTAAATAAGGCGCTAGAAGGGTTGTATAAATATTTTTCTTATTTAAACCTTGATATTAATCCTCTAAAATCGAAAGTGGTATTGTTCGGAAAAACAGATAGTTGTGGTCCTGCAGTATGCTATAACAAAATTCCAATTCCTCATTCTAATGAGGCAAAATTTTTAGGTGTAATTTTTACACAAAATTTTAAATGGAATAAATATGTTGATTTATTAACCATACGAGCTAACAAAGCTTTTAATATTTTAAAAACACTCTGTAAAACATCTTGGGGTGCTGACCCTAAAATATTACTATTATTATACAAATCTCTTATAAGAAGTCATTTTGAATATGGGTTTCTTTGTTTCGCTGGTAATAGTAATCTGGTAGATTTATTGGATAAAATTCAAAATAAAAGTATGAGGCTTATTACTGGAGCATTTAAAAGCACACCAATTAATTCACTACAAGTTGAGTGCCATCTGCCGCCAATGAATATCAGGTTTTCTTTTCTAAAAGAAAAGTTCATTTTAAAACTTTACAGTAAAAGTAATAATCACCTTTTGTCTTATTTAACACGATCTTCTTCTGTATCTTTTCATCAATCTCCTTATTTTCTTCAGGGCTTTCTTCAATTTCATACATTTCTTAAAGGATTGCATATTTATCAGTCAGAGTTGCTGCCCTGTTATCAGGGTGATTTTGAAAGTAAATTTCCTGCAATTAACATAATTATTGATAGCAAACTAAACTGTAAAGAAGATGTTTATTTTAGATTCACTGAATTTAGTGGTTTCAATTTCATTTACACAGACGGTTCGAAAACTGAGTCGGCTGTATCTTTTGCAATGTTTGATGAGCAATTGAATTTAGGCACTGGTTACAAAATTAACGCTAATGCAAGTATATTCACAGCTGAGGCTGTGGCTATTCTTGCAGCTTTAAAACACATAAAACATAAAAATGGTGGTCATTATAAATGGGTCATAGTTAGTGATAGCATGAGTGTTTTACAAAATCTTAAAAATAACAAATTGAATGCTAACACTAATTATTTCATATTTTCTATTAAACAAAGTTGGTTAGATCTGTTTAGGGATGGTTTTGAAGTTTATTTTATGTGGGTCCCCTCACACTGTGGTGTATCAGGAAACGAAAAAGTTGACTTCTTAGCTCGAACAATAACGAATTCTGCAGAGTATGTCCCTGATTCAAGTTGCCAACTTAATATTTTTACTCCATACTCAGATATTGTTTCTCTTTTAAAGAAAAGGTTATTAGATTTGTGGACAAAACATCATACAATACAAATACAGAATAAAGGATCATGGTATGCAACACTTAACAATTCAATAAATTCCAAACCATGGTTCTGTCAAAATAATAGTTATCTTTGTAGGAAATTTTACACAACCATCTTGAGGCTCCGCTTTGGTCATTGTCGTCTAAACTTTCATCTATATCGTCTTAGAATGGTACAATCTTCGGCTTGCGATTTCTGCGATACTGAGGTAGAGCAATCCTTGGATCATATTTTCTTTAGTTGCCCATCCTTTGGCATTCAGCGCCTTGTGCTAATGGATGAGCTAATCAAAATTTATAAGTGTTCGAATCTAGTCCCGCGCTCCATTCAGGATCTCCTTGTAAATAATGCAACTTATCTAGCTTTGTACAAATTTATAATTAGTACGGTAGAACAAATTTAAATGTAAATAAATAGTATTCTGTCTAGCATTGTTGAATTAAAATTGTATATAGGTTTTGTTTGCTTGGTTTTCATTCACGTTTGTTATTTATTTATTTTGTTTGAGTGAGGTTGACCACGTGTCGACTCACGTCGACTGTTGAGTTTTTTGCACCTTTTACATGACTTAGTGACTAGGTAATTGTGACTGACAAGTGACATTATCTATCACAGAACAGAACATACCTACAATTTGTTCTGTGGAGATTACCTATTGTGACAGCCCGCTAGAGTTTCTTAGGATTGAATATACGAATGAATTTATACTTTACTAACTCTACTTATGATTTTAACTAAAACTAATGACTTAATCTTGGATTGAAAACAAATGAATAACTTAAAAAAAATATGGATGAGTAAAATACACTTTAATAAAAACAAAACTAATGACTAGGCGGTATGGTCTCGGACCTTAGCCTGTTCCCAAGGAACAAATAATATTAAAAAAAAAAAAAAAAACAAATTCTGTCAATGTCATAAAACAACAGCTATTTGTGCGAAATTGTAATTTGTCGATCCATTAAGATAAAATAGTAATTTAGTTGTTATTAATTAACGAAATCATACAGAACATAATTTAATGAAGTAAAAAGACTTGTATTTGCTATAAAATATCATTATTAATTCATCATACCGCTAATCGTGAGCGTTCACTTGGATTTGTGGAGGTGAAAATTGTTCAGAACACTCTCTGTATGTGCAGTTTTTATTAATTAATTAGCTCATTAAATAGTATTATTTCCACAGTCCGGTTATGGCGGATCAATCGTCAGTGTTAGCTTTAGTTATATTGGCCGTTGGGGTCACTGTTCACTTCTCCTTGCATAAAGTAGAAGAAGGACATGTAGGAGTGTATTACCGGGTAAGTAACGATCAATATATATGTATTTATATGTCAGATAACATTTCTAAGTTAGAACATAGCTTAGGAATGTTATTATGTTACTAGTTGGCTCTGCTCCAGGTCAATTTTATTGGAATGTTGAATGGTTTTTATCAAACATTTAGCATTATTAGTAATATTGTTGTTCCAATGTTTTTAGTACTAAGTGAGCATAACTAAAATATTACCAGTATAAAAATATGGTACTATGGCAAATAATCAACTAGCCTTTGTTAAAGAAAAATAATGTAAGTCACAATATCTGTTATTAACTAAACAATAGAATAACAATTAAGGACAGAGTAACAGATAAATGTGTCAACACATTTAGCCACTTGAGCTAAATGGTAGTTACTAAAAATTTGTGTTCCATTTAATGTTTTTATTTTCCTCCTGTTTTTATATTATATCTGAAATAAAAATAAACAAATTTGTTGGAAATTGTTAATTGTGGAGTTAAAGTAGATTACATTTTGTATATAAATGCTAACTGCCTGTGCCCCACAGTTTCACCCGCATAGTTCATATTTAGTGTTTATATCTGTTGAGTAGTTTTTATCAAACATTCAGATAGATTTGCTATCAAAACAACAAAAGAACATTTTTAAGTATCTATTGCAATATTAAAATGGAAAGCAATGAAAAGTAACAACTAGGGTATCTCTTGACTCCTCCAACCAATGACTTTTAATTTCAAGAGGTAGTAAATGATAGAACATTCTCGTAAATTCAAATTATACTATTTCCTTGTTTACAGGGAGGAGCTCTGCTTCCAGTAACCAGCCAGCCAGGGTTTCATATGATGATTCCACTACTAACATCATACAAATCAATACAGGTACATTCATATAACTAATTAGTTTCTAGTTTTTTTGGTTTTTCCTAAACGGTACTGTTATATGATTTTTACATCAAGTACCATTTAAGCATTTATGTATTACTTTGTAGCTTTAAATATTACTACCACTGAGTTTAAAATACAATCAACTGCTGCAAGTTTTTGTAAACAACTTTTATTTACTGATTTCCATGAGGGTTGAAATGTCTTTAAAATTGAATTAAGTGCATATTCCTGTTGGGGTTTATTCCTGCAGCGTCATAGTATAGATTTGCAGAGTAAAGACTGATTGCAAACAAAAATATCCTTGTGACTCAGCCATCATGCACCAGTCTACATACACAATAAGTCAATAACAGGGACTTTGCTCACAACAAATTCAATTGACTAATGTAGTTAACCTTAATTTAGTAATTGGTAATTATAATCAGTAGCCATAAACAAGATGTGAACCAAAATGGACATCAATTGCTAATGGATTGGACCAAATGATTAATTATAGTTACATAACGAATGGACTGTGCCATTCTAGATTGTTTTACTGTGTTTTAAAAATTAGTTTTATGTAAGTAGTTTGTAGGTATTATGATTTGTGGCAGTGTAGTTAGCAATTTTAATTAGCAGAGTGTAAGAGCAGTTGGTTTAATAAATATCATCTTATTGTCGGTATTTTGCCAATTTTATCAAATATTAATTGATATCATGGTGGATGTAATGACTTTTATCCTGTCATTGTAGACAACCCTCCAGACTGATGAAGTGAAGAATGTTCCTTGTGGTACAAGTGGCGGAGTCATGATATACTTTGAAAGGATTGAAGTCGTGAACAAATTGGAACCAGTTAGTGGTAAGGTTTGAGATCCCTAAATATAGCACATAAAATTTAAAAGAGGTTTTCCCTGTCTAACTACAAAATTGCATGTGTAACATACAAAATATACTTGATAGAATTTAATAACACAAGTGATTTCTTCTGTCTTTCAGTGCTTGATATGGTGCGTAACTTCACGGCAGACTACGACAAGACATTAATATTCAACAAGGTGCATCACGAGCTAAACCAGTTCTGTTCTGCGCACACACTGCACGAAGTTTATATTGATTTATTTGATCAGATCGACGAAAATTTACGAACCGTTAGTACTGATAAGAATTCTAGCCAATATTTTAAAATTTATAACTGTAGGCATAAAGTCAGCATCTCATTTAAAAATGTTTATAATTCTACAGGCGCTCCAAAGAGATTTACACGAAATGGCGCCTGGTCTCAGAGTGCAAGCAGTCAGAGTAACAAAGCCAAAGATACCAGAGTCGATCCGCAAGAACTACGAGCTCATGGAAGCTGAGAAATCAAAACTACTCATTGCTGCGCAACATCAAAAGGTAATACAAAAGATGTTCGTCATTAGTACCTAGGTGCATTGGTAAAACAACGTTCATTGAGGCTCAATTAGGCAGGCTGAATCTTCTCCGATGTAAAGGAACTTATTGTTTAGTTTGTTTTGTATTTCTATTAGTTTGCTATATGTATATTTGCATATTACGGGAATCGCATCTAAGTCCTCCTTTTCGACAGTGGCGACCAAATGGCCGATGAGGTAACGTCCGAGCATTCGTGACTGTCAAACAAGATGAACTTGACGAAATATAGAAATAAAACGTATGTATTTTTCTATTAACAGGTAGTTGAAAAGGAGGCAGAAACAGCGAGACGCAAGGCTGTTATCGAAGCCGAGAAAGAAGCACAAGTTGCGAAAATCCAGTATGAACAGAAAATTATGGAGAAAGAGTCTCTGCAGAAGATCGAGCTTATTGAAGACAGTATCCATAAAGCGAAGCAACAAACAAAAGCAGAGGCGGAATTCTACAGCTTGAAGAAACAGGCTGAAGCTAACAAGATGTTGTTAACGAGAGAGTACTTAGAGCTGAAGAGATACGAAGCTCTCGCGTTGAACAACAAAATATACTTTGGTAGTGATATTCCTAACATGTTTCTTCAGGCTAATGTTGGGGACAGTGTTCCTATCCCTAAAGCTCATGTTGAATGAGTGTTAATCACCTTGAATCACCTGCTAGTCACGGAATAGAGGCGACAAGCCATAAGACTGCAAATCAGTGATACCTATACGACTTTTCCAACCTAAGTCCTTATCTATTGTGTTATATGGACAATCACAGGGCCCTAGCAGGAGCTTCATCAATACACGTCTATGTGATGATGTTAGATAAGTTCAGAATGCTTTGAACGTTTTTTGTTAGTTACCTCTTGGCTAGTTTTTACAGAATACAAAGTTCAAGATTCTCTAAGCAAACAAATTGTAAAATAGAATAGTTATTGTGATAATATAAACAAATTAAGTCTAATCTCATTGTATGGATTTCTTATTAGTGCATTATGAAAAAATATTCAAGAATTGTGATATTTATTTTTTATCTAAATGTTCTAAAGACATTATGTAGTAAGGAATGAACATAAAAGTGAATTGTAGATGAAATGCATCACATTGGCTGCACTCGGTTTATTTGACTGATTACTGTTCTGGTGTTAGATTGTCTGTGTACATAGCTTTTTTAAATGTGAAATAAAAGTCGATATTTGTGGAAAAAATTGATTTTATTCAAATGTAAACTTAAAATTAAATTGGCTGCTCATCTTAAATTTTGTTAAATGCAGCAATATCAACAGACTGGACAAAGTCTTCGAATTCTTGGATTTTCTCAGTCAAGAGATCAACAGAGACTTTGTCGTCTTCAATGACGCACATGATCTGCAGTTTGTTGATACCATATCCAACAGGTACAAGTTTGGAAGCTCCCCAGAGGAGGCCATCCATTTCGATGGTGCGGACCTGGTTTTCCATTTCTTTCATGTCTGTTTCATCATCCCATGGTTTAACATCAAGGATTATAGATGATTTAGCAATCAGAGCAGGTTTCTTTGATTTCTTGTCAGCATAAGCTTTCAGACGTTCTTCACGAATTCTGGCAGCCTCAGCATCCTATTAAACAAATTATTTAGTTATTGCCAATGAATTTTTTTACAGTTATCCAATATGAATGAATGAATAGCTACTGACCTCTTCCTCGTCACCAGATCCGAATAGGTCGACATCATCATCGTCGTCATCCTTAGCAGCGGGTGCAGGTGCTGTGGTGGTCTTTCCGCCAGCGGTCAGAGGGCTAGCTCCAGCCGCCCAGGATTTACGTTCCTCGGCACTGTAGGAGGCAATCTGGTTGTACCAACGGAGAGCGTGGGGCAAGCTTGCGCTCGGGGCTTTGCCGACTTGTTGAAATACTTGAAAATCGGCTTGAGTTGGTGTGTAACTAAAAATAAAAGTAGGTACATTCGATTATGGCGGAAAAGACACAAACAGCTGCTTTCCAAGGTCATTGTTGAAATTAAGTTAGAAAGACAAAATAACAAAGAAATTTTATTATAGTTAGCGAGAAGTCTATTAGAAATAGCGGCACATTAACCAAGTTAGTATTCATCGCTTATAAGAATTTGAGGTTATACTGAGCTCCAAACTAATACGAGGTTGACGTGGAACTAATCTTAATTTAAAAGATAACTTACCCGGACACATAACTCTTGTCAGCTAAGAAATTGTTAAGCTCATTAAGGCCTTGTGCGGTTTTAACGTCTCCTACTGCCATTTTTATTTAAAAAAGGAGTTTTTTTCGAGTAATAGCCACACGCCCCGGCACAATGTGAGCAAGAAGGAATGAAAAGGAAATCTGACATTGACATTGTAATATAAATTGACGTTCAGAGAACGAATGATTGAACTTATTGGAATGGTTAGCGACCGACGTCTTGGAATATTTTGATGCAAGAACACATATAGAAACTCGACTAATTAACAAGAAAACCGGTACTAAGAAGTGAGTACTTGCATATAACTATCTAATGAAGTTATTGACAGTTCTTGTATCTGTCACTTATCTAAAGATTTTAGTACATATTTTTAGGTACGAATTTTACGAAAATACGACGTATAATACAATAAGTAATCATTCTTAATAATTATAAACGTGAATTTACTTAAATTTAAGTATTTACCTAACCATTATTCACTATATTTATTTAGGTTAGGAGTTGATTCTTATGTAATAATAACAGAGGAATTGCTTGTATTTAATGTGTTTTAAAAGGATTATCTTCTTGTAAAAACACCAACGTGTCGTTTAGCTATCTCAAAAACAAATTTTAAGTGCAAAGAGTTGTAAACAGTTATACAATACGCGTGACATTGATTGTAAACGTATTGGTGTTTGCTGCAGAAAATGCTGCGCCAGCCGCTTACTAGGGCGCTTAAGCTGAGTTCGCCGGCGCGTGCAGCGCCGCTGGCGGCTCGCACCTTCTCTGCACAGCCTCCAGCACCAGAAAAATTCGAAGTCTTCATAGATGACAAACCTGTCCAAGTAGAGCCTGGCACCACAATTTTACAAGTTAGTAACATTTAAGTATGTCATTCAAATTAAAATCTGTCTTCATATTGGCTACAGTGTGTCACTCGTATCACTCCCAATAAGTATGTCTTATAGTTATGACAAACATATATATTTTTTTCATTATTACATGTTTTTGATGATTCTGTTCTTCATCTTTCAACAACAACATAACATTTACTTACTTAGGAATTTTCTTATATTTTATTTTGTTATTCTTACTTTGGTAATTGTTATAAATATAAAGAAAGTCTTTTAAGTTAAAGTTTTTTTGTTGTAAATAGGCTGCAGCCCTAGTGGGAGTTGAGATCCCCCGTTTCTGCTACCATGAGCGCCTTGCTGTTGCTGGTAACTGCCGCATGTGTCTTGTGGAAATCGAGAAGTCTCCCAAGCCTGCAGCAGCTTGTGCTATGCCTGTGATGAAGGGAATGAGGGTCAAGACCAACTCAGACTTGACAAAGAAAGCCCGTGAGGGTGTGATGGAGTTTCTCCTTGTGAACCACCCTCTGGACTGCCCTATCTGTGACCAGGGTGGTGAATGTGACTTGCAAGATCAGTCCATGGCGTTTGGTTCAGACAGGAGTCGCTTCACTGATATTCATTTCTCTGGCAAGCGGTAAGTGTTATTTGAATTATATAGTACAGTGATTATATCATATAGTCAATAATGATAACAGCTTAATTAGAAAAATCATAGCATAGAGCATGATATTTGTACAGTTATTCAAAATTTGTAATGTAATTAAAGTTTTGAAAATTGAGAGTGCAAGATTTATTTAAGAAACTTTTGTTTGTTTAAGAACTATAAGAAATATGTTCAAGCTGGATGTTAACAAGGCACTTTTAAAAAGAAAAGTTGAATGTCTTTATTTTTATTGTTTTCTTACAATAGTGCTGTTGAAGATAAAGATGTGGGTCCATTGATCAAGACCATTATGACTCGGTGCATCCATTGCACAAGATGCATCCGGTTTGCATCCGAGGTGGCTGGTGTTGATGACTTTGGTACTACTGGCAGAGGTTCTGACATGCAGGTTAGTGCAATCAAAATAAGTGTTCGATAGATTGTTGTTATTTTGCAAAATTACTGTGTAAAAAGTGTAGATGAATAATACCTTTAGGCCCCGTTTATAGAGACGAGATGCGTTGCGTGGCCGGTCATTCGTTCGTTAAACATACAGCAGCGTGCTTCGTCGCCAACTGCGGAAACACAAGCTTATGAACATTGTACGACGTACGCACGAAGTGCTGCGGTCATTTCCGTAAATGAGGGTTTAGGCTGTACTAGACTAGCTATCGTAATTTGGCATCAGTCTTTATTCATGCTATTCATATTACCATCAACATGCTTAGGAAGCTATTAGAAGAAGCTATAAATGACTGTGGCATAAAATAATGAGCCCACCATTGTAAAGACGTAAATAATCCTAATGTTTGTCTTCAGGTCGGAACCTATGTGGAGAAGATGTTCCTATCTGAGCTGTCTGGCAACATCATTGACCTGTGCCCGGTCGGCGCGCTCACCTCCAAGCCCTACAGCTTTGCTGCACGACCCTGGGAAACCAGGAGGGTAAGTTGTATTAATTACTTGCTCACATATTTTGAATCCTCCTTCGTTATTCAAGGGGCCTTATATCAGACATTTTTTTTAATTCTATCTAGTCTTGAATATTGTTTACTTTGATATCATGTTCGTATTTATTAAACTGGAGATATAATAGGATGAAAAGTGAGTCTACAGACTGACAAACATTTTAATATGTGCACTTTTGCCATCCAATAATACATTGAGTTATTTTTTTATTTGTGTCTATTGTATATGTTATAAGTAAGCCAATGTTAATTATTTTATTTATCTATCTTCCAGATCGACTCTGTAGATGTTTTAGACCCCCTGGGTAGCAACATCGTAGTTGCGACGCGTACTAATGAAGTCCTGCGTATTCTCCCAAGGACCAACGAGGTAACTTTCTTTAATTAACCATGTATTTGCAGGGTCAAGGCCACTCACATGCTAATTCGTGAAAGCAAATTGAATTCGAATCAAATGGGCATATTAATAATAAGATGCCCTGGATATTTTGTGACCTTTTATTCTTAGGGCAAAAATAAACTATTTTTTTCAGTTCTTTGCTTTTTTCTCAGGCTACTTTACCTGTCGAACCATTCTCGCCTAATTTAATGTTTAAAAACGTTGTCTTGCAGGAGATCAACGAGGAGTGGTTATCCGACAAGTCTCGGTTCGCATGCGATGGTCTGAAGCGCCAGCGCCTGGTGACTCCTATGATGAAGGACAGCCGCGGAAACCTCACGCCCGTCGAGTGGGAGGACGCTATGGTGGCCGCCGCCAGAGCTCTGCAGGACTGCCCGCCTAGCAAGGTATGCGCGAATCAAAAACATAATTGACTGTCAACCGTACTATGAATGTGCTGCGTACACACAACATCCATTTTTTTATTCTTTCTAACTGGTCTTTCGTCCATTCTGACTTTCGTTATAGGTCAATAAATAAAACCTTTGCGAAAAGAAAAAATATTACATGATGCTTCTTTCAAAAAGTTTGTTTAGTGAATTTAACTCTTAAGGCTAATAAAGCACTTTTTTTCCTTTATTCATTTCCAGCTCCTGGCTGTAGCTGGTGACCTCGCCGACGCGGAGTCGCTAGTGGCGCTGAAAGACCTGGTGAACAGGTTGGGTTCTGAGAACACTTGCACCGAGCAATACTTCCCGCTAGAGGGCGCCGGTATCGATCTGCGGTCCTCATACCTCTGCAACACTAAGATCGCCAGTGAGTAACGTAATCAACGTTTTATTTTAATTAATTAATTTGGTACGGTGGTTATGATCATTAGGTTTACCATGAAATAGAGATGGAGGTAGAATGGTTTGAATGTTTGGGTCGGGTCATTATAAAAATTTTTTCGGTCATGTTATTGATTGGTATTCTGCATCTGGATTGTATAGGGAAAAATTATATAGGTTTCGGTTACGGTGATGAATTATCCGTTGGAATTATTCACGTGTTGCATACGATGCGAAATAAAAACCTGTCGGAACATGCTTTCAACATCTCGACTCCCGAATTCGGACTATATAGATTCCTGGTATAAGAAACAGTATACTCGTCTTCTACATTAGATTAAAACAGGCAGCTATGTCCAACTTTGTATATCCTTTCGCTGAATGAAACATATCTAGGTTTCTACATAAAATACTTTTTTCAGATGTTGAGGACTCAGACTTTGTGCTTCTTATCGGCGCTAACACCCGTTTCGAGGCGCCATTGTTGAACGCCCGTATCCGCAAGGCCTACATTCACAAGGACACCGATGTAGCTTTCATTGGACCCAAAGTCGACCTCACCTACGATTACTTGGTAAGAACATAATGAAAAATTCATTACTATTGTATTCTTGAGTACTTAAATATAGCCGAGAATGTATAGTTATGCTTCGTTAGTCATTCTGCAAATAGTTGACAAATATTATTAAGAATTTTGTAATTAAAAGAAAACTTATTATACAAGTGAAATAATTCACTTCAGAAACAAATCTTTAGGCCTTTGACTGCTGACAGAAAACTATACTAAGACATTATACAAGACTTCTTCAAAATAATCATCTCTACATTTTTTCTTGTAGCACGTGGGTGACTCCGCTTCCATTGTAAAAGACCTGGCTTCAGGAACGTCGTCCCACGAAGTAATGAAGCGTCTAGAGTCAGCTAAGCGTCCCGTGGTGATCCTGGGAGCAGACCAGCTCAAGACCCCTGAAGGAGCCGCTATCCTCGCCTACACACAGGAGCTGGCACTCCGTCTGCAGGAAAAACTTGAGGATAAGAGCTGGAAGGTATGTTGGTAGACCTATAGTAAAGACCCACTATTATGTGAATGGTAATTGCTGTCGATGGTTGAGTCACTTGTGACATACTCATCACGTTAGTTATCCAGTCTTTGTCCAGTTTAGACTGCCTGGTACAATATTTGACTAGCATGTTGTTTCCTCTGAGAAATCCTTTTTCTATTTTCTTGCTAATTGGTCAGATTGAAGATTACTTCGAAATGCGGTGCGTGGCGTGATGGTAATTTCAATCAGATGTTTCGATTTTATAAAAGTTTACTTTAATACCTAAGTGTTAGAGTTATAATTATTCCGTCCAGAAGTTTGATAAATGTGTTCTGTGCAGGTGCTGAACGTACTCCAGCGCACGGCCTCGCAGGTGGCAGCCTTGGACATCGGGTACAGGCCGGGCGTGGGCCCCGTACTGCAGGACGGGCCTAAGGTCGTGTACTTACTGGGCGCCGACAGTGGAGTCGTGTCCAGAGACCAGCTGCCTAAGGACGCTGTTGTCATCTACCAAGGTTTGTTACATCTAACGCAGAACACGCAGCAGACGCACAAATCACATTCAAGATTCTACATCGCGGCATAACAGTTCTCAACGCAATTAGGACAGATACAAAATCCCGACAACAACAGTCTGCTCGAAGAATCGTTTCTTTTCAATGGAGGATGAGGAACTTTACTCTGTGTTCTCTCATTACTCCAAAGCCTTACCCGTACCCTTGGATAGTAAGTTTTTTAGTATTGTATTCTCAAGGATTAATTGTAGAAGCCTTATAAGGTTTATCGATACGAAATTATTTGTGTAAAACACGACCCCCAGTAAGGATTACAACGATATTTTACTATGTGATTTACAGACCCCTGTTTTGCGAATATCATCCTTATTGTGTAGGAAATTCATCATAAATGAATGACACGACTCCCTGCAGGTCACCATGGCGACGTCGGCGCGGCGATGGCGGACATAGTGCTCCCCGGCGCGGCCTACACGGAGAAGCGCGCCACGTACGTCAACGCGGAGGGACGTGCGCAACAAACACTCGCCGCCGTCACTCCGCCTGGTAAAGCACGCGATGACTGGAAGATCATTAGGTACGTGTTTAAAGATATCTTCAAAGCTGGCAACGCACTTGTGACACCGTTATTGTTATGGACGGTGCCTGACCATTTGTTCTGAAACAATAATAAAATAGCTTTGGAGTAATAATATGTCTATTTGCTAGCATAGCTTTTAATTTTCCCCACCTTTGCCTATCACATAATATCATGTAATGTCGTGCTATCACTTGGTTCACAGAGCTCTATCAGAGATCATAGGCGAGCGCCTTCCTTATGACAACCTGGACGAGGTGCGCGACCGCCTGAGTCAGATCAGCCCGGCGCTAGTCACTTACGGCAATGTAGAAGACAACAACTATTTCGCGCAGGCCAGGTCTCTTGCCCAGGTACGATTTTGTTCTTCGAAATTGGTTATCTTATAGTGAGATTAAGTTATTTACTGTATATTCTCTAAACTTCTAAATGCTAATCGAACATCGTGAAAAAGGCCCTGTTGTATAAAAATGCTAGTGTTTCATTCCATCAAAATAAAGCTTATTCTATTAATGTTTAAATCAAGAGGTTTTCCTGTATTTACTCGAAACGCTAGTCGGGTCTAACACCTATAAACTATAAAATATTTGCAAATTCATACGTAAAAAAGTAGAGCATCCTAAGCTTAAAAACTAAAGATTAATATTAGATGAACTTAAGCTCAGATAGCACCATCTACCAAACGCAAAAACGATAATTCTCAACGTAAATTATTTTGACAGAGCCTCCAGAAGCCAGTGTCTGGCAAAGTGGACGTGCAGCTGAAGCAATTAGAAGACTTCTTCATGACGGACACGATCAGTCGCGCCTCGCCCACCATGGCCAAGTGCGTGCAGGCTGTCCTCAAACAAAAGCAGTCCAAGTACTAGGCGAACAACTTAGAAGTACGACACACGAACACGCAAACATCTCATTTCATAATACTTCTATACGATTCCGGTAATCACCTTTATGTGTATACACATACGTACTTTAATTGCTTGTCCTGGAGATTCGTGTGCCGTACAGTTTATTAAATCTTTAAGATATTCCCAGCTTTTGTCGTTTGACTTTTGTACATTTACACCGCATTTTGGTACTAGTAAAGTTGCAAAATTAACTTTACATTTTAGGTTGTAAGCGCAGAAAACTCAAACGAATAAAGTTGTATTTTAGGGTAATTATAAAATTTATATTTTGCCTTTCTGCAATCATTTTTACGAGGAAAATACTACAGAAATGCACTTTGCGTGGTCGAGGGCTGTTACCTCAGTACCTCACTCGATACAATTATATAACTAGAAAACTCGACTACGCATGTACATTGTGATTTGTAGCTATTTATTTTGTTATTTAATAGATAAGCATAACAGTGTTGCAACAATTATAAAATATCAATATATTAAATTATTCATGGTACTCTGTAGCGAAGGAATGAAGAAAAGTGACCGACCGTAACTTGAATGTGAGAACAGATATTTGTAAATAGTAATGTTTGTAGTATAAAATAAAATGTAGTATAATGATTGTCGAAATCGTTTTTTATTTTAACTTAACACAAAAATTTCACATTTTGGGATCTAAGTTTGGGTCAATTGTTATTCAGGCTCCTATTCAATCCGTTGGATTTTCTGTATTCCTGCAATAAAAGATTTGTAAATATATAAACAGCCATGGGAAATATTGCTCGACGGAGTGCTTATGATGTATGATGGTACTACAAACAAATAAATGGTAAAATGGACACCCTAAATATTCTAAAATTACGATCGATTATGGAATAAAGTTATATAACTATATAATAAAGTTAGTTATCCCCAAAAGGTCGGCAGGGCACTCGTAACTCCTCTGTTGTTACGGGTGTTCATGGGCGGCGCTGATTGCTTACCGCGCGTTAGTTAATCCGTCTGCTCGTTTGCCGACCCCTAACATATGAAAAAAAGCATCGAGCATACAAAAAAGATTTTTCAAAACAGCTTCCGCCCGCGGGGCTCATAGAGTTAAGTAGGTAATAATCACAGGTAATAATACTAAAGTGCGGGGCTTTGCCTGTGTGGTATGTTGATAAAAGGTAGCCTTTGTGTTACTCCGGTTCCAGGGTATCCCCTGTCTACATACCAAACAACCAAATAGTGGACCATTTCCAGCACGTGAAAGAATAACATTCACAAACCCATACACTCTCACAAATTTTTACATTTATAATTTTAGTTGTATACAAATAGTAGTAGGACGTAAAACGAGATGATGTATGTAGTATGTATGTATATCACCTTCGTTTCTATTCTACCGAAATTAACCAAGGTGCTACTTACATCAATAACTCTTCTCGCAGGTATTTTGTTTTTGCACTCGCTTAAAGTTCTTTCCGCATTCTTAAAGAACTGCAAGTCTAAGGTATCTGAGCCGGACCATGGACTCGGTTCCTTTTCGCGACGTCTTAGCTCTGCTATCAGCCTGTGTTGTGGTTGGAAGTATGGAGACGTTGCGGCTGCTGAAATATTAAAATCTGCTTACAAAAAATTAGTTGGTATTCTGCTGGGAGCTAACTAGAACATACTGATTTCATTTCTGTGCAAAGTAGTTTGAACTGGCGTCTAAACTTGTGTCTTTAGAATATCAAACTCATCATTTATTTTTTCTTAATTTACACCCCATTCATGCTAGTGCTTCTGCCCTTTGTAACTCTTTATAACTTGGTTGGATCTGGTCGAAGTTATAGCAGTTTTTTTAATGTTATACATTGCTAATAATCAAAATATTTTCTCCTGGGATCGGGGGTACGGTTACAGACGTACAATTCGACATGGGCATCACACTCCGACCCAGAACAATAATTTGTAAGACTTTTAACACACTAATCATTATACCTTTGACCGGCGGCTCAACAGTTTCTTTTGCAGCTTTCTTCGTAATGCGTGGTTTTTCACACTTGGCTATGTAACATTGTCGGTCGCAGTAGCACTTGTTGATGCCCTTCCTTTGATTCGCAGCTTCTGCCATAGATTTGTTGAACTCAGCTATAGTCTTGTTGTTCTTCCGATCTTGTTTAGTCTTCTCTTTATTTCTGCGTTCCCTTTTAGCAGCTCTATTCAGAACGGGAAGGTCTTAAATATTTGATTTGTGTGTGTTAAATTTTTTGTGAGAGAAATGTACCTACCTAAGTAATAATGCGTGACAATTTTAGATTTACTTCTTTATATCCCTGCCCTATCCCTAAATTTTATATATCTGTTAATAAACTATCTATAAACATATAAAGTATCTAGAGCATTTTTTTTTGTTTCTGGCCCTGGAGCAGGAGAAGGAACGGAGTGGTTTAAGTCAGTAAAAGTCTAACACTCACTTTCGCCCACCCTGGGCTCACCCTGGGCGAGAGAAGTCATTGGATGATTTTCCCCTCACAAAAAAAGCTACTGCTTGAACTATGGTTGTTATTATGTAGTTAATTAGTCTATGGATGGAACTTAGATGGTCATATTCGATATTCGAGCAGTTTGACAGTAGAATAGCAAAACTAAAATTTACTTTAATAATTTATTTTTACCTGTGTTCTCCTTTCTTGTTATATTTTTCGATAAAATCATCGAATTGTTTCTTTTGTTCTAATTGAAGTTGTTTTGTTGTATTGTAGTTAATTTTCATTATTTCTGTATCTTGATGTTCTTTGTAAATCTATAGAAAAACCAACAATAAATTTGTGAAACTGTAAATAACCTTGTAAGCATGTATCCCATTTTTCGTGGGGAACCCCCTATGAACTTCATCTGAACATCTATACAGGAAATGCTTGGATTACCAGGCCAGCCTAGACCAGGCTAGCATATTTTAAGGAGAACTGATGGTGTCCCCACACTTAAAAGACCTTGGACAGTTCTAAAGGTGTCAAGTACAGTGCGGCCGACGTATCTTGGCGAGTCTGAAATTAGCCGTTTGTCTGCGCAATGGATTTTTTAGGAACAAAATTGTGTACTGCGCAACTAATCGGCTAACTTCAGACTCGCCAAGATACGTCGGCCGCACTGTAGCATATCTACCTACCTGTTGATTGACTTTCTTGATTTCACAGTTCAGTTGTTCCTGGTCCCTCCGACAAGCTTCTATCTTAGCAAGATATTCTGCTTCCCATTTAGCCAGCTCGTCTTTTGTCTTTTTGTATTCAGCTGCACACTGTTCCAGAGCTTGTCTTTCTAGAAGTTTCATTTTGGTCTGTAAAACGTGAACAAGTGGTAAATGAGCAAGAGTTAGATTTTTATTCGTATACAAAAAAATCGTGTATACCGTGAAATTTAGGTAAGTATATCATGGCTTCTCTATAGGAAAAAGGGAATGAAGATTTTTTTATTCGTTGGATAAAACCTAAAAACTAGATACTCTTTAGAACAATAATAACTCTGGACGGAACTTGTAGCATCGCAAGGATTCATATATGTATACACGTCGGGGTATCCGAGTCGCAGGTGTAGTGAAAAACACATATTTTCAACTTTACCTGCCTCACTTCATGGTTATATAACTTTTAACACACTACATAATAACTAAGTATATATATATTTTACCGCGGCCTCATCTTCAAGTTCCAGAAGACGCTTCATTAGCTGTGCGTCTTTAAGTTCTCCTTGCTTTCGTTTCTCATTCGACTTAGCTTCTTGCTCTTTTTGTTTTTCAAACCTATAAGAATACTTCACTATTTTACCCACTCTCTAGAACGTTAGTTTGGAATATTTTTAAAGTACTTAGTTAAAATAGGTTGATATAGTAAGGACACCCATATATTATTTACGGCTACAAGGTTATTTTGTTTAACATTTCATCCTAAACTATTGATTTAACTAGCAACATAATTCTCCAGAATGAATATCTTACATTTCTTTATTAGTTTTGGAGTTTTCAATTTCAATAGATTTCCGTTTTTCCTTTACAGTATCCTCATCTTTGTCCAAGTCGAATGTACAGAATGTCACAGTTTTAGCTTTTTTCAGTTCTAGTTCCATTTGCTTCTGTTTTATTTCTTTTTTTAAATTGATTTGTGCTTCCCTCTCTTCTTGATCCCTGGATTCAAGTAGCGCGCTGAAAATAATAAATAAAGAATTGAGGTACCTAGGTATATATATTGTGACGGAAAAGTGGTTCAAACTCTTTGACATCATGACGTCAATGGATGGTTGTCAAACGTTGCCTAGAGATTGTAAATTTCGTCGTGAATTGTCAATACGAGTTGGTGTAATTGGTAAGGCGTGTGGATTACACCACAGAGACCCCGAGTTCGAGTCCCGCCGTAAACATGAAGTTTTTTAGTTGATGGAAGTTTTGTCGAACTTTCTGGAATTATTGTGTAAAAGAAATGAAAAATTAAAGAGCGAGAAGGAGAATAAATAAAAATGAATAACGAAATTATTGGAAGGTTCTGGAGGCATGACGATCAAAAAGAATAACGAAATTGAATGTTCCAGAACTTGACCGGGGGTATATAAGCGGAACTGCGGCTCATCGCTGGCAGTTGAGTTCTAAGTCTAAAGCGATTCGGAAGAAAAGGAACAAGTGAAAAAGAAGAAAAGTGAGTGAAATAGTGAAGTGCAGTGAAATAGTGAAGTGCAGTCAGTTAAGTGAGTTAAGTCAGCGTGAACGGCAAAGTTGTGTCAGTCGGCCGGACTCTGCTGGAGAGGAACGCCGATAACTTAACTCCGTGGACGCTGTAACTTAAGTGCAATAGAAAGTCTGAAAACCGGTATTAGTGTTTCATTTCATCCAATCCCGTAACCCAAGCCCGCATAGTCAGGAACGTGACGAGGCACGTAACATTTGGTGTCAGAAGTGGGATTGGAGAAAAATGCCGCTAGTGCCGCAGGACGTAAGAGGAGTGAGTACCCGTTCAATGTCAGAAGCGCAGCGTGTGAGGGAAGAGGGTGCTGCAGCTCAAACCAGCGATGCAGAAGCCAAGCCTGTGCAGGTGGATCTTCTGCTACAGCTGCAGCACATGATGGCAGAGCAAGCGCGCCGCCAAGAAGAGCAAGCGCACCGCCAAGAAGATCAAGCGCGCCGCCAAGAAGAGCAAGCGCGCTGTCAGGCAGAACAGCTGCGGGACCTGAAAGAAGAGCAAGCGCGCCGCCAAGAAGAGCAAGCGCGCCGCCAAGAAGAGCAAGCACGCTGTCAGGCAGAACAGCTTCGGGAGCAAGCACGCTGTCAGGCAGAACAGCTTCGGGAGCAAGCACGCTGTCAGGCGGAACAGCTACGGGAGCTGAAAGAAGATCAAGCTCGCCGCCAAGAGGAGCAAGCGTGTCGCTTGGAAGAGATGCATAAGGATTTCACGAAGGGACTGCAAAAGGCTGTCGAACGGGTACAAGAAGTGGAGGAAGGGTTAGGCAAGTTGGAACATCGCGTCATGGCCATAGAGGAGAGAGTGGAAGAAGAGATCTCCAAAATCAAGCAGGAAGTGGCAAGCCCAAGCCCTTTGAAGAGCCGAAGCCGTCTTGCAGCCGTTTTTGACACCCCAAATGTGGCCTCAAGCGCAACGAAAGGGCTCAAGATTCCCCATTACGACGGAACAACATCCTGGACCGCGTTCAAGCTACAGTTTGAGACACTTATGGAGGCTTATGGTTGGACTCAGAAGGAAGCACAGTCAGCCCTCACCCTGGCCCTCCGTGATCAAGCGCTCTCAGTGCTGGAAGCTATCGGCGCAAGTGGGGATCTCAGCTTTAGTGCCCTCCTCGACGCACTTGAGGCACGTTTTGGAGACAGCCACCTCGAGCACGTGTACAGAGCGCAATTAAAAGAGCGTACTCAGCGTGCTAATGAGAGTCTACAGCAATGGTCCGTGGAAATCGAGAAACTTGTGCGTCGAGCTTTCCGGTCGACTCAATGAAACAATGAAACAATGAATTTATTTTTGCAAATAGGCCTTAAAACGGCACTTTTACACGTCAAATTATATGTGAAAAACTAGATGAAGCCGGCATTTCCTATCTGACTACTCTGAGAAGAAATGCCGAAACAAACTCAGAGGTCAGTCTCTTTTCAAGTCCAGACAATATAAAATAACATAATGTGAGAGAACCGTGCAAGTTCATTCTGTAGTGGTCTTTTGAGGAAAGAACCACACCAGTTTAAGTGGACCCGTTCCGACAGGCACGCAAGTGTCAGTTTGCAACCATATAGCTAGTGCTGTTGAGTTGTCCGACGAACAATACCGATCAAAAGAACATTTGGGTGGGTCGCGCAAGTACTCAAACTGTCAGAACGCAGATGACTGGTGATAAAAAAGCACGACAAGTCTCACACGGTCCTTACACTAACAATAATATAAAATAATAAAAATGTCAACAAATAAATAAAAAAAAATGTCAAATAAAAAATAAAAATGTCATACTATGTGATCATGTCATTGTATAAAAAAAAAATAAACGTAATGTCAAATTGTATATAAAAGTGTAACTTATGTTACAAACATGTCAACATGACCTGTGCAGACATTACAGCGGCTCATTCCCAAGCCTGACTATCCTCTAAGTAGTCTTTTATTTTATAAAATGCTTTACAGCAAAGTTTAGCCTTTATTACACTTTTAAATTTATTGAGGCTCAAATTTTGAATATCGCTAGGAATTTTATTGTAAAAGCGCATACATTGACACCTAAACGAACTACTTATTTTCTGAAGCCTGGAGGCAGGCACAACATATTTGTTTTTCCCCCTCGTGTTGATATTATGTATATCACTATATTTCTTAAATAAGCTTTTGTTTTTATGAGCGTGAATTACATTTTCATAAATATATTGAGAGGCAACTGTCATTATTTTAGATTCCTTAAATAATTCTCTGAGCGAATGCCTCGGACTAAGATTATAGATTGATCGAATAGCCCTTTTCTGCAGAACAAAAATAGACTGGATGTCAGCAGCATTCCCCCACAACAAAATACCGTATGACATGATGCTGTGGAAATAACCAAAATAAACTAACCGCGCTGTATCTATATCTGTTAAATTTCTAATTTTTTTAACGGCATATGCTGCAGAACTGAGCTTCTTCGACAAGCCATCTATATGTGGGCCCCACTGGAGCTTAGCGTCCAGGGTTATACCTAAAAAGACAGTTGTATCTACAGGACTCAACTCCTCGCCCTTGACAAGCACACTGGTTTTTATCTGTTTAACATTTGGTGTTGTGAATTTAATACATTTAGTTTTAGTTTCGTTTAGTAATAAGTTATTCACACCAAACCAGTGAACTATTTCTGAGAGAGCACTGTTTACATTGTCAATTAATGATTGTCGTCGTCTGAGTTTGAATAATAGTGAGGTATCATCAGCAAACAGCACTATCTCGTGTTTATCCCTTACAAGGTAAGGCAAGTCATTAATATAGATAAGAAATAAAAACGGGCCGAGAATAGAACCCTGCGGAACACCCATCTTCACAACAGACCCGGCAGAAACCATTCCGTTTACTTCGACTCTCTGAACCCTATTACTCAGGTATGAGGTAAGAAGGTCCAGAGATGCACCTCTAATTCCGTAATGGGAAAGCTTCCTGATCAGTGTATCATGAAGCACGCAATCGAACGCCTTGGATAAATCACAAAATATTCCCAAAGCGTCGCTTGAGTCCTCCCATGCGTCGTAAATATGATTAAGAAGTTCAACACCGGCATCAGTTGTTGAACGACCCCTTGTAAATCCGAACTGCTTCGCATGTAATAATTTATTTCTATTAAAAAATCTTTGCATTTGATCTAAAATGATTTTTTCAAAAATTTTACTGAACGTAGGTAGTACTGAAATAGGTCTAAAGTTAGTGGGGTCAGAAGTACTACCTGAACTCCGTCAATGATTGAAGGCACGCTTCTCCAAGCATTCATTGACGGTGTTCGGGATCCCGAAGTACGAGCTGCTGTTCATCTGGGCCATCACAAGAACATGAAAGAAGCTCTGGCCCATGCATTGGAAGTGGAAGCCGTGCGTGGTAACTCCCGTACCTTACGTCTGCAGGAAATGACGACAACGGAGCAGGTACCTCCACGCCGTCGGAACTTCATGTGCTATGGATGTGGAGAACGTGGGCACATACGGAGCGACTGCCCGAAGAAGATGTACCGCCAGGGCGCGGCGGTCTCAACTTCTGACCCGCAGGGAAACTTAAATCCAGCCAGGGCTGCGGGGTGGGCGCTGGCTGGTAGTGGAACAACCCCAACAATCTACATCAAGCAAACCAACGATGGAAATACTCTGGTGATAGACGGTCAAGTAAATGGGAAAAACAGTCAGCTAACATTAGATACTGGAGCTTCAAGGACGGTGATAAATGTTCGGCTGCTCGAGCAAAACATCAGGAAACACCTTAAACCAATTGTTGGCCTACGAATGAAATCAGCTACCGGCCAGTGCATACCGATAAGTGGAAAACTGCATGTAACAATCAAAATTGGGGAACGTGTTTATCGACATGAGGTTATTGTGGCCAAAATTTTGGATGACTGCATCCTGGGACTTGACTTCCTGCAAGGGCACCAGTGTAACATCGACTTAAAATCTGGAGTTTTACTATGTGGAACTGAGGAAATTCCGATGAAGGGTGGAACCCTGGGAAAAGTTTGCTGTTTAAGAAGAACTGTTCTTGCACCAAAATCACAGACTCTCGTACCAATCGCATTACCTAGGAGGAGGGAAGGAAGTTTACCTCGAAGGTGCGCTGTGATTGATAAATCGGAACACGTAAGCTCATGGCTACCGGCAAGAACTGTCGTGGGGTCATCTGATGTCAACCGCATTCCAGTATTCAACTTCAGTGATTCATCAATTACGATTGAAGAAGGAGAGCCTGTGGGCGTTTTGGAAGAAGTGGCCTGGATAAGAAAATGCTCGGAGAATCTTGTGAAGAAGGACAGTACGGAAATTGACTTTGTAACGAAAATCTTAGACGAAAACAGAAGTCTGACAAAAGTGGAGACTATGAAAGCTAGAAATTTACTTCTTCGATTCTCTGATGTGTTTT